GGATGACAGCTTTGCACACTCTTGGCATTCTCTCAACCAGCTTCATAAGGTAGTCACCTGGAATGCATTTCAATTAACAGGTGTGACTTGTTAAAAGTTAATGCGTTTGAGCCAATCAGTTGTGTTGTGACAAGGTAGGGGTGGTATACAGAAGATAGCCCTATTTGGTAGAAGACCAAGTCCATATTATGGCAAGAACAGCTCAAATAAGCAAAGAGAAACGACAGTCCATCATTACTTTAAGACATGAAGGTCAGTCAATCCGGAAAATGTCAAGAACTTTGAAAGTTTCTTCAAGTGCAGTTGCAAAAACCATAAAGCGCTATGATGAAACTGGCTCTCATGAAGACCGCCACAGGAAAGGAAGCCCCAGAGTTACCTCTGCTGCAGAGGATAAGTTCATTAGAGTTACCAGCCTCAGAAATTGCAGCCCAAATAAATGCTTCACAGAGTTCAAGTAACAGACGCATCTCAACATCAACTGTTCAGAGGAGACTTCATGAATCAGGCCTTCATGGTTGAATTGCTGCAAAGAAACCACTATTACAGGACACCAATAATAAGAAGAGACTTGCTTGGGCCAAGAAACACGAGCAATGGACATTAGACCGGTGGAAATCTGTCCATTGGTCTGATGAGTCCAAATTTGAGCTTTTTGGTTCCAACCGCCGTGTCTTTGTGAGACGCAGAGTAGGTGAAAAGATGATCTCCGCATGTGTGGTTCCCACCGTGAAGCATGGAGGAGGAGGTATGATGGTGTGGGGGTGCTTTGCTGGTGACACTGTTGGTGATTTATTTAGAATTCAACGCACACTTAACCAGCATGGCTACCACAGCATTCTGCAGCGATACGCCATCCCATCTGGTTTGCGCTTAGAGGGACTATCATTTGTTTTTCAACAGGACAATGACCCAAAACAGATCTCCAGGCTGTGTAAGGGCTATTTGACCAAGGAGAGGGATGGAGTGCTGCATCAGGAGTGCTGCACCTGGCCTCCACAATCACCCTGACCTCAACCCAATTGAGATGGTTTGGGATGAGTTGGTCCGCAGAGTGAAGGAAAAGCAGCCAACAAGTGATCAGCATATGTGGGAACTCCTTCAAGACTGTTGGAAATCTGTTAATTGAAATGCTTTCCAGGTGACTACCTCATGAAGCTGGTTGAGAGAATGCCAAGTGTGTGCAAAGCTGTCATCAAGGCAAAGGGTGGCTACTTTGAAGAATCTCAAATATAAAATATATTTTGATTTGTTCAACGCTTCTTTGGTTACTACATGATTCCATATGTGTTATTTCATAGTTTTGATGTCTTCACTATTATTTACAATGTAGAAAATAGTAAAAATAAAGAAAAACCCTTGAATGAGTAGGTGTGTCCAAACTTTTGACTGGTACTTAAGATAGCCATAGTTTACTTTTCAAGTTCCATCACAAAAATCCGGTAACCCTTTCCTAGGCCTACATACTGAGGCAATGCATCATTTTCCATAAAGCGCTTGTGAAAACGAGTTGACTATATTTCCTAGTCACTTTATGTGCAGAGGCATTGGGATCACCTTTACGTTTTCAAGCAGGAATATTATCATTGTATCCTGATTTAACAATAGAAGTAATGCAGTAAGTACAATCAGACCGAGCGATGCCTTTTTCTCTCCTGAGTGTGAGATAAGATATTCAGGAGATGATCTAGCAGTCTGCAGGAGGGTTTCGTGCTCTAAGCTATTCACTCTGCACAGCTGTCACACCTACAAGGGATTGGGAAGGGTGGGATTGCTTCCTTGGCTCTCCCCAAGCCTCCTGGCTCCCGGCTTTTTCTCGCCAAAAATTAGCTGGATCTTTGTGAAAATGAGGCACTCATCCCGGCTGATTCTGCAGGTCATTCCTCCGGGCCCCCCCTTAATGCTCGGGGATCAGAGCTTCCCGTCCTGTTGACAGACTGCCACCCAGAATGGATCCATCCAGCAGAGGATCTGCAGTGGTGCGGCTTTCACCATGCTTTCCCCAATTCCCCAGGGCTCAATTCAATTATCACTATCACTGAGGCTGAGCCTCCGACAGATAGAGATCTCGTGATCCAATTCCTTCCTCTCAGGGCTCCCAGTCTACCATCAGAGAGGCACTAAGCCCAGGTATAGGCCTAATCAGGGTGTAGGCGCACACATTCACACACCATAATTAGTGAGGTGGTTTAATAGGGCAGCTCTACTGGATGGATGTAAACTATTTGACCGAAAGTTTTACTTTCCAATAGTCTTTCACTTTGACGTAGCAGCATAAGTTTGAGGGGGAAAAGTTCTGCAAGAGTGATGAGAAGCAGGCTCATCATACATTCTTATTAGAGGTGACCTCTCTCTGCCTGCGCCATGGTAGTGGCGTTGTCTGAGGTTTAACTATGTCAACTTAGCAAATCTTTAGGAAACAGATATGCATTGCCTTCTGAACGGTGGCGTCACTTGTACACAGCGCTAGTACCTCAAATGAAGTTATGCTGTCTGACGTAAGACAATGATGAATATGTCAATCTGTCATTCGTTCTGCAATCATGAGTTCTCTTAGAAGTTGTAGCCACACATCTATCTAGCTTAGAACGTAGTTATGTTTAAATGTAAATCACTTGAAAGTGAACAAATTTACCCTTCAAACAAATGTAACTAGCTATGTCACTGTTTCAGGCAGGACGCTGGGCGGCTGTCACCTAGAGTGGCTGGGAAATGACCTCAACAGAAAGCTCAGCATCACTCGTCGTGGTCGGCCATTGTGTGTTCCCTCGTTGATCGCCTCTCACACCTCCTGCTCGCTCTATGCCCTTCCATTTATCTTGTGGCAATGGTTAATGTTACACACATGTCAATATTTGTCGCTTCAGAGGTCCTCAAGTAGAGCGTTTATTTCCCCACCTGTCTATTAAGCATTTTGTCAGTTTTGACGGTGGATGAAATATGAAACGGAAAGGTGCAAAGTTCAGTTACTGCATAAAGGCTGAAATGTGCCCTGGCTGGCTCTGTGCTTCATTGTTCATACATTTAATGTAATGGAATTCCACCTTGTACTCACCTCTCTTTAAAAGCCCTTTACAAATGACCTGTTTGCTTTTTAGCCCCATGCCCAAAGATGTAGCACTGCCATGTAGACCTATGGAAGAACCCTTTGTGGAAGTGTTGAGTGAAATGTTGTTGAAAGTTTGAGAAAAGATCTTTGTCATCATTTGGATGAATATCTTAAAGTATTGACTTAAAGCCCAGAAATGTGCGTAACTTTGTTGTTATAAAAAGGTTCTCATTTGATTTGCACATTAGGCTTATGTCTCCTGATAGTTTCAGAAATAATCGGTTGGCTTTCACTTATTTGTATGGTAAACATAAAACTAGTGATGCCATACCAGTTTATTCAAATGAGAAATTGTTAGTTTTTCTAGTATTTTTAGCATTAATAATACATGTTATAACTATGTTACCACACTGTTATTGCAATAGTCAAATCAATAAACTTCATAAATGAAAGTGTAATAAAACAATTTCATATGCCATAGATGGGACTTTTGTGGAGCAAAATAGGAACAATGTATCCAAATCTTTTGATCCCAGGGAAGTGAAGTCCATCACCTGCCTTCGAACAGGCAGCCCATGACAATCAACTGTCTCAGCAGGTGCCCTCTCTGGGTGTTAGTGTTCCATCCCGTATAAGATGTCTGTTTACCTAACCACCTACTACATTCTCCATCCATCTGCATTTTACTGGACGAAAAACCATAAGCACGCCGCTGCACAATTAAACCCGCTTTAAGTTCCTCTCCAGATTAATGTCTGTATCAAAATTCATAAAGAATAGTGGGAAGATGTGAGGCCTGAGCTGGAGGATTCACAGGGATTTTGTATGAAGCCCATTTAATCAGGATAACACTGTTATTAATATTCATCAAGTCAGCTGGAATACAAATGACTGTGGAATCTGGAAACTTTTGCCGCGGAAAATGTATTAAATGTAGCTTAAAAAATTAATGGAATTTTGTTTATATTAGGGGGTGAGTGGGGGGGGGGAATACAAAACCCGGTATTGGTTGACTGAGATTGGGTTTAGATATTTCTTTTTGAAGAATTCCATCTTTGACAGACTTCAAAGGCTTTTTCAATGAATGCAATGCATGAATGGTCATTTAAAAGGATTTAAAGACATTACGCTGCAATAATTGTACATGAATAATAAGTAGCCCACAGAGGCAATTAGCTCTAAGTCTACAAGGCAAGAATATGAAGATCACAGAAAGACAGGAAAGGACAAAGGAAATGAGAACTTAGAAATGCTGGATAAAGCGGGTTTCATCATTTAAAGGCTATTGTCATTGATTTGAGTTTTCATATAATTGTATTACTTTTAAACCAGCACTCTTTCACAATTGTTTCCATTGCTGCATCCATCTGCTTGTCTCTTGAAAGTCACTTAATTGAAACACTAGTATATGAATTCTAATTTGAGTTAGTGTTCTCTTTAAGCATCCAATTATGTTCTGTTGACCATACCAGGCTCTTGTAACATGATTGATCAACATGCATACTATTTATGAAAAAAAGAAAAGGGCCCAACCTTGCTTGTGGGAAATGATGACCTTGACAAAGAATGACCACAATATAACGGCCAATCACAATTCATGGATTTACTATGGTGACTATAGGGTGATTATTGGATTGATTGGTTCACATTTATTCGTTGATAGGCAGGTCTTTCTATCTCCCACATAACCTCCTCCAAATGCAACATTAAGCTTTAAAAGAGCAACTCCCAGACTCTCATGTCGTGGTGCCAAATTTCTATGAAAGGATATAAATAAAGCCTCTTTTTGGGGGCGGAATGGATTATTGGATCATATTTCATTAAGGCTTTGTTTGGTGATTCACTGTGTGGAAACCCACGTCAATCAATGATTCAAGTTTGTATTTTGTCGAGCTGCGCCCTTTGCCGTTCCAATCCCATCTCGGTTCCTTCCTTTACCCCCCAAACCAAAATGATGAGAACATCAAAAGGTCAGGTTTGTATGCTCTGTTTTTCTGCTTCTCCTTTATCAAAGCTACTTTCTCATGTTCATGTTAAAGGATTACCAATCTCCTGGGCCATACCTACCACTGCTACCAGCCCTACCAGCTCAAAAGTCCCTCTCCTTCTACCAAATCCTCCCCCAAAAGACTAGCTTTTGCCCAGAGTCTATCACTGGGATTAATGGAGCCCTGTGGTTTCTCCCACAAAAAGCCAGTTGTCCGTTCACGCCTCACCGTGTCAGAGCTGAATAGCGTGTGAGCAGTGTGTGAGCAGTGTGTGCTGGCTTACAACGCAGGGATAACGTTCCACTGGCATCTGCCCTAGAGGTCACCCACCCGCCAAGCACCCAACCTCCCAAGAGCTTTCTCTTTTTCCCTCTCTTCCTTCTCGTTCACTCAATCTCTGTTTCTCCCTCCTCTCCTGGGTCCATCTCTAGGTCTCCTTCTTCACCTAAACTCTCAGTGGTTGTGGACCCACTAACTCCTATACCTTTTTAATAATTCTAACAGCTGAAATTAGCATAGTTTATATCTGTCTTTCATCAACCGTAGCCCTCTTCTAGAAACATAGTTTGTGCCATCCGTATACCCAAAAGAGAAGGACCGAGACACTTCCCCTTTCAATAGTCCTTTCTGGAGATTCTAAAGTGATTTGTATATCTATCAATATCTATATGGTTCATACAATAGAAACCACTGTGTGTCTCTGAGGTTGCCCCCACCTTGCTAACCCAGCTGCCATGCTGCATCTGGAAGGGTTATGTTAAAGTCACTTGCTGCATTCAGTGTGTATTCTAATTGTCTTTTGTCTTAGCCCCTTCACCACTAGATGGTAGCCCTCTCCTACAGTACACACACACACACACACACACACACACACACACACACACACACACACACACACACACACTGCCTAAGAGCAACAGGCTCCCTTCCTGCTCCCTCCTCCAGACAGTGAATGTCAATGGTTCCCTTAATTGCTTCCAGTCAGTGTATTTGTTGCTTGCTTATGAATTAACTTGCAGTTATTGGAACCAATTGAACAGCCATCATTTAATTACACCTGAGTAGAGGCTGAACTTTAATTGGTGGGGCTTCCTAACGAGTAAGGAGGATCTGATATGGGGCTTGAGCAGTATTAAACGCCTGTTTACTTTCCTGATAGCTAAAAGCATTAAATGATATCTGCGTGACGGGATTATGATTTGTTAATTGCTGGCATACATTAGTGCCTTGATAAACTGTTAGTTAGAGCGATGGTACGCAGTGGCGAGATAGGGGGATCGATGATGAGATGACTTAAATAAAGCACCATTTCACTCTGCAAATTAAAGGTGTCGGTCTTGTTTTTCTGTACTCAGGGAGGTTATTAAAGATCCTCTCTGCAGCAGAGGTACCTCTGAGATCATATTGACAGGCTATAATTAATACTAACCTTTCCTCTAGGCTAACGTACTGTAAAGTGCCTGCTTCGGTGCCTCCAACGAAATGCATTTTTCCTTAGAAATGATTAAATTAATGATATCCATTTCTGTATTATTTTCAGCTAATCCTAAAGTCAATGAGGAGCTGAAACAAAGACTGCCCTCCCCAGTAAGGCACCAAAGCTCAGAGACCAAGCTGCCACAACTTGGGTAAAGATACCGTCATATTATTCTCCTCTGTTCATACGTACTTACATTGTTTGGGTATGGCTTTTCACCCACGTGACAATAAAACAATGAGTTGTAATATTACGGGATGTTTATCAGTGTTACTGTGATTACTCACTGTAATAATGACTTCTTCTTTGTCGAGTTGTGTATTCTAAATCCTAAGCGAATGTTAGCTACAACGGCTAAAAATAAAAGCACAGTCTTCTAGTTTGTTCATCCTCAGTTGAATGCGAAAACTAAATTGGATATGAATACAATTAGCTACTGTATGTGGAGTGTGTGCACTGTACACTATCAATTTGTTAGGTACCTTTGTTCACATATTGTAGATTGTGTTAACATGATTTTCATTGCACCATTGTCTTAAAGACCATTTTATTTCTCTCAATAACATATTTTTTTCAACCCTCTTTCAGACTCAATGCTGTTTGTAAATGTCCACAAAAAGAGTAAAAATAGACATACCACATCCTGTAAAATTACGCTATGAGACCTTTTCCAGTTAAAAGATGGTTGAAAAGTTAAGAGTTGCTTGCCGTAGCTTACAGGCTTAGCACTGGGCAGGTCATGCTGCTGTGACATTGTCGACAGTGATGAGCTCTCTTTTTCTTGACCCACTACTCACCTGTCAAGTCCCTGGTTGCATCTCAAATGGCACCCTATTCCCTATTTAGTGCACTACTTTTGACCAAAGCCCTTTGGGGCTAGGGCACCATTTGGGACGCTACCCCTGTTAGCTATAGCAGTGGCCCACCTGAACATCTGAGCTCAGGCCATGCTCAGCTATACATTCTACCATACCCATGCATGCACTGTAATATTAATGGATATTAGCAGTAGATTCAAAATTATTTGCAATTCATTTGAGTACATTTTGAATTCTTTCATTTGAATTCTTCAACCAAGTTTCTTTAGAATTTCTCTTTTGTTCCTTCAGTTTTTATTTTGCTTTATTTCAGAAGTACTGACTTGGGAGCCATTTTGGGCACAACATCAAATCAACTTGTACTAGAGGTGCTTGACAAAGGTATCTGACCTTTTTTTTATTTTTTATTCTTCTTCTTCCAGTCTTCCTATCTGTCAAGACACAAAATACAACATTTTGTAAATGGATATCTTTCTTCAGTGCTTGAGTACTGGGCTGGCTGTATGTATCTGTGTTGTAGTAGCACATGATAGGCATATGTTGTCCACTGGCACTTCAGTATTTGGAAGCTTGTGCAAATGACTGCTGATTTCAGAGGCCGGGTCTTCCTGCCTGTTTACCGCTTGCTTTAGTGTAAAACCTGTTCCATGCGATACATAAACATTTATTTACAAGTGTAAATCACCTCCAGCCATGGTGTCACTCTGCCATCAAATAACCGTTACCTAGACCGTCCGCAGTCAAATGGCACTGCCACTATTTAGATAAACTGGTTGGATTGACAATGAGAGATAAACAGAGTATTTACCCATTGATTTATATGTACACTAGATGACTGATTGGGCTTCTGTTTTGAAGCCACCGCGCCTCCATCTTGGCACTCCTCCACCATTGTAAAAAATATTTTGGAAGCTATTGAAATGCATTTACTAATGTCTACATTTGTTTTTGCCACGTTTATTCTATTACAGACACCTTAATGCATACTTTAAATGATATTATGTGAGCTAAAGATACAAATGTAAAATATATTACTTAGTTACATTTTTTGAAAGTAATAATTTTAAAATAGTTAAATAAATGTAATTTTGTCCTTGAAACATTTAATTTAAATACTGTAGAATGCCATTAATTCATATGGAGGACTGCTACTTCTGGGGAGTGCCAATATGGCCGACCGGTGGCTTCAAAGCCTCTCATTGGCCAATACATAGCATCAGCAATCCAGGGTTTATATACATCATTGGTATTTACCCACCCTTCACCAAACACTCCTGATATGTAAATGTATTCAGCTCCTCTGCTCAAATATACATTTGGGCTGTAGTTAAAACACTTAAAGTCCTGCTAGCCAAACAGCTATTAATGACACGGCCTGTGCGGTTATTAGAAGATGACATTTGACGGCAAGCAGGGGGGTGTTTTGCTGTGATATCAGGAGTGAGCCGGAAAGGAACTCCAAAAGGAGACGTTTTTGCAAGCAACGGCTGCTGGCCCTACTCATCATGTCTCTTCTTGACTTTTACACTATTTACCACATAAAACGTCACATCTGTCCTTGCAACCCCAGTCTTTGAGTTGAATTTTCTCAGGCTTGAAAGGAGAATCTCCCTCAGTTTTTCCCCATAGGAAACAGCCAACAGGCCAAACACTGTCAGATTAAACAACACCGGCTCTCACCATTGGGAAATGCCACTTTAAACAGACGCTCATACTTTGTGGAGGCAGTTGTCTTTGTGGGGACACGCCACAGCCAGATAAAAAAAAAAAAAAAAAAAAAAAGAAGTAACCCAGGTTTAGGAACAATGTGTCCCATATTTTCAGTTGCGACAAAGGGGGTTAAATAAGCGCGTTTGGTGTTATTCATGGTTGAATTTACTGTTTGCATTGGTGAGTCTTAAAGAGAATACTAATATCTGTTTGCAACAATCCAGAGAGGACGACCCTGACAACAAAGCTACGAGGAGGAGGCAGACCTCCCTGATCTCGACTTCAAAACCTGACCTTTCACAAAATAATTGTCACCGCTAAGCTGGAGCTACTTTTGGACATAGTGGGGCAATGCTGCTCATGGGCTTGTCCATCACAACGCATGTATTAACACAAACAACAGACTGCTGCTTAAAATAATCCAATATGTTTGATGCAACGTTTGATGCTCATTAAACCAGCTCTTGTTTGAATTAGACCACATTTGAATTGCATTGATGCTGAAGCGATTAATCTGTTTTATTCCTTCATATATATTTCATAATTGTAAAGAGGTGGCATTTTTCATGCAACACTTGAACCAGGAGGTCAAGTTGTAACTTGGAAGGCAGTCATACTTTAAAGTAGTGATGGGAAGTTCGGATCTTTTCGACTCGTTCAGTCAGAAGAACGAATCTTTCGACTCATTTCGTTCATTTGAGTCAGTCATGCCCAGAGCACGCAGGACCCCCTACCGGCAAACAATGAACTGAAAACTCGAAAGAGTCATGATTCTACAAGCCTCTTGTTCACAAGTCGTTCACCATAAGGGGCTTATTGGAGCTGTCATTTGTGACTGAGATTTGTAAAAACATGCTTTAAACAATGTACATTTGTTGATTGCTAAGCATGCAAATAAGATTGTCTTGGTACATTTGAAACAGGTCTAGTTGTGGCCGCAACCGAATTGGATTGTGAACAACTCTTGGCGGAATGCATTGCTTAACTGCAGTGAGGGTGATAAGCAGTGCAATGTCGTTTGCGAACTGCAGGCCCCCAACGATTCGTTCTCGAGTTCGACGTTGTTGAGCAGAGGCTGTGTATGTTATGGTTCTACAAAGCTGTGTCCATCATAACATTCAAGAATCAATTAATTGCATTCACTCTTGCACCATGCCCGATCAATTATCAGTTCTAAAAATTTATTTTTCTTCTCTATGCTCATGATCTATTTTCCTGCGCGCATTTGACAGACACTTGGTGGTCGGAGAACGTCTCTGAAGCCACTGAGCAGGAGGAGTCGTTCAAAAAGAACAAATCGTTCGCTAACTGCACATCATTACTTTAAAGAGGTTTCTTTGACATTATGCAAAGCTGACAATCATAAATTGACCTTTTTGAATATGATTTTCTTTAAAGCATTTTAGCTTATTTTCTATCAGGCTTGGGCATTAGAATTTGACTTGAAAGCATGGATCGTTACTTTAGTCATTTAGCAGACACTCTTATCCAGAGCGATTTACAGGAGTAATTAGGGTTAAGTCCCTTGCTCAAGGGCACCTCGGCAGATTTGTCACCTAGTCGGCTCAGGGATAGGGAATGCTCTACGCGATTCTGCCGCATGCGAATGAAAGGCGAGAGAAAGGAGAGAGAGAGAGGCGAGAGGAAGAGAGGAGGAGAGAGCGGGGAGAATAGAGGGAATGCGAGAGAGCGGGAGGGTGATAACAGAGAGAGAGAGAGAAGGGAGAGAGAGAAGGAGAAAGAGGGAGAGGAAGAGAGAGAGAGAAAGAGGAAGAGAGAGACAGAGAGGAGAGAGCGGAAGAAGAGAGAGAGAGAGAAATGAGCAGGAGAGCAGAAGAGCAAAGAAGAGAGCGAGAGCGCATAGATTGCGCTAGGGCAGAGTAGAGCGCGCGCGCAGAGCGAAGAGAAGGAGAGAGAGAGGAAGCACAAGAGGAGGAGAAGAGCGCGGAGCGAGAGAGCGCAGAACGAAAGAAACCCCCAAGCAGAGGCACGCGCCCCCGTGCAAAAAAGGAGACGAGAGAAGCCCAGAAGCCCCCGAGCAGAAGAGGAGCGGAAGCAGAGAGAGAGAGCAAGACGAGATGAAAAGAAGAGGAGAGCAGAGGGAGAGAGAGGAGAGAGAGACAGAAGACGCGAGGAGGAGAGAGGGAGAGGAGAGGAGAGATAGCAGAAGAGGACGAGGAAGGGCGAGGAGCGAAGGCGGGGAGAGGAGAAGAGAAGAGAGCCCTACCAGACACCAATAAAGGAGAGAGCCCAGAGAGATGAGGGGAGAGAAAGGCGGAGAGAGAAAGAGAGGAGAGAGAAGAGAGGAGAGAAGAGGAGAGAGAGAGAGGGGAAAGAGGAAGAAGAAGGAGAGGAGAGAGAAGAACAGCGGAGAGAGGAGAGAGAGAGGAGAGGAAAAAGGGAGGAGAGAGACGAGAGAGAAAAGAGAGAGAGGAAGAGGAGGAAAGGGAGAGAGAGGAGGGAAAAGAGAGAGAAGAGGAAAGGAGAGAGAGAGAGACGAGAGAGAGAAAGAGGAGGAGAGAGAGAGGCGAAAGAGGGAAGAGAGGAGAGCAGAGAGAGAGCGAGAGAGGAGCGAGAGGAGAGCGGAGAGAGAGAGAGAGAGAGAGAGAGGCGAAAGAGGAAGAGAAGCACCAAGAGGATCTCTCTCTCCTCTTCTTATCGGATGATAGCAACTTCTCTCTCTCTCTCTTTACTCCCTCTTCTCTCTTCTTGGCTCAGCTCTCAACAGAAACATTTACAGAGCACCATGTAGTTCCCTGCCAGCACCAGTCACCCATCCTCTCTGCATTCCCATGTTTCCTCAAGAAGCCCCCCCACCCCTCCCCAAAATTATAGAAAATAGCCCATTCCACCAGCTCATAATTCACTGGGTCTTTAAGTGGAACAATATTGTCATGGTTGGTGTTGAGGATGCACTTAGATTTTTTTATTTCTATTCACACGCCACTAATGTCCGTTTATTTTCTTACCACATTTTACCGTATTTTGCACAGTGATCGATGTGTAACCATTTTCCCACAACTTGCAAAGGATATTGAACAAAACATTTACCAAACATTTCTTGTGTTTTTAGCATTTGTTCCCTATTAAGCTTAATGCATTCTAACTGTAATCTCGGTAACTTTAGTCCCTCAGTATTTAAGATCCGTAGAGGAAGAGAGTCGGACATCCAGATCTCCATCACCCCAGGCTCACCACAGGAGATCTCCCTCACCCCAGGCCCACCACAGAAGATCTCCCTCACCCCAGGCCCACCACAGGGCTCCAGACGCAGGCAGGAGGATGGAGGAGGAGAGGGCCTCCAGCCGGAGCCCATTCACCCAGGACGGCTACAGGTCAAAGGGTCACATCCAGGGGTCGAACAGCAGTCCTCCAGTCTACAGAAGACACATCATCCCTCCTGACTCCAGCCAAGCTCTCCAATCAAGGTGAGCTGTCTTAGAGCCCAATCGTAACTAAAGCTTAACTCAGAAGTACGTCAATCATATTTTGGTGTCAATAGGTGATTTTCGCAAAAAAAAGTTACATGCACAGATCCCATAAAAACTTGAACCAGAAACACATACATGTACCTGTGGAGGAGTATCTGTACCCACTATAGCACTTGGCAATATTGCCACATAAATATGATGTAATAAAGCATCACTCCAGTCATTTTAATGTAGCCTCTTTGTGGCCTTGTGTGTGTGTGTGGTCTGTCTGGTAACAAGAAGTGTTTCTGAGGGACCTAAACCTAGGTATGCCCACTACTGTATTTTTGTCCTTTGTCAAAATATTAAATTAATAGCTGTTTTTGAGTGCCCTGAACCTGTATTTCTACAACAAAAGATGTGATACTGTATATTTGTCCTCTTGTAAAGATATTCAATCAAAGGTCACATGATTTGGCATCTGATCTGAAGGTGTAGATAGATAGATGGATAGATGGATGGATGGATGGATAGATAGATAGATAGATAGGCTATAATGTGAGGCATTGCTGCGGGGAATCATATTCCTCACTACAAGAGGGAAGTAGGCTACATGGCAATACACTGCCGTAATACCTTAATATTACCTTAAAGGTCAACTGGATGATTTGCCTAATATAACAGAGTAAATAGACACTGTAATATGCCTGCAGAGTGCATCCCTTGCGTATTTGATAATTGCGTCTGTTTCGTAGGAGACAAGGCTATAACTAATTTGTGTTGCCGTTCGCTCTCAAGTTGTAATATTGTTGCTCTCTCTTTCTCTAATCAAAATATTTTTCTCTCATAATGTAGTATGCAAGAGGACCAAGGAAACACTCAAGTTAGCAGCAGTTCCTTTGACTCCAAAAAGCAAAGCCTCGTCCTGGACAAAGAGAAGAATATTGCCTTCCTGCTGAAGGAGCTGGATTCACTCAGAGATCTCAATAAGAAGGTAGGTAGAAATGTTAAAGGAATCTTGCCCAGCTAGATACAGGTCCTAGCTAAAATACAGGGCATTTGTGGTTCCTGATTTCTTTCACTGTTTGCAATATAGGCTATGTTTTTGACTGTGAGCAATATCTGTTTGTGAATCAAATGTCCTTTGTCTTAAGTTGTTCTCTTCCTATTCTTTAAATAGATTCTTGTATTGTGTCTGTCACAACTGCCAACTATTGAGTGTCCACCTCTCTTGTCTGTCCACAAACGTTACCCGCCACCGTGTCCACGTCCAAAGCATATGACTAGCTGGTTATGCTGTCCTGTCCTGTTCCTGTGTTTGGTCTGGAGCATGCCCAGTAGTGTCCCTCTGTGCACAGGCTGTCCCCTTGCAACTGAGCGCCTGTTAGAGCGGCTGTAGCCACAGAGAGGCCCTCTGAAACAGCTATAATTGATGCCTCTGGTTTGCAAGTAGCTGTGACTCCTGACAGAAAGTCAGGAACAGTTCCCAAGAGTCTGTTTTTGCTGGCAGGGCCGTGAGAGCCGACTCCGAGGACTCAACTGAGGCATGTTTTCAAAGTGCGGGGGGGAAAAACACCAACTCGGAGCAAAATATTTAAGACAGGAGGTTAAATCTATCACTAGGTCTTGTAAAATATCACTCCCCGACAAGATTTATAGGAGTTCAATAGCAGTGCTTCTCTTTTATTGGCGTCTGAAATAATGTGATGTAGAGGCTCCATTGTATAATTTGTTACAGAATGCCTGAGTGATCATATATATATATATATATATATATATATATATATATATATATATATTATATATATATATATATATATATTCTGTTTGTTAAATGGATGGTTGTCACCACCCGGGAAACTACAACAGTTATTTAGTATGTCGTCAAACTGCAGGATGGAGTCAGGTGTCTATCTAGTGTTTTGCATGAGGTTTTTGCTACTGTCTGTGAGTGAAGCAACTTAGCGAATATGTCTGGACACGTACTGACGGGCTCTGCAGCTCAGTATTGGTTGGGGTCAATTCCATTTTCAAGTCATTAATCCAATTCATGAATGCAAAAATTGTCATAGAAAGTGACAGGACATTTGACATCTGATTTTTCAATTCAATGACCCTGCCAACTTTGAAGTCTGTCTGTTTCTGTGCCCTCCGGCAGCTCCAGGACAAGTTGGCCATGAGGGAGAAGGAGTTAGAGAGCAGGCTGGTGGACGCTGAGCTGATGGAGACTCAACTGGATGCCCAGGCCTGTGAGAAGGCTGGAGGTACAGTATGGAGGGGAGAGAGGACAAACCCTGGGCCTGTGAGAAGGCTGGAGGTACAGTATGGAGGGGAGAGAGGACAAACCCAGGGCCTGGTGAGAAAGATGGAGGTACAGTATGGAGGGGGAGAGAGGACAAACCCTGGGCCTGTGAGAAGGCTGGAGGTACAGTATGGAGGGGAGAGAGGACAAACCCTGGGGCCTGTGAGAAAGCTGGAGGTACAGTATGGAGGGGAGAGAGGGACAAACCTGGGCCTGTGAGGAAAGCTGGAGGTACAGTATGGAGGGGAGAGAGGAAAACCCCGGGCCTGGGGAGAGAGGACAAACCCCGGGCCTGTGAGAAGGCTGGAGGTTACAGTATGGAGGGGAGAGAGGACAAACCCCGGGCCTGTGAGAAGGCTGGAGGTACAGTATGGAGGGGAGAGAGGACAAACCCTGGGCCTGTGAGAAGGCTGGAGGTACAGTATGGAGGGGAGAGAGGACAAACCCTGGGCCTGTGAGAAGGCTGGAGGTACAGTATGGAGGGGAGAGAGGACAAACCCTGGGCCTGTGAGAAGGCTGGAGGTACAGTATGGAGGGGAGAGAGGACAAACCCTGGGCCTGTGAGAAGGCTGGAGGTAGGATGGAGGGCGGAGAGGCTAGGGGAGAGAGGACAAACCCTGGGCCTGTGAGAAAGCTGGAGGTACAGTATGGAGGGGAGAGAGGACAAACCCTGGGCCTGTGAGAAAGCTGGAGGTACAGTATGGAGGGGAGAGAGGACAAACCCCGGGCCTGTGAGAAGGCTGGAGGTACAGTATGGAGGGGAGAGAGAACAAACCCCGGGCCTGTGAGAAGGCTGGAGGTACAGTATGGAGGGGAGAGAGGACAAACCCCGGGCCTGTGAGAAGGCTGGAGGTAGGATGGGTCAGACAGTACAGTACAGACAGTACAATACAGTGAGGATAATAACATCTCAAATAAAGCCTATTATCTGACCAGTTGTAATTTTTCTGTGCTATAATGTAAAGTGATACCACATAGGATTTTCAAGATGGTCTAAAGGCAAGCAATGTCTACAAGATGAAGCTAGAATGTAGATATCCTCAGACATTTTATCCCTGATGAACTTTGGTATAAAAAAACTGAGATGTCAAGTGTGGCAAACAATTATCAATTTGTTTTACATGCAACTTGAGTATCAAAACGAATAGTAACTTACTGATCGTATTTGTTAATGTAATTTAACCGCTCCCAACCTTCACTGAACAAATATTTGAATTTAGCTGAGCAAATCACTTATTTTCTTTACTATAGCTTTTCTTTTTAGGTGAGAGCCCTCTCAACCCATCTAATAATTAAAGAAAATACAGTATATCGAACTGCACAATTAGCAGCTCCAATTGTACGTTTAATAAATTTAAAGTGCGTGTCGTGTAGCCTATTTGCCGTCCTCGTATGAATATGATTTGCATGGCTCAGGGAGGCGATGTTTAATGAGCAAATTCCAGCTAAAATGCTATATTGATTTTCTTACTGAACTTTGTAATGGCTTACAGCGAGGCTCACTGTTTATCATTAAGCCATCTCTGAGAGAGTAGAGGAATTAGCTGTTGATGGATCTCAGGGGCTCTTTCGTAGTGGGATTAACAAAGGGATCTGAAGACAGTGGTAATCCCAAAATCTGCTGGTTTTAAGGCAGCCGGCATACAGTGCAGGAATTTCGGATCCCGGGTCAGGTGTAAGCTGAAGGGAAATCTCTCCCTGCCAGGCTACAGAGTCTGTATCAATAAGAAAAGTTTTCCCTCCATGAGTGGGACAGACAGAATTACATAAAAGTAATCATAAAAGCACTCATGGATGGACTATTTTTCTTTTTGTCTAACTCAGTATGTGGTCATCATAACTCAAACTCAATTTGGCAACACATTAGACAAATAATTTCACAGCTCACTCTCACTAAAACATGTCCAGTTTTCAGACATTAGAAGAACACAATGTTTTTGGCTCGAAAAGGTTTGTTCAACCTTGTTTATCAAATCCAATGTCTTGAGTTAGGGTTAAGGACCGGCCAATCTCTTAACCATTGTGAGATGATGAGTACTTGCTAATGTTGTGACAAAATGTACACCAACTGCCTGTCTCTGAGGTACAGTATCACTGTGTCTTTATTGCTTGGGGCAACTATATGTCCAACCTCTGTGGAGACCTGCACCAGTTCACTTCCCCACCAAATGAGTTTGACTGGAGTTAATACCAGTGCCACAGTGTTTCAGTGGCAATAACCTCCTTCCACAGGGAGCTTATCATTGTTATTGAGCAGTAAATGATGGTCAGAAACTAAGAACAATGCTTCCTCTCTCTTTATATCTATCTCTCTTTCTCTTTCCCTCTCTCTCTTTTACAATTTCTTTATTTTTTCTATTTCCATTAATATTCCTGTCTCTTTCTCTCTGTCCCCTCTCTCTCTCTCTCTTTCTCTGTCTCTCTGTCTCTCTCCTTCAGCCCTAGTGGAGGAGATCTACCAGGCTCAGAAGGATAGGGACCAGGCAGTGATGGCCCGGCTTCGTCTGGCAAACGAGGAGAGGGACGAGGCCCTGCTCAGGGCCAAGCACCTGCAGCAGGCGGTGGCTGAGTATGTGCTAAAGCACCGCAACACACCACAACATAGTAAACAACAACACACCACAACATAGTAAACAACAACACACCACAACATAGTAAACAACAACACATCACAACATAGTAAACAACAACACACCACAACATAGTAAACAACAACACACCACAACATAGTGAACAACAACACACCACAACATAGTAAACAACAACACACCACAACATAGTAAACAACAACACACCACAACATAGTAAACAACAACACACCACAACATAGTAAACAACAACACACCACAACATAGTAAACAACAACACACCACAGAGCAGGGTTGGGGTCCATTCCATGACAATTCAGGATATAAACTGAAATTCAATTTCCAAGTTTCCTAATTTTCTCAACCCTGGCACATAGACCCATTCTGCTTAACTAACTCACCTCTCCCTCATCTTCTCTGTCGGAATCCATTTTAATTCAGTCAATTCAGAGTGTAACTTACATTTCAAGGAACATTTGAATTTTGATTTCCTGAAATGAATCAATGGGAAATGGTGTTGTTGACCCCCAACCCTACCACACAGGGCCACTCTGATCAGCTAAGACACCTGTCTCCCTCCCTCCTCTGTCCTTCACAACACCAGCAGTACAGAGAGAAGTTGGGAAATAAATTGGAGAAGGCGGTCAATGAGATAATAGTGAAAAGCATTCGATTTTCTCTCTCTCTCTCTCTCTCTCTCTCTCTCTGTCTCTCTACTGTCTCTCTCTCCTCTCTCTCTCTCTCTCTCTCTCTCTCTCTCTCTCTCTCTCTCTCTCTCTCTCTCTCTCTCTCTCTCTCTCTCTCTCTCTCTCTCTCTCTGTCTCTCTTCTCTCTCTGCTAAACTCTTTGTTATTTCCTCACTCCCCCATTTTCTTCTTCTTCCTATGGAAGTGGTGACGGAGGATTTACTGACCGCTATAATGGGTCAGTTTGTTTACTTGCCGTTGCTTAGACGAACTCCGCGTTGTGCTTCAGGCTGGTCGACAAGGTGAATTAATGGAATGGGGGAGGGGGGATGCAATATCGACTGGTTTGGAAATATATCGGAGGGGTGTGACATTTCATAAGAGTCCCCTCGCCCTCCGTGCGAGGTTGTCAGTCAAGAGTTGCACTGTATAGGAAATCAATCAAGTCCTTCAGACCAGCAGATCTTTACCAGCCTGTCTGAAGAGGGCTAATTAATGTGATATTTTTTTTGTTTAGGTGGTTGTTCGTCTGTACTTAGGTAGCAGGACCTTTCCAATTAAAGCTGCATTGTCCACTAGGAAAGGGTGTAGGCAGGCAGGCATTATTAGCTGGTGCAGTTTAGAAGTAATTACATTTCTACTTAAGGGAATATATAACTTTCTGTCGGAAGCAAATCTATATTTCAATAAGCCTTGGTATGCTGGTTGGTGTGAGATCCACTTGAAAAAAATTATTGGGATTTGCACAAAACCCATTGTTGTTGTTTAAAAAAAATATCCAATGCATTGTTTACTATAAAACAGTTGTCAAACACATTTTTATCTCCTAACACATTTATTTGATATTGCCTTTTATTTGAATTATTTAAATGATTTAAATTGGCTGGACTTGGTTGGCATGAAGCACATTCAGTTAGCCTAATATTATGCCAAATAGCCTGGCAATCTAATTAGAAAAACATCCCATTTCATCTCTTCATGCTTTTCAGCGGCGTCTCCCAGCCTTCCTCTTAGAAAGAAAAGGTAATTGATAGCCAAGCACAATCCCATTATAGCTGGAATATGGAAAAGCATGTTCTAAACCTTTATATTCCCTGGCAGGTCAGTGGCAGGCCCAGTATGATTGAGTATGTACCTTTATAATGGGAGGTGATCCATATAATGCCTTTGTAAATGAGCTGAATAATTTTTGTTTTTTTCCCAGAGAGGAGAGGACCGACTGATTGGCTTGCTGGGGGAAATCACATTGGCACTTTAAAGGTGCAATCAGCATTCTGTTCTCAGCAAGCGTTCTCCCCGCCACTGTTTCAGTGAAAAGCCGAGGGATGGGGCTGGTTAAATTTTACCACTATCAAATTCCTATGGGCCCTTTTCAAAAGTAGTGCACTATAAAGGGAATAGGGTGCCATTTGGGACGCAGACAGGGAGAGGTGCCTCGACAGGTAGATGTTGAAACGGGGTGCAAAGAGCCATGTCCTGTCCTGATTTAAGCCAGAGGAAAGCTGGTGTTATTGATATGCTAAATGAGTTTTCTTGTTGAATTGTATTTTGATTAATACAATTTTTTTGTAAATCGCTTCAGTCTCAATTTATAAAAAACTAAAACATTTAACAAGCAATATCATTTTATTGTTGTTTCCCACTGGTTTAGTTCTGGTTGTTAGCTAGAAAAACATTCTGATGAAGGTAGATTGAGACCAGTGTGCTGGAGTTTTTCTTCTTTTTGATTGTTAGCAAAAAAAATTACTGAGTGTTTGAGGTGGTCCATAAATCTCCTGACACACTGCTGTAATTACAGTAATATTTTCCCTGTATAGGTGTTCAATACTGCAAACCTACAAATGATTCAACCCCTCATCTCAGCACATATGAACAATTGATCCCAGGAGTCATATATAGCAGTAAACATGAATGTACGAGGGAATAATGGCTGGGGTCTGCTGGCACCTTTCATATGTTGGGGGTGTCTTTTGTTCTGATCACCGACTCTGAAAACCAACAGAACGCAATAATTAGATGTGAGGAAGATTTGGGAAGTGATCTCATTTTGCCGCACTAAGGAAAGGAAACTCTCTCTCCTCTTTCTCTCCCCCTCTCTCTCTGTCATCTCTCCCCCTTTCTCTCTCTATGTCTCTCTCTCTCTCTCTCTTCCCCCTCTTCTCAGCCTGGAGAATATTAACCCTGAGGAAAGTGATGCGGTAAGACCTCCCCTTAGGAGCTCATGTGGGCTCATTTTTCTCACCAGAATGTCCTCAATAAAAAGGTATCAGGAAACAAAGGACAGCTAAGCACATTTCAGCGCTATGATATTGTTATTTTAGGATGTTATGTTAACATCTCCTTAAAAAAATATATTGACAATAAATATATTGTTATTATTGGCTTATGAAGGTTTGACATTTTTAACATGAATTCAGATATATCCTACATGTGCACAAACCTATGCACCACTTCTGAGAACTGATCTTTTTGCACCTGTAGCATCTGCATATTATTATTATTTTTGTTTGTTTTGTGTGTTTTTTTCATATTGGTCAGTTGTCGTTGTTGTTGAATTAGGAACGCTATCTGTGTGTGTGTTACACACACGTGTGTGTGTCGTGTGTGTTGCACCTGCGTGTTGTATGTGTGTGTGTGTTAGGACCTTGAGGAGCTGCTGAACAGGGTGAACAGTGCAGATTCAGCGCTGGGTATTGAGCGCAGCGGGGTGGTGATCGTGGACCGGCTGCAGAAGGCCCGGGAGAGGAGGAGGAAGATTACAGCAGAGGAGATGAACGCTGTTATAGAGGAGAGAGAGACAGCACTGGCCAGGGTGGGTCTGAACGACACTACACACAAATTACACACACTTACAAACACAGTCGTTATACATTTACATTTTAGACATTTAGCAGACGCTCTTATCCAGAGCGACTTACAGTTAGTGAATACATATTTTTTTATACTGGCCCCCCGTGGGAATCAAACCCACAACCCTGGCGTTGCAAACGCCATGCTCTATCAACTGAGCTACATCCCTGCCGGCCATTCCCTCCCCTACCCTGGACGACGCTGGGCCAATTGTGCGCCGCCCATGAGTCTCCCGGTCGCGGCCGGCTGCGACAGAGCCTGGATTCGAACCAGGATCTCTAGTGGCACAGTTAGCACTGCGATGCAGTGCATTAGACCACTGTGCCACTCAGGAGAGTTATAGAGGAGAGAGACCTGTCTACCTTTCATTGTGTCAATGTTTAAGAAATCCACTATACTGTCTCTCCTCTGAATACTGCAAAAAGCTGATATCTTCAACAATATTGACATCTCCTCCCATTTTCTCAATTTTAAAAGGCCCTTTGATTGGAAGTCTATTTTGCCAACACACACTGACACACATAGGCAAACACGGCTCACCCAACTAGTTCACATGTACACGAGGCAAGCAATCTCTTCCCCCTCTCAAACAGACACACACGCAGGGGTTTTGTCTGATGTTATCTGTTTGATTTAGTAAAACCAACTACTTGATTCGCATTTGAGGTTATGGTAGTGTAACCTCCAAATATTTGATACATCAATCTTACGTGAATATTTTCAACGATTTTAAAACAAACAAGCAGTCTGACAAATATTGACATCCAGATATTATACCTCAACATCGGTATTTGCTTGGATATCTGTGATGGTTATATATAGACTAGACCTCTCATGTAGTTATTCAGTGTCCTGTTTTACAACTGGGTTTGTTTGAGGAGAGTTATGCAGACAGGCCACCTTCTTGTGCCAATGTGCAAACCAAGTAAACAAGGCTTAATAAAATTGGAACGTGTCACAGCCCCACAGTATTACTGTTGACCAAATCACCAGAGAAATCCCAAAATTATTGTTTAGGGCAGGGGTTCCAAACTTTTTCACTCAGGCCCCCTTTCTGGCATTGGGGAACACCCCCCCCCCCCCCAAGCACTGTTCATGACACAAACTGTTCACACCGCTCTTGTTGGCTGAGAGAAAATGTTGCAGGTTTAAAGCATATGTCCTGCAATTCTACACATTTTGTCACAGGTTACAGAGAACATTTTGCGATTTTAAAGCTAATTTCCTGCAATTCGACACATTTTCCCATGTCTTATGTGTGTTCATGTGTTATTTGAGTGACTCAAACATTACAACAAAAAATGAGCAAATTTTTTTTTTTGCTGACATGGGCTAGTTGATCTGGACATTTCTGCCAAGTTATAAATAGCTCTCTAAAGTATGCAATGACTGACATGACAAGAGGAAAAGCTGATGATGCACTACCCAATTTTGAAATTGCACCTTAGAGAGCTATTTATATTGTGTTCAAGAGTAAGTTGAAAGCCGGACTTCCTTCAAAAATCTAGCAGAAATCACCATGTCAGAGCCTCGCTCGTCTCTAGGATGGTGTGGTAAGAATGTCAATCATAGCCCAGAGTTTTCAGCAGGATACTACTGTGCAGGGAGTCATACGGTCATGCATTCATCTGGGTGGGTGGTCGCAGACAGAGCTACCAACTGTTTCTAGCTGGAGTTTGACATTTTTCTCTGTAGCCTGGATTTACCAGGCATATTTATGATTGGGATGCTTCTTTTCTGCTTCCCTCTCTGTGGGTGAGCTGCATGGATCTCTGTCCCGTTCAGCCCGACGCCGAGGCATTAAAAGGCAGGCATCAGACGTGTGGAGAAGAAAGGCCTCCACAACTCCACTATGCCTGCGTCCTAAATGGCGCCCTATTTTCCTAAATAGTGCACTACTTTTGACTAGGGCCCATAGGGCTCTGGTCAAAAGTAGTCCATGATATAGGGAATAGGGTGCCATTTGGGACTAACCCTATACGTAGACTGAACAGATTCAGCTTCATGGAGGTCACGCTACTCCAACTGGTCTAGAGCTAGTCTAGTTTCACATGGCTGTTTGAGATGATGTTTCAGTTAAAACTTTAAACAGGATCTCTAATGGGTCAATTTTTGTCACTGGGAGGTGTATAAATGTGTAATAAAAGGGTTATTTACAGTAACTTTTCTAGTAATGCCAGGTTAGCTGTATTGGTCCAACTTAGCTACTGTCGTACGTTTCAGTCATATAATTAGAATATGGTTTCAGTATTGTTTCACTGTGTTCTGAGACTCAGTAACAGAAGAACCACAGAACTAGAATGAATAGGACAGGCGTCCCTATTCAAGTCAATGACGCCATAATTGGTGGACTGGCAGCCTCATTCTATTTCTATGAAAAGAACACTTGTGTCCTCTCCTGCTCATTTGTCATCATTGGTTCAGTCTCTTCTCTCCTCTCTCATCCACCTATCTTAGTTATCTTGTCCCAGGTGTTCACCAAGCCATTTTATGAGGCTTTTTTTTTACAATGCCTAAATCAAAGACTGTATGTGGACTTTGGGGTCACTTCCCTTTGTTCAAAATACAAGATGGTGCAATCAAGTTCTTCAACATATGAGAGCCTAAATCTGATTTGAAAATGTGTTGATTCTCCAGATTTGTACACATATACAGCATATGTGCTATATTACTAAAATCTAGTAATCAACTGACCAATGCAACGACTCAAGTTCATAGAAGCCAGTCAATGAATTTGAGGTTGAGTCAAGTTTTCAGGTTGTCAATGAGGGAGATGTCGCCAGTCTTCTTAGTGCCTCTGACTTTAACACAAGGCTGAGTGGGAGCAACCAGCAGAGCTCAACCCTAGACTACAACCATATCTCCACAAAACCCCAGGCTAACATCACATTCACATCTCCTGGAAAAATATTGCCCCTGCTTTTTGTGGAGGGCAATAAAATCCTCTTTGGAGCAATTTTAAAAGTATGTTACAAATGCCTGTTCCTAATCCCTGTGAGGCGGAGACGGGTCTCCACACTCTATCCTGAAGGATTTCTCCGTCCCCTGCCGCTCTTTCTATCCCACTCTTCATCTCGAAGGGATTAGCCCACTGCGACTACCAGAGGGCCGCTACATCCACCAGCCTGCTGGAATATGAAAAGCTGGATAAGTGTAGGGAGGAGGGAGGAACAGCAATACATCTATTCTACACCCGCACTTCTTCTTTTCTCTCTATAAAGTGAATGCAACAATACAAAGGTTATTAATTTGTTAGGTACCTGGCAGTATGGTTACTTTAGTGAATATTATAAACTGGTGGTTCGAGCCCTGAATGCTGATTGTCTGAAAGGCGTGGTATATCAGACTGTATACCATGGGTATGACAAAACATTTATTTTTACTGCTCTAATTACGTTGGTAACCAGTTTGTAATAGCGATCAGGCACCTCGGGGGTTTGTGATATATGGCCAATATACCACGGCTAAGGGATGTGTCCAGGTACTCCGCGTTGCGTCGTGCGTAAGAACAGCCCTTAGCCATGTTATACAGTGCCTTCGGAAAGTATTCAGACCCCTTGACTTTTTCCACATTTTGTTACATTATAGCCTTATTCTAAAATTGATTAAATCGTTTTTTCCCCTCATCAATCTACACACAATCCCCATAATGACAAAGCAAAAATAGGTTTTTATAAAATGTTGCTAATTTATTTAAAAAAATATATATATATATCTCACATTTACATAAGTATTCAGACCCTTTACTCAGTACTTTGTTGAAGCACCTTTGGCAGGGATTACAGCATCGAGTCTTCTTGGGTATGACGCTACAAGCTTGGCACACCTGTATTTGGGGAGTTTCTCCCATTCTTCTCTGCAGATCCTCTCAAGCTCTGTCAGGTTGGATGGGGAGCGTTGCTGCACAGCTATTTTCAGGTCTCTCCAGAGATGTTCGATTGGGTTCAAGTCCGGGCTCTGGCTGGGCCACTCAAGGACCTTCAGAGACTTGTCCCGAAGCCACTCCTGCGTTGTCTTGGCTGTGTGCTTAGGGTCATTGTCCTGTTGGAAGATGAACCTTCGCCCCATTCTGAGGTCCTGAGCACTCTGGAGCAAGTTTTCATCAAGGATCTCTCTGTACTTTCCTCCGTTAATCTTTTCCTCGATCCTGACTAGTCTCCCAGTCCCTGCCGCTGATAATCATCCCCACAGCATGATGCTGCCACCACCATGCTTCACCCTAGGGATGGTGCCAGGTTTCCTCCAGATGTGATGCTTGGCATTCAGGCAAGGAGTTCAATCTTGGTTTCATCAGACCAGAGAATCTTGTTTCTCATCGTCTGAGAGTCTTTAGGTGCCTTTTGGCAAACTCCAAGCGGGCTGTCATATGCCTTTTACTGAGGCGTGGCTTCTGTCTGGCCACTCTACCATAAAGGCCTAATTGGTAGTGTGCTGCAGAGATGGTTGTCCTTCTGGAAGGTTCTCCCATCTCCACAGAGGAACTCTAGAGCTCTGTCAGAGTGATCATCGGGTTCTTGGTCACCTCCCTGACCAAGGCCCTTCTCCCCCGATTGCTCAGTTTGGCCGGGCAGCCAGCTCTAGGAAGAGTCTTGGTGGTTCCAAACTCCTTCCATTTAAGAATGATGTCGGCCACTGTGTTCTTGGGGACCTTCAATGCTGCAGAAATGTTTTGGTACCCTTCCCCAGATCTGTGTCTCGGAGCTCTATGGACAATTTTCTTTGACCTCATGTCTTGGTTTCTGCTCTGACATGCACTGTCAACTGTGGGACCTTATATAGACAGGTGTGTGCCTCTCCAAATCATGTCCAAACAATTGAATTTACCACCGGTGGACTCCAATCAAGTTGAATGATGAGCCTCTGATTTGATTGACCGTGTGATGCACGTGTGTTTTCAGACATAATGCGCCGAACATATGTAACGCTAGGTAATCCGTGTCTGCTCCGTGCTCCATGTGTTCCACGGGTGATATGTTTGGGTGCCGTACTGTAGACCCAGGAGTGGCCTTCCTAGCCTGCCTGTCTGTGAAGAGTAGAGAGGTGCGCTCCTGCTCTCTGTGTTCTGATTTAAATACGTTTAGTCCAAAACATCTGTTGCCTGTAAGCCATAACTCATCCTGACACTAAAGAGAAGCTTTGTGTTTTGTCTGGACCAGGGAACTATTATTCCAGACGGCAGAGGAAGAGGATGGGGGGACGAGAGCAGAGAGCGGGGCTCCTAGGCTGCGCCCGCCTGCTCTTGTTTGCAGGAGGACTTTGGGGTTTTTAGGCAGCTGGATGTTGAAACATTGCGACTTGTCAGGGAGAGAGGGATGGTTTACATTCCTGGTAACTGTCCTTTAGTCTTAGAATGTGCACATGGAGAAGAGCACATATGGACTGGTATAAAACAACTCTGGCTTACAATAATACTGAGACGTTCTGACTGAGCCGCGGTCTGTGCCACAGTCTGGGTGTTTATACTGTCTGTCTATCTGTCTGTCTGTCAGTGTAGTCTACAGTGCCTGTGGAAAAAAGCAGGGGAACTGCTGACATCAGTGTAGATAACAATCACATAGTATGTAGTAATTCATGTTGTGTTTATGGTATTGAAAAACATAACATTTGATAATTATTTTTAAATACTTTTATGAAAGCGTCAGTGTCATCAAAGTATTGCATGTTATTAATTCATTAAATAATGTATTTATAAATGCTGGAGAATAAAGGTCAACAGATATACATTTGAAAACAAGGCATCTCTGTGATCTTTTCAAACGGTTGTAACAGTTCGGTTTGGCCTATAAATTCTCCATTTCCCTTTGTCCGTAACAGAGAGCTACTGGTGGGAAAGACTGGCTGAAGCATGCATACATTTAACTCTGCCTGCCTGGTATGCCGAGGCTTTCACTGCACTGCGAAGGGTGAATTCCCTACTAATATATTTCAAGTGATTATTTCCCCTTCTCTTCCTCTGGCTCTTCTTCCACAGTGCAAGCGGCTGGAGCAGGATCTCCTACAGACGAGAGAGCAGAGCCAGACTTCAGCCAACAACTTGAGACAGCTGACTGCCGAAAACAATCAAGAGCGTTCTCGGAAGGTAAATCTACACCCCCCCCCTTCGCCCCTCTCGCCAAAGAATCCTTGCAAATTAAGGCTTCGTGCAGCACAGGTTATCCTTCACTAGGGTCGCGTTCCAAATGGCACCCTTTTCCCTATATGGTGCACTACAAAAGTAGTGCACTATAAAGGGAATAGGGTGCCATTTGGGCCTAGCAGTCTGTACATGAATACATGGGGTGTGTACATTACTGTGCCCAGCTCAGTGCTGCTGTTTGCCAACAACTCCGTCTTTAAATATGGCCTCCCCCACCCCTACTACAGTATGCTGGGGTCTTATTTAGATACCAACCCCTAAACCAAAACCAGCCCTGCCCCCACACACCACATTTCCATTTTTATTTTCCTCACAGGTAAAATTGTATTGTTTATTCAACCACTCACTGTTTGCTTGTTTTGGCCCTTATTTGGCCTGGTGATCTAAAGCAATAGAGCTGTTGGTTGGGTGATCCAACCACATATTTGATGGGATTTAGAATGACATCATCAACAAGGGCTGGGGACATAATGTCACACACACACCAACACACACACGTGTCCCCTCCAGTGAGGTACAGGGTAAACACAAGACTATTTGATTTCTTCCATTTATCTGATGACGCAGTGCCCCTATGCTTAATGCAGAGCGAGTGAGCTGTAAACATGCTCATTAGATAGGGCTAGCTAGGTAAACGGTGTCACCCCACCGATGAGCCTGAAGTAGCAAGGTTGCCTGAGAGGTCACATGATGGTCCCATTGAGAAAAGGATTGTCAGAGTATACAGTAGATTACGCTGCTATTTGTTTGCAGTCAGGCCTATTCTGGCTAGTGCTTGCCTTGCTTGCTTGCTACTGCGCTGTGTGTAGTCATTCACTGCTCTCCTCTCCTTGTCCTTTGGCTGACTGAGCTCTCGAGTCACCACCAATTGGAATTGATAGAAAAAGCAATATACCACAGAATTACCACATAGCTAGCTCCCTTATTGTTGACTCTGACCTATTCCAACATCTACATTTTATACATCATATTCTCATAAACATTTGCTTTAGAATTTTCAGATGACTACTCTCTCTGGGTGTGATTGCAACATTTTGAATCCTATATTTCACTAATAGAATTCATGATCATGAAAATCTCGGCAACATTTTTAGGCGAGAATGGTGAAACGGACACACCAGATGTTTGTTGATGAAAACAATGAACATGTTTGTGACTAGGAATATTGTGGTCGTTTATTTATTTCAGATGACTATGATGATTTCTTCTGCTTCAACTCAACTATGAGAACCTCTGTCCAGTCTTCTTCTGTTCTTTCTTAAGGCTGCTTGCTGCCAGTATTTGTACTCTTCTTCTTTATTTCTTAGAAGGTTTCTCCAATCTCCACTGATGGCTTATTAAGAAATATATTACATTTTGTTATTAATGTAGCACTTGGTTTTTCTATAAATCCCCTTAATTATAGATTGGCTCCTGGGATTACAGAGCAGGGTTTTTAATTTAAAATGAAACGGGAACAGCTGTCGTAAAATTAGTCAACAGTGCCGGGAACAGATCCACAAAACAATTTAAAAACTCACAGATCTTTGATTCATCAATTGACATTTTACTTTAAAGAAACCAGCTAAGAGAAAATGACTTTTAAAATGATTTAAAAATAGAATGGTCGGTGTCAGAAAGTCTTCTGCTGAAATCCATCTTGACGTGCAGAAAATGTACTCATTTTAAATCTATATTTTCTATAACTGCATGAAATGACTCTCTGAATACTCATAACCTTACTGGTTTATGTTCTAAAGAATTATAGAAACAGGGACAGGGAACATGGCCAACCCAACATTCCCAATTTGTTAACATTTTAAGATCCCCAGACTTGCATTTGATCATGACACCAAATCCTTCCCTATCATGACTAAGTAATGTCAAGTAGAAGTGTTGTGGAGGAGCAGGCTGAATCTGAGCTGCTAGGGCTAGAGGAGGAAGCAGTCGTAATGATTAACTGCATTGGCAAGGCGGGGAGAGGAGAGGAGCATTGCGGTGCGATCATTCTGGGCTGTCAGTGCTTGAAAGAAAAGCTGGTGTGCAAACACAGGTGGTTCAGGGCTAGGGCAGCCACTACAACAGACCTCTTGAAATGACCTGAGCATTGAGAGCAATGAGAACCCCTCAACCCCGGCCCTCTCCTCTCCACCCCTGCCATTTCAGAGGGCCCTAAAGTCACAGACATCTACTCCGCTCAAGACCACACACACACACTCTCTCACACACACAGAGATTTAGGACCCACTTACAGAGCGTCCTTGAGAAGACTGAAGAACTTGTTCTCTCACAGGCACTCACAGACGAAAACATGATTTTTCTGTTTTTTATATACATTTCCATCCACACTGAGGTTGGAATAATACTGTGAAATTGTGAAAATGATAATGCCCTCTTAGTGTAAGTTTGAAAAGACCGCCTGAGATTTCAGCCTGTTTTGGTGGGATGGTGTTTTGGCCTGCCTGGTGACATCACTATGCTGTACATTATCAAATTTGATTTGATTTTTGATTTGAATTAGTTAATAGACCAATAAGAAAGAGACCAAAGCTCTCTGCCAATAACAGCTCGTTTTCAGTTTTCCCCTCCCCACTCAGACCACTCCCAGACAGTCCTAGCTAAATTCTTGCTTGGGAAATTGCTCTTTCTTTTTCTTTTTGACTGTTTTAATTGAAAACAATCACAGTAAGGTACTTAATTGTTACCCAGAAATGATTTGATATTGAGATAAAAACAGCTGCATTGGACCTTTTAAAAACTTAAAATAAGATCTGATACCCACAGCTTGATACTACTGTTTGTTGAAGACATTATCATGAAAGCACAGTCATCATAGACTTGCTCATTAACTAGCCCTCAGTTTAATGTGAATGCAGGTACATTACTTGTTGCTGGGGTCTAGTGTGTCAAGGGCTTAGTTGCCAGGTGTTGTCTCTGGCTGTCACTATCTCTTTGATTGATGACCATTAACATTAACAGGTGATTCAGACTGGAGGAGGAAAGGCAGTACAATTTGACCCTAGTTTAAATTCAATTATTCTAATGAAATGGTCACTACAGATGAATAAGGAGAATGTTGAGAACATAGTCCAGAATAAAACGTCAATATACATATACAGTACCCAAAAAAAATGTGGACACCTACTCATTCCAGGGTTTTTCTTTATTTGTACTATTTTCTACATTGTAGAATAATCATGAAGACATCAAAACTATGAAATACCACATATGGAATCATGTAGTAACCAAAAAAGTGTTAAACAAATTAAAATATATGTTATATTTGAGATAAGCAAAGAGAAACGACAGTCCATCATTACTTTAAGACATGAAGGTCAGTCAATCCAGAACATTTCAAGAACATTGAAAGTTTCTTCAAGTGCAGTCACAAAAACCATCAAGTGCTATAATGAAACTGGCTCTCATGGAGACCGCCACAGGAAAGGAAGACCCAGAGTTACCTCTGCTGCAGAGGATAAGTTCATTAGAGTTACCAGCCTCAGAAATTGCAGCCCAAATAAATGCTTCACAGAGTTCAAGTAACAGATGCATCTCAACATCAACTGTTCAGAGGAGACTTCGTGAATCAGGCCTTCATGGTCGAATTGCTGCAAAGAAAGCACTATTACAGGACACCAATAATAAGAAGAGACTTGCTTGGGCCAAGAAACACGAGCAATGGACATTAGACCGGTGGAAATCTGTCCTTTGGTCTGATGAGTCCAAATGTGAGATTTTCGGTTCCAACCGCCGTGTCTTTGTGAGACGCAGAGTAGGTGAACGGATGATCTCTGCATGTGTTGTTCCCACCGTGGATCATGGAGGAGGAGGTGTGATGGTGTGGGGGTGCTTTGCTGGTGACACTGTCAGTGATTTATTTAGAATTCAAGGCACACTTAACCAGCTTTGCTTCCACAGCATTCTGCAGCGATACGCCATCCCATCTGGTTTGCGCTTAGTGGGACTATCATTTGTTTTTCAACAGGACAATGACCCAAAACACACCTCCAGGCTGTGTAAGGGCTGTTTGACCAAGAAGGAGAGTGACAGAGTGCTGCATCAGATGACCTGGCCTCCACAATCACCCGACCTCAACCCAATTGAGATGGTTTGGGATGAGTTGGACCGCAGAGTGAAGGAAAAGCAGCCAACAAGTGCTCAGCATATGTGGGAACTCCTTCAAGACTGTTGGAAAAGCATTCCAGGTGACTACCTCATGAAGCTGGTTGAGAGAATGCCAAGCGTGTGCAAAGCTGTCATCAAGGCAAAGGGTGGCTATTTGAAGAATCTCAAATATAAAATATATTTTGATTTGTTTAACAATTTTTTGGTTACTACATGATTCCATGTGTTATTTCATATTTTTGATGTCTTCACTATTATTCTACAATGTAGAAAATAGTAAAAATAAAGAAAAACCCTTGAATGAGTAGGTGTGTCCAAACTTTTGACTGGTACTGTATATTAGATATTCTATTTATATATATCAACAAAGTCCACATCAGTCAATAGTTTGTTGTGTGTCATAACAGATGCAGCTTTCCATAGATTGATCTTCCCAGTTCCCACCGAGTCAGAAATGCCAGCCAGTCCCTGCTGCCAATCTGTTGCACTTTGGCCCCATCCGCCCCACCACCGGCTGTCTGCCCTGCAACCTCCTGTACTGTACCTCTAAAAGGTCATGCTAGTTATTCTCCTTCACAAGCCTGCCTGCCTGCCTTCATCACAACAGGTTAACCCGCTACTCTGTCAACCTCATTTGGATATTATTCTAATGAATGCTGATATAATACATATGATTAAAAGAACCTGGCTTTGAAGTCAAGCTCTCCTCCCTGTTGGTGAAAAGTACATATTGACTTTAGAGGTTGGCCCCTTTTTGATGTTCTCTTTGACTTGGGAGACCTTGGTGCCAGTAATTAGAATGATGGTTCTGGAGAACCGAGGGGAAGCTGCATGTACTTAGTCAGGCCAAAGGTGTTTATAGCAGCAGACCAGACCGCAGCCCAGTGCACATATGGTTTCAGCCTCTACAATCCTTGTCCAAGTCATAAAAGGCTTAAAAAAGGAGGTGCTTTTGAATTTTTTTCCCCACGACATCTTTATGATATTATTTTTTTTTAAAGGGAGGTACTTTCTGAATTTGTCCAATAAGAACACAGATTTCCCTGTTGTCCAATCCTCTTCTCCGGTCACAGATTTAGACAAAACCCCTCCAAGCTCTCTCCCTCTTCCGCTATCACACAGAAGCTATAGATATTGCGGTCATTTACAGTATGGCCCTGCCTGCCTTGTTTATTTGGACATCCTCCATTGTTTCCTCCTCTCCCAGCTGTTGAGACCATCAATACATCTGTTTCAACGGCTGCTAATTAGCAGGGTCTTTATTGTGGGCCAGGTTTAACCACAGGGTTGCCCAGGACACTCTCACAAGCACAACCACACATTCACTCACACACACAAACACTGTTTACCCAGCGTCCCCTGCTCCCACCCACCGCCGCTACCCGGCCCGCCGGCCTCCCTTCCCGGTAGGCCCTCTGAGTAGGTGCTGAGTGGAGAGACAATAGCATGAATGGGATCCCCTCAGAGCAGCCTCATTGTGTTGGATGCTCCCTGTGTGCTGCTGGGCCTGCTGGCGCTCTACATGCGCTGAATTTAAACGCAGTTAAAAGACATACGCTGCTACGCTGCAGACATGGATAGTTCTCTGTGTGAGAGGAATCATTGATGTTACGTTTGCAGCCTCGGCCTCAGTAGGAAAACTACTGTGAGAACCTGTAAAGAAGTGATACTTCAGCTGCATTTTAACATGGTTTGGTTTTGACTGAACTACTTTTTCCAGTGTTCAGAAACAGAATTCATAAGTGTGTTAACTTTATTGTCAAATCAAAATGTTCAAAATGCAAGAGCATTTGTGAATGTCTTCTTTCACAAAGAGACAGACATGGATTAATAGCATTGATTAAACCACCCGAGCACAATGCCACTTAACTGCTGCAAGCTATGTTTGTCAAACTCTGATGGGATGTCTGTGTGTCTGTCCCTTGTGTTTTTACCAGAAGGTGCTGGAGATAGAAATCTCTTGTGTAGAACATATATAACTACAGTGAGGGAAAAAAGTATTTGATCCCCTGCTGATTTTGTACGTTTGCCCACTGACAAAGAAATTATCAGTCTATAATTTTAATGGTAGATTTATTTGAACAGTGAAAGACAGAAGAACAACAAAAAAATCCAGAAAAACGCATGTCAAAAATGTTAAAAATTAATTTGCATTTTAATGAGGGAAATAAGTATTTGACCCCCTCTCAATCAGAAAGATTTCTGGCTCCCAGGTGTGTTTTATACAGGTAATGAGCTGAGATTAGGTGAACACTCTTAAAGGGAATGCTCCTAATCTCAGTTTGTTACCTGTATAAAAGACACCTGTCCACAGAAGCAATCAATAAAATCAGATTCCAAACTCTCCACCATGGCCAAGACCAAAGAGCTCTCCAAGGATGTCAGGGACAAGATTGTAGACCTACACAAGGCTGGAATGGGCTACAAGACCATCGCCAAGCAGCTTGGTGAGAAGGTGACAACAGTTGGTGCGATTATTCGCAAATGGAAGAAACACAAAATAACTGTCAATCTTCCTCGGCCTGGGGCTCCATACAAGATCTCACCTCGTGGAGTTGCAATGATCATGAGAACGGTGAGGAATCAGCCCAGAACTACACGGGAGGATCTTGTCAATGATCTCAAGGCAGCTGGGACCATAGTCAACAAGAAAACAATTGGTTACACACTACGCCGTGAAGGACTGAAATCCTGCAGCGCCCACAAGGTCCCCCTTCTCAAGAAAACACATATACAGGGCCGTCTGAAGATTGCCAATGAACATCTGAATGATTCAGAGGAGAACTGGGTGAAAGTGTTGTGGTCAGATGAGACCAAAATCGAGCTCTTTGGCATCAACTACACTCGCCGTGTTTGGAGGAGGAGGAATGCTGCCTATGACCCCAATAACACCATCCCCACCGTCAAACATGGAGGTGGAAACATTATGCTTTGGGGGTGTTTTTCTGCTAAGGGGACAGGACAACTTCACCGCATCAAAGGGATGATGGACGGGGCCATGTACTGTCAAATCTTGGTTGAGAACCTCCTTCCCTCAGCCAGGGCATTGAAAATGGGTCGTGGATGGGTATTCCAGCATGACAATGACCCAAAACACACGGCCAAGGCAACAAAGGAGTGGCTCAAGAAGAAGCACATTAAGGTCCTGGAGTGGCCTAAGCAGTCTCCAGACCTTAATCCCATAGAAAATCTGTGGAGGGAGCTGAAGGTTCGAGTTGCCAAACGTCAGCCTCGAAACCTTAATGACTTGGAGAAGATCTGCAAAGAGGAGTGGGACAAAATCCCTCCTGAGATGTGTGCAAACCTGGTGGCCAACTACAAGAAACGTCTGACCTCTGTGATTGCCAACAAGGGTTTTGCCACCAAGTACTAAGTCATGTTTTGCAGAGGGGTCAAATACTTATTTCCCTCATTAAAATGCAAATCAATTTATAACATTTTTGACATGCGTTTTTCTGGATTTTTTTCTTGTTATTCTGTCTCTCACTGTTCAAAGAAATCTACCATTAAAATTATAGACTGATCATGTCTTTGTCAGTGGGCAAACGTACAAAATCAGCAGGGGATCAAATACCTTTTTTCCCTCACTGTATCTGTGACATTACAATTGGTAATCATGTTCAATCTATTCATTGCATTTCTATCTACATCATTCTGAACGTTCTGTCTGTCCGTTGTGTTGTGTAAACAACCAGAAATCCTACATCTATAGGGGATGTTCAGACTGGACGTTGTTCTCTTCTTGTCGACATTTTTCCTTTTCCTATTCTCTTACCAGGAGGACGTGGAGGCGGTCCAGAGAGAGAGAGACAGGGCCCTGGAGCACAGCCAGCAGCTGGAGGAGGAAATACAAACACTGCGAACGTACCACAGGTGACACACACACACACTTCCCCTTTAAAAATACTCACACACACTTCCCCGTTAAAAATGCTACACCTTCACTATCATCTGCATAGTGAAGATTCAAATATAGGAATCCCGATCGGCATAAGTGTACATTCACAGTTAATAGGAATATATGGTTTATTGCTGCTTGGTACATTGATATGATTTCTGCTGTGGTTACGCAGCTCCAAATATTGGGGATTTAAAGGCACAACAGTGAAATATGATAAGCGATATATTCATCTGCTTTGATGTGACTTAGCAGGATTTTAGTGGGAAGTCATTTGTGTAATCATATCAATGATATAATGAAATGCTCAATCATGCATTTTTCCAATAATACATTTTATGTCATTTATGTCAACAAAAAGTATCCCATCATTTATGAAACAACTGTAAAATACTGACCCTAGTAATAAATTATTATATTCCTGTGTCATTTTGAATCCCATTCTGCACCAATAATACTAGCAGCAGGGAGAGTGTTACACATTCATGGGACCACAGATCATTTCCATTTTATTTGGCTGAAAGGGTTGGGGATGTCACACCCCCATTTTAACTTCTTAATAAAAAATATGGCTGCACAGCAAGACAGATCAGTGCTCTCCAACTTATTAAAAATGAGAAGCATGTTCTGAGCCAGCTCTCCTTCCAACCTACTCTAAAAAATCCATATTAAGAGCTAAAACTGGACCTCATATGCGTTGTTTGCTCTGGATTGAGATAACTAAAATAAGTAATTACACCCTAATTATACTTATAATATTAATCCGTGGGAACTCCTTATTAGAAGTTCTGGAAAATACAGAAAAATAAGGAAAGGTTGCTTTTTTATTTGTTTTAGCTTTAATCCGCCAATGACCGTTTTTGTCATTTGTCATTCAACGGAAGAAATTAACACCTTAAAAAATAGAAAAAAAACCATGGGAAACTTGAACTTCCAGCAGTGTAGATATCCTTCATTGTGTATTTTCCATTGGCTCAGAAAGTAGCCGATCTGGTTTGGTAACATGCATCCTGTTCTTAATGTGTCCCATATTCTGATAGTAAGTTTTCTCTTTTGGTTTTATCTGCATCTCATCTGTCACGTGGTGGAGTGTTTGTCTGGCGTTGGTTACCTCAGAGTGACAGATCTATGGTCCTATTCCCACTACGAGATATGAAGGAGTGTCTAAGGAGCGGGGTGGCGAAAGATAATTCTACTTTTCAATTCCTATTACATCCTTGCCTTACCATCTGTTGTGGCTGGCAACGTGACATTTTGGTCCGCAGCTCAAATTGACTGTGAATATCACAGTAGCCACTAGACATTAAGCACAAACTATTCAACAATGACAGAAACCTTTCTTCTAAAACATATGACACTATTGAATAATGCAACCAAACCATATTACACTCTTGAATAATGCAACAATTCACAGGCTTTATCTTCTCGTCTGTAGGCTACACTCATTACATTTTAGCTTCAATACAAAATAGTTGCTATAAGAGCATGTCTTCAAGTAATGTTAGCCTATCAAAAATGATATATTCATTTTTATCAATATCATGCAAATCATTACATGTGGTAAAAGCAAATTGCGACTGAAAACGTGGGTATAAGTGAATTCACCACAACGAGCTGTTTTATCTGGAAGTCCATACCCGCCACAAAAAAAAGCCTCATGATTTGTCAATGTGCATAATTAGTCTGTACTTCAGTCTGATCAACTGTAGACTACTGATAACAAGCACAGATCCAGCTAGCCTAGCGACATCTATGCGCTCTGATCCCACCGGGGAAACGTAGCGTCATGTTTTTATAGCCCAAGCTACAGTATGTATTTATAGCCTAAAATAGGCCCTTTTATTTGTGTTCTGAGAAAATGTGAATGTGATCAAATTTGGTTTATATTCACACTTTGGGTGGCTAGGCTACCTAGGCCTTTTTCATCAAAATGATTGACTTGAATTAATAAATTAACACAATAGTGATGACATACTGTATGAGTATCTTTTTAATTACAGATGCAAAGGCCTACACGATGCAACCCTGCATAGCCCATATAAAACCGTTTTTTTTTTACAGTTGATTTATTACTGTCATACGCTACAACTAGGGTCAGGAGTTGGTTACGTTAGCCTACTACCAGATCAGGAAAACAATCCCCCCCCCCCCACCTCTGAAATCATCACACAATGTTAAAAATGAAGGGGAAAAAAACATATCCTATTTGTGTGATCTACATTCTACATGTTTTGGGTGATGGGCTTCCATTGTTTTACGTGGCTCAGTGCAGACGGCAGCTGTGACAATTTCAGAATGTAACAGGCTGTTACTGCAATTTCAGGCCAAAACTCAATAAAACAAGTCTCAAATATTAGGAAAATGTCTATACATTTCAGCTGTTTCAAAAACATTGCTCTGCTATTACCATTTATACTGTAGGAATGTTGGCTCAAAAAGATAATTCTGTTCACACTGCCCTGCTTTAAGGGGGCAACTGTTGGGGGTAGTACGTAGCAAGTACGCATGTTTACATTTGAGGAATATGTGTAGCCGACAGTATTTTTATAAAAGGTGCAGTTAATGGGAAGAGGCTCTATGAGAACGCTAGTAGGTTTTTCTGAAGCCCCCCACTTCACCCTGGCTTTACTCCGAGGACACTGAGGACGACATTGCATTCTCCTCTTCTCAGACAATTTGCATTGTGTGTGAACAGGAGGGAGAGAGAGTGAGGAAGAAAGAGATAGATAGAAGAGTGGGTCCTATCACTGGTCCTGTGGTGCTAGACCTTTATGTGGGGAACCACCCTTCCAGGCCCAACAAAGCCCAGAAGAGAAGATGGCTCGGCTCTGTGTCTGTTTGCTCTGAGGATTCACTGGCCCTCTCCATTGTGTCCCCAGGACAACACACCCAATCACATGAAAGGAAGGCACCAGACGTAAAATCAAAATAAAGAAAACGGCATGGGAAGAAGAAGAAGAGAAGGGTCCAAAACGCTAGCGGCCGGCCAGCCTACCACGTCAAAACACAGACTCACATTATGGGGTTCCATGTTCAGAGAAACCCCTGTTGATTAAAAGCAAAAATAGAGAGAAATGTACTAGATGTAGTAGCCGACGGGGGCCAGTTTGTTTTAAAGGGTTGACGTTGTTGGAGGGACTGCGGCGGGTGGGCTGAGGGAGAGGGGCGACGGCCGGTGCTTTGTTTGAGAACCAGCCAGACCAGGGCTGCGTCCCAAATGTGTCCTAAATGGCATCCTATTACCTACACAGTGCACTACTTTTAACCAGAGACCTATGAGCCCTGTTCAAAAGTAGTGCACTATATAGAGAAATAGGGTGCCATTTGGGACTCAACCCAAGGCTGCTGGAGGGAGTCAGTCAGCCCAAGCAAGACACGTATTAACACTCCATCTCTGCTCCGTCCGGACGGACAGACGGCTCCCTGGGGAAGGCTGATTATCACTGAGGCTGAGTGGGTCGCACTTTAACACCTAAAAACTCGATAGTCATTAGCTAGGCTAGCAGACGGAAACAAGACAGGCTGCCTGGAGTTTCATACTGGGGCCTTACGACATACTTTCATATCTACACAGTGATTACACAAAACCCTGATGAAGGCTACGCATTGGCTTTAACAATAAAGAAGCATTTTTATCAACTTCCACTGTCCCTCAAGAGTTGCTGAATTTCCTCTTCACTTTCATGGGACATTTTAGGTTCATTTTAAAGTGATACATAACATACGTCACCATCAATCCTGACTGAGCAACAACAAGGAAAAGTTAACCAGTGCCTCAGACTCAGGGTTAGCCCTGCCTTTTCAATCTGTGCTGCCCAATACATTTGGCGGATTGTCTGGGAGCCCTCACAGCAAGCTAAACTCCATCGAGATAGAAACGGAGGAAGTAATTCAAAACGCACAGCAGCACCCCTGCAGACCCCCGAACCCCCAAACCCCAAAGCCCAAATTGGTTTGTGTTCCTACATCATAGGCAGGTGATAGAAACCAGTGATTTAGGGACAAGCCAGTATAAACAGCGTGGACACTCCTCCCAGTGCTGAGAGTGTCTCACTGTGATTTATTTATATGGTAGTAGGAGCCAAGGTATCCTGGTCCAAGATCTGTTTGTGCTGTCTTGCCAACTGCTATGGTCTTTAATATATTGTCATACCAAACATGACAACGACCATAGGGGTTGGCTATACAGCATAAACAGATCTGGGACCAGTCTAGAGCCAATGTACTGTAAGTGGCTGTCCTCCCCAGTAAATGTGCTTTGGCTTGGGACACTGTACATGTGTCGTAAAAGGTGAGGTGACCTGGCTGCCTCTCAAAGGTGCCAAGGTAGGTAGTAACCAAATGTTATCCTGTCCAGTATGTAACTTGGTGTACCTGTCTGGTAACAGGAGAGGTCTGTGACCAGGCTGTCTCTGCTGACCTTGTGGTTTATTTGTTTAGAGTCCACAGAGATTAGTCTCTATTAAAGGGTATTTTACATACCCAGCCCCTAACAATCCTCCTCCACACTAACCATTAACCATACATACGTCCCAAAATGGCACCCTAAACCCTTATATAGTGCACTACTTTTGACCAGGGCCTATATAGGGAATAGGGTGCCATTTGTGACACAGCCCATCTCTAGAATTGGAGGGCAGGTTTGTTGAGCTCTAGCGTCTGTGCTTTGTTATCAGGTTAGGGGAGTTAATGGTTAACTGTTTTGCATTGCAGACTGTTCTGCAGGTCACTGGCAGAAACTGGAGCAGAAAGCCACCATGTTCAGAAACACAGAATGGATAGTCATAAACCTTCTATAGATAGACACACAGACGCACAGGAGCAGGTGGGAAGATAAGAATGAGGAATCTGGAGCGGAGCGTCACTTATTGTAAATACTGTACTTCATGACAAGATCATGGGAGCTTACTAGGCCTATTTCTCACTACCAGCTAGGTATTTGGATGAAACGTGATCAGATCAGTACAACAGGAGCTTCCTAGCTAGATTAAACGGACACTCGTCCTCATGAATGGAACGTGATCAGCTCTAACAGTACAGTACATGCATGGCCTTGTGCTTTTGTTGTTGTTCCAAGGAGCACTTCCCATGGAAGTTGTCAGCACTATTAATATTGGTGCTAAAATCCCCAAATTTTACTTTAATATGATCACAGTAGCAGACTTCAGCTAGAAACACAACTTAAAATGACTTCTCATCTGGTTTGTGGTCTCTCAATAGATAGCTCTCTGTCGCTCCCTGGGAGAATCTCAATTGGTTTTGCTCGCCTCCTCTCCTCCGTCCTCTCCTCGCCTGGAAAAGGGCAAAGGTAATCGAGGAGAGGAGGAGAGGAAAGGTGGAAAAAAATGTGCTTGAATACATTTAGAGTCCTTCTCCACTCACATGTCATCAGGCAAATTACGTTTACAGGGATGGAATCCCAAAATAAATGTGTAAAGTCATCAAAACAAATGTAGCTAGTTGTGCAAGACATTTTATAGATACAATGATAAGTAGTATATTGTTTTTAAATGTGTGCATGCTTTTCTCCTTCGAGAAAACAACAGCTGATTCAAAGGTGGTCTGGCGGATTTTAAAACACTTCTGCGGGAGGATACTCTTGTGCATCCTCTGCCGAACTAGGTAATTAAGGAGGGGAGCAGACTCCTTCGTTCGCCTACTAACGAATTTATACTCTCTTCTGTCACTCGACCACTTATCGGTTTCCGGGTCACAGAGTCGTCGAGAAGAGGACGGCCTTTTGCCCAATTCAGAATCTCCCCCTCTATCTCTCATCATCTCTCTCTCCTTGCTTCGTTCGCTCTCTCGCTCTCCCAGGAAATGAATTGGAACAGTTTGTGGACAATGTCTCTCTCTCCTGTTGATTGGTTTCCATGTCTGTTGTAAAAGGAGGGGTATAGTGTAGCTGGGGGGGGGGGGGGTCAAGGCGCAGTAGCCAGGGTCAGATAAGATAATCCATAGTGAACGTCCTCTGCCCTGCCTTTGTTTGTCACAGTCATCGGACCTTCAGACCCAATATGTTTACATTTAATTAAACAAAGCACACAAACTTTACATCACTTCCCATAGCTATCAATAGCACATCTGAATTGATTACCCTCAGCTCTGAAAAACAAGAGGAAGCATTAAACAGGAGCTTCATCTTCCCCCTCTGAAACTCATTACAGGCCAGAATGACTGATATGATTTTAAAGCTATGTCCACACGCCTACCTGGAATGGCGGCAGAGACCTCTGGTCATTAATCTAGATGAGGTTGTCAGCCGTCAGTGGACAACTGACTATAATGTCGCTCATAGAGCTAATGGAGGATAGAAAAGGTATTGCTATCTTACTTAGCTCAGGGCTCTCCAACCCTGTTCCTGGAGAGCTACTGTCCTGTAGATTTTCGCTCCAACCCCAATCTAGCGTACCTGGTTCTAATAATTAGCTGGTTGATAAACTGAATCAGGTTAGCTACATCTGGGGTTGGAGTGAAAACCTACAGGTGGGTAGCTCTCCAGGAACAGGGTTGGAGAGCATTGACCTAGCTAGTTACCAGCCCCTTCAATGAATGGTCTTGTTTTTATGTTTAGCTTTGGATTGATATTTAACTCTGCTGAGGTACAGTGGGGGGTTTTATCAAGCAAAATATGGAAAATATACTGTAAATCTTTCAGTTATCGAAATGGAATGCCCTGGGGTTATTTCATACTTAGTTATATTGCAAGCCAAGGATTGTGTCATCCAATGGCCTTCATCAGATTGTTCAATGATCTTCTATTTTATCTCTGTGCGTCAATAACAGTGACTTGAAACTCATGCTGAGGGCTAAATTAAGGATCATATATTGGTCTGTGGAGAGAGAGAGAACTCCTCATGACACAATCTCATTTTTTATCATATTGCCAGTGAGACATATTTTGTAAATATATGTTTTTCAATTGGTTGGACACATTCTTGTGTGACTGTCCAAAAATATGCCTTGGAATTGGTTTGGGTTAATAACTGAAAACTGGGGATGGGCAAAGGTATTGTTCCATAGTTCCTGTACTGTAATAGAGTCAAGAATAGAGTAATGAAGCTGGAATAGGTTGTGTCCCAAATGGCACCCTGTTACCTATATAGTGCACTACTTTTATCCCATTGTCCTCAACTCTGACTATGTATGCATCCCAAATAGGGTGCCATTTGGGATGCATTCATAGTCAGAGTTGGGGTCAATGGGTAATGTTTTGGTTTCCTCTCCTCCCCAATAGATAATGGGGTTTTTCAGCCCTTTACTAAGGTGAAGAGTACCCTACACTACCCTACCAAGCTCTATTGATAATATACCCACACCAATGTAGTGTTTACAGTACCTCAATCTTTCTCTTTTTGAGAGCTGCTTTCTCTCTCTAGCTTTATTTGAGAGATTCTCTCTCTTGCATCTCATTGGAAAACACCTGTCTGCTTTCACCTTGAGCTCCTATGTCTCAATCAGTTTGATGCTCTCAGTCACACTGGTTTGATGCTTTCAGTCAGTCAGTCCCGTCAGTAATGTACGGTAATATATTCCACTGACATTCTGCTGCATTATTGCCTCCAGATATTGTCTCATATAGTGACATAGCATTTGAATATTAAACTTGTCTCTTTGCCATGGGGTGTTGATACAGAATAACGTTCCCTACTGTAAGTTAAACTGCAGGCATGCTTTCATTGGTTAAGGTCAAGTTTCTGTCTGTTTGTGTTAGAAATGTGGCCAGCTGCACTCTGACTGCAAAGTCAAAACTGGAGAGTAGAGGAGACTTGTTGGTTGGAAGCCTGTTCAGTGCATCACCCCTGTACTGCACTTTCAATCTACAAGATCTACTATTGTATCCTTGCAGAGCTTCCATACTTATTTTTTCTACAACCTATGCTGTACTTGTTGTACTTGAGGTTGTTTTCAGTAGTTGTGCTATACCTCTTTGCTGTTCAGTCGACCCAGTATGTACAAATATTTTCCTCCCACCCAATTCAAAGCCAAAAGATCATATCAATGTGTCAAGTGCCTTGTTAACAATCCTAACACTATTGTTGTTAGCTGACATCCTGTAGCTTCCTGAAGGACCGGTATGATGCGGGTGATGTGTTGACATTCATAGTTTTACTGTGTAGCTTTTTCACGCCCGATACATTTTTGTATCTGTGTGATGATGGATTATTGTGATGCAAGGGAAAATTCAATTAAGTATAATCTCATTTAATTCATCTTATCTCTCCCTACAGCCTGCACCAAGCCCAGTGTGAGGCAGGGACCACCAGTCAAAGAGGGCAGGGGGCCTCATCTCTCAGCTCTCCATCCCAGACCCTCCAGACCAAGCCCCTCCAGCCCAGGGAAGCCCCCTCTGGTCTGGCCAGTCCCCCCCAGCAGCAGCCCCTCCTGGCTCAGCTCCAGAGAATGGCCTCGGAGCACCAGAACACCCAGGCCCAGCTACAACACTCCCAGGAGGCAGCAAGGGAGGCCAACGAGAAAGTACAGAAGTGAGTAGCTAACTAGAGTACAACTCTGGTTTTACAGGCCCCTCACTAATGACTAGCCCATGAAAAACTGCTACTATAACAAGTCTACTTTCTCAACCTCCTAAAATGAAGGATCAAATCCACCAGCGGCAATTTTGTTTCACTTAATATAGACACGCTCTTAACCCCCGCCTTGTTGCCCCATGGCAAGAATTTGGTAAACGCATGCTCCTCCGTAGCCCCTGCAACAGATTCCCCACCCTGCCCATCCCCAAAACCTTCTCGCCCCCCCCCATGACTCCTGCTGCACCCCTCCCCCACCCTATTGACTTGTGCTAGTGGTGTCCATGCTGATGGATGGTTGGTTGCTGGTTGTCTGGGAGGCCTTCTCTCCTCAGTCCCAGCCTGGTCTCTGTTGCTCCTGCACCCTCCCATCCTCCCACAGTCACACTGGGGCTAGCCGCTAAACAAACAGCAGTCGCCCCGCTCATCTATTTGCCTGGTGAATTAACAGGGGGGTTGGGGGGTGGTGATGGAGGGGGGGTGACAGTTCTCAGCACTGGGAAAGCTGAAAGGCTTCCCCCCACACCCCTCAGATTGGGAGGGAGAAAAGAGGGGATTCTGGTTGGTATTGTATTTAAACGATCCTCACTGGAGGGCCTCCATTATACTGGAAGATCACACAGCGTCTTCTACAACCTTCACTCTAAATGTAAAAACTAACGCACACTTCCCGTATGAAGGCAACATTTTCAGTCCTCTGGCTCAACTGCTCTTGCAGTGTGCAGACTGGGAATAGTTTGCAAAACTGCAGCTAGCAAATACTTTGCGTGCACTGAACTAGTGCAGTTACTGATGTTTTGCACTTTTATGACGTTTATAAGGTAGTGTTGACAGTTTCAGAGCATGGTCTGATCCTTTCCCAGAAAGAGGCCTGTCAAGGCTGTTGGATGTGTCAAGGTGTAGAGGGTGGGTAGAGATGGCAGCCCAGTGCCAGGAGGAGCAACAGCAGCAGGAGCATCTGAAGACAGTCACACTCGACCGTTAACTGACCCCCAGATGGATGGCCCTGGTCCTGCTGGGATGCGTCCCAGATGGCACCCTATTCTCTATAGTGCTCTAGGGCTCTAGTCGAAAGTAGCTCACTATGTAGGGAAATAGGGTACCATTTGGTTTGTGGTGGTGTAGGAGTCTGTGGGAAGCAGCTCTGACGCGGGCCCCGTCGCACGGCGGTGAGAAGAATGCAGGGGGAGCCGAGTTACCCCCCTCTCCCCCCTCATCACCCCCCAGAGCACACGGCTTGCCAGAGGAAACGGAGAGGCGGCCCAGAATGTGGCACCTGAGTGCCGGGGGCTGACGGGGCTGACGGGGCTGACGGTCCTGCAGTTCCATTGATGGAGGGGCTGAGCCGAATGTCTAATGACCTATCTGAAGCTGCCTGCTGAATCAAATCTTGGCCATGGAGGAGACGAAAGGACACAAAGACCCTTTTCATCAGGAGGTGGAGGTTGTCCTGGCCTGCTAGTAACAGACACGCTGCTTACTGCTGTCTTTCTCTCCCGCTATCATCATCATCATCATCATCATCATCATCATATCCCAGACCCTTTGCTGCTCTACAGTGTATTCGGAAAGTATTCAGACCCCTTGACTTTTACCACATTTTGTTACGTTACGTCCTTATTCTAAAATCAATTAAATAAATACAAATCCTCATCAATCGACACACAATACCCCATAATGACAAAGCGAAAACACATGTTTTTCAGCGGCAGAGACTGGGAGACTAGTCAGGATCAAGGGAAAGATGAACGGAGCAAAGTACAGAGAGATCCTTGATGAAAACCTGCTCCAGAGTGCTCAGGACATCAGACTGGGGTGAAGGTTCACCTTCCAACAGGACAACGACCCGAAGCACACAGCCAAGACAAAGCAGGAGTGGCTTCGGGACAAGTCTCTGAATGTCCTTGAGTGACCCAGCCAGAGCCCGGACCTGAACCCGATCTAACATCTCTGGAGAGACCTGAAAATAGATGTGCAGTGACGCTCCCCATCCAACCTGACAGAGCTTGAGAGGATCTGCAGAGAAGAATGGGAGAAACTCCCCAAATACAGTGCTTCAACAAAGTACTGAGTAAAGGGTCTTATGTAAATGTGATATTTCCATTTTTATTTTTTTATTTTATGAATTTGCTAAAATGTCTAAAAACCTGTTTTTGCTTTGTCATTATGGGGTATTGTGTGTAGACTGATGAAAAAAACAATTTGATCAATTTTAGAATAAGGCTGTAACGTAACAAAATGTGGAAAAAGTCAAGGGGTCTGAATACTTACCGAATGCACTGTATACCCAGTCCTCAGGAAAGTACCTCCCTCTGTAAACGTATTATGATGAGTTGTTGTTACGTAACTTTCTTATGATTCATGGTTGTAAATGTTGTAAATGGCATTTTCGATGTCATTTGTAACTGTATTGATTATATACTGTATATGTATAAGTATATTTTAAACACTTTCTGAGCTCCTCTTTAAAACCCCGATAAACACTAAGAAGTGCACCATCCATCCCCCCATCCAGTACAATGCACACTCTGCTGAAACAGTGGTAGCTATATTTTACTTCTTTACTGCAGAAAGATTCTTATTCGGGGTTGTTTAGAATGAATGCGAGGAGCTGCGTGTTTACTCCGTCTTATTCCAGCTATAATTGTTGGTTTTGCGACACTGAATTCTTAATCAGGATTTATGTTTTCTCTGGCTGCTCCCTGGCGTGTGTGTTTGGGTTTACTGGCCACCCTTGGTAAACAGTGTTGTTCCAAATCCCCACCAGTACACCTTGGACAGACACGCACTAGCTGGAACTGTCTAAACGTGACAGAGAGGCTAATGCATATATTTAAAAATGCAACAAGGGGCTTCACCATTTACACACAAGGGGGACAAGGTCTGTGTGTGTGTGTGTGTGTTTGAGAGGGGGAAGAGATGTTTTGCCTCGTGTACATGTGAACTAGTTAGGTGAGCCATGTTTGCCTATGTGTGTCAGTGTGTGTTGGCCTGCGTGCATGGCCTGTACATTCAGTGGCTGGAGTGTTTGCATGGCCTTTGTGACTTGGACCTTTCCTAAACATTAGCAATCCTCTTGGCCTTATTTTCTCTCCCCACTGCTAATATGTTGATCTCTCCTCCACAACAAGCTGATGTTACACACAGCCCTAGCCGCCATGTCATCCTCACCATGCATAAATAAACACAGCCAGGTTTGTGGTGATGATGACTCGCCATGTTGAGAAAAACAGATGGAGAGTAACTTCCGGACAGACAATACCTGGGTCAGACCACTCCCAGATGCTGCCTGATTACCAGCTAGTTGGTAGAAACCCTGGGCAGGCAAACTGGCAGGTCACAGCTTAGACAGCCTCGCAGGCAGCGTAATTCTCTGGTTGCGTCCCAATAATCTCTCCTTCCTGCTGGAGTGTGCACTTGTTCACTACTCCCCACAAATAGAAAAGCGTTGGATTGGTGTTTGTATGAGCTAGAGGGAGTTTCCATATACCAGTCATCTCCTTTCAAATCCATGAAGGGAAGTGAACAAGTGCACACTTCGGGAGAAAGGAGAGATGAATTTGACGCACCCTCGGGCTCTTTTCAGATCATTACAACTGGGCTACTGAGGGAAAATAATCTGTGGACCATGTTTCACTCCCTCGAAAAGATCAAAGATGTATCTTTCTTCCTGGTACCTCCTTGTGTAAAAGTGTTTGTTATTTGTGTGTGTGTGTGTGTGTGTGTGGCACATGCACAGTATCAGGAATTTAAGAATACTTTATCACCATCAACTCCCCCACCTTATGTCAAGTTTACATTTAAAAGGTAACTTTGATATAATAACCTGCACATGATTAGTTAGTTGTTTAATACCTACAATGACTAAAGATGTATCTTGTGATTTTTGATATGGTATATCTGAAAATCAAAGTGAAAATATTTTTTTACAACTATTACAATACAGGAGCAGTGTAGCCTTTCCACTTGTGTCAAATGTATTATTTCCATATCAGTGATGTCACGGTGAGGACGGGGGAAAAGATTTTCATGGAAAGAGCTTAAACCCTCACTCTATAACAAAAAGCCTGCTGTATTCTGGGGTTCACTCACGGCTTTCTATTCTAATTTCATTCACGGTGGGAGATTTTCCCTGTCTAAGTGCTCCCAAAGTTTTGAATTCTACAGAAGAAGAATGTTTGCACTTGGAAGAAAACTTCCATTGCTTCATCAATTATTATTAGAACATTTGTTCACGAGTCAGTATGTGCTGAAAGGCCATTTGTACTACTTGTACTCTAGTTCATTTCCTCCTATTTGGTACCATGCTCTTCACCTATCAGTGGTGCTTCCTGAAGATCCCATTTCATTTGGCTTAATCTGATTCCCTTCTGTGATATTATAACCATGGAATTATATTATCATTGAATGAGATAATAACCTCTCAAGTCCTGTGAAATGTTCCTATTTGAAAATACAATAAATATTCTTTACTCAAAGCCAATTTCCCAACATATTTCACCTTAACATCGTTCCAGTTGGATGCTTTTTAACTAAATAGCTAGGAATATTATTAATGACTCAGGAAGAAAACAATTCCATCAATGTGTTTATTGTACAACCTGCCCATAAACCTGTTAATATCACATCCGTATTTCAGACCCATAATAGTCTGGATAGGTTAAAATTAGAATGTGTGATGACTGTGCATGTTTTGGCCAGCTTCACATGTCTTGTTTCTAGAGAGCCAAAAAAGCTATGTGCTGTTTCCTCCATCTCTCACCCAGCCTCTCGCTCCAAAAGCATTCCTCTCCTCTCTCTTGCCCGCCCGTCAATTCAGTTATTTTCATCCTGTCAGGGAATCATTAGCTTTTCTTTTCAGCCATAAGGACACCATTATTGTCCTGCCCCTCTGCCAGGAAAAACACTAGATCCTGTCAACTTAGAGAGAAACGGAGAGAGGGAGAGAGAGAGGAGAAGCGGGAGAGTGAAGATAATTTGTACAGTGGGTTTGGTTTGGTCTGACTACCACTTAAAGAAGCGTCTACATCCTGCCCTGTAACAAGTGTATCCTTGTGTTAGTGTCCTGGGCACCACCGCACCAGGAGAGGTGCATTCATTCCTCACACCCTCTCTTCATCCCGTTCTCCCTGTCTCCCCCTCTACCTCCCTTTGTCTCCCTCTTCCCCTCTCTCCCACCCCCTCTTCCCCTCTCTCCCCTCCTCCCTTCCTCCCCTGTCTCCCCCTCTTCCTCCCCATCCCTATCTTTGGGGTTCCTCCCCCTCACGCGTCTTTGGGTCATTCAAAAAGCATTATATAAAACCCATGTATTCTAATTAATGTTATTCTCTTTGTCACCATGCAGGTTGGAGCGGCTGGTGGAGGTGCTGAGGAAGAAGGTGGGGACAGGCAGTGTCCGGACGGTCATCTGACTGAGACGACGCCTGGGGAAGCAACAGTCAGTCCACTCAGTTCCTGGCTCCGTCCTAAATGGCACCCTATTCCCTATATAGTGCACTACTTTTGACCAGTTCCCTATATCCCTATAGGCCACAAGTAGTAAAGGGAATAGGGTGCCATTTGCGATGCAACCCCTGTCTGCTCTGTCCGAACTGGAGCAGCCTGACCGACCGTCCAGTCGAACGGCCACATCTGGTGACCAGGCTGCCTCCCTGCCTTCCCAGACCCAGGCTGTTGTGTTTAACTCTGTGTAAACACACCCAAGCTTTAACTGGGCAAACAGTTGTTAGAAGTGCAGCACTCCAAAGCCTCATTCCAGGCTGGGCTCAAACTGAATTGTAAATGTTTAACCACTTGGGTTGTTGGTTTGTTGCTTCCCACTCTCTTTCTCTCTCTTTCTTTCTTCAATTCTACATTTTACCTTACTGAAAATCATGTAAAAATTTTTGGGGTCATCAACTAATTTCTGTATTGATGTTTGTGTTGCTGCCTATCTATCTCTCTGTTACAAGGGAAATGCCTGTGTGCCTTGCTGCCTGACTTATTGATCAAAAATGTATTCTCTTTGATATCCCAGATCAATACAGTGTCCTGACATATACAGTATTTCATTGAAAAGGTTAGTGCTGTATTGTAAAGGTTGTTGGTGTTGCCTGGATTCGGCATTGATGCTGCCTTGGGCCAAATAACATGTGATGTATTTGGTCAACTCCGTGATGCTCTCAAATCAAATCATTAATGGAATTTGTGATTTGAAGAACATCACCTATCAACTTCTGGGATTTTTGCCTCTTGTATTATAAAGTCAGTATTGCTGTAATATTTCATAGACATTTTATGGTGTGCGTATTGTATGAAATAAAACATATAAACAACTGATAAAAATAAACATCTTTATTATTCTGATAACTCAACACTATTTACTATACTCAAAGACAAAATGTGTGACATTATTAGTGGCCACCAAATATGTTGTTTTATTTTCAGGACTTTTTTTTCTTAATTTTTATAAAGTAATTTTTCAACTCAGTCACGACCATTATATCCCTATGGATTGATATCGACTTCTGATTGAAGATAAAACTGTCTGTTTTAACACTTCTGTTTATCTAAGGTTCAGCTCTCAAAGTGTGCTAATTTGGAACAGGTCTTTAAAGAGGAAAGAAATTAACCCACTACCTCTGATATTCATTTTGTAAGATCCATATGACAATTCTCTAAATTACACAACTGTATTATTTGTTCTCTCACTGACTAAAGGTTTCATGAAGCAATATTAACTTTTTAGAAGTATTCAAAGTAGGTCAAAGTATAGAGTGAAGGGTTTATTTTGTTAACTCCAATAATCAATGCATAAGGGGCCCTGTGTAGCTCAGTTGGTAGAGCATGGCGCTTGCAACGCCAGGGTTGTGGGTTCATTTCCCACGGGGGGCCAGTATGAAAATGTATGCACTCACTAATTGTAAGTTGCTATGGATAAGAGCGTCTGCTAAATGACTAAAATTTAAAAATTTAAAATATCAATTTCATGGAACTTGAACTTCTAGCTGGGTTTTATAGAATTACATTTTAAGCAGAGCTTTAAATATCTTAATTTTAATACATTTGTATTTTGTCCCGTGGCACTGTTATTTTGGCTATTGCACACTGGCCAGAATTTGACAAAGGCATTGCACACTAAAAACAAATGATTCATATAGTGCCACATAAGGGTTTTTTGGCTTGTAACCATAGTGGATCCCTTTTTGGTGCTATAAAGAACCATTACAAAAAGGGTCCTGTATCGCACCAAAAAAGGGTTCCGCTATGGTTACAACCCTTTTTGGGGCTATATAACACCCTTTTGTATGGTTCTTTATAGAACCTTTATGGAGAATGAGAAATGTTTTTTATAGAACCTATCCCAAAGGTTATTTGTAGATCATTTTGAAGAACCATACAGGATTTTTTATTCTGGTCAGCCATATTATACTGTTAAAATTCCATAGGTGTTCTTATTAGTGTTTAATTGACTAGTTGAATCAGGTGTGGTACCTCTGGAACAGCTGGGGGTCCCTGAGGAGAGAATTGAGAACCACTGATTTAGTCAACTGTTCTTAATTAACACAAGGCCATATGCATAGAGATCCTATTAAATTACTAGAGGGGCTATGTCATAAACCCTCAAAGTTCCAGAACGGCGTGAAAATGGCAGCCAAATTGGTCAGGGAGAAATCCAAACCAGTCTAATTGGAATTTTTGTTTTCCTGGAAAGCTGTGAGTGCTATTATATGATAAAATATCAGTACTTGTTGCATTTACAACTTGTTTAAGTCCTATCATTAACTGATTTCTGCCAGTGTATGGCTGTGGATTGACTGCATTGTTTGAATGGAATGTTGGCATATTGGCAGTTAATTAGAAAAATGTATGGAATCATTCCTCTTAAACTGGCTACCTAGCTAGCTAACAAACATGCAGTGCAGATATATACTTCAAATTCATTATTTCACACTATCTTATCCCAGCACTGGCAAACATGGCATGGTTTAACAACTCCCTGACCAAAATGGCTGACCTTTATCCCATCATAAGAAGGTTCATGTCCATTCTAGTATTCCATGGCCATGGATGAGTCTTTCACAAGACATGTCACTGGCCATAGTGATATATAACATGTGATGGCATAACACAACAGATTACTCACACTTGCACAAAAAGAGCTGTGAGCAAACCATGCCCCCAAATATCAAAATGAGCCGCTGCCCCTACATTTTAATTATCACTAAATGAGCAAAGAACCCTTTTGTGAACTGCAAAGAACCTTTTTGAAGGGCTCAAAGGGTTCTTTGCATCATTATGGTTCCACATAGAACCATCCTTCCCAAAGAACCCTTGAGGAACCCTTTTTTCTTAGTGTGTACTGACTTTGAGAAATAAATGTTGTGGTCTAGAGAGAGATGCAAGGAGAGAGGCACTGTCTCATTTTCCTGCACCAAAAACCTCTCTTTCTCTCTCTCTCTTTCTCTCTCTCTTTCTCTCTCTCTCTCTCTGTTTTCCCTCTCTGTGGTCCATCTTTGCATACTGATAGTTTATAAACATAAGAGGGCCGAAGAGATTAGGCGACCTTTACTACAGACTACACACCAAACAATTATATCCGCATCGTGTACGTTTCATTTTTCTTATATTGATGAGTTGACCCTAACGAGCCCTACTTTCCTTCCGGTGTCCTTCGATAAAAAAGCTAGGGCTGTGGTGAGACTTGTGTACCCATACAAGATCGATTATGTACTCAGAAAATGTGTTGGATGGTTGGATGCACCGTTGCCCTCAAGTTGCAGTCTAAAGACAGGAGGGGTTGGGTAGAGAGTACCCTCCCCTCAGATAATGCTCGAGCGACAAGCTTCTCGATTTCATCTGCGCTGGTAACCGTGGAGATCGCACAACTTGGGTGTCCCCACTCTTAATCCCACAAGGTCCTCCCAATGTATGTTTCTCCGTCAGATAATCCGCGTTGTTCTAAATACGGAGGCAAAATCTTTCACTTTGTTGAAATCTGAAAACTTTTGATATCCCTGGTTATCCCCAAATCGGCCACGCCTCCATTTGTGAATTACGCATTATTATGATGATCGCACACACTCGTACGAATACAATGCCTCATGTCGGCTAGCCTATAGGCCTCTATTTTGATTATGGTTCAGTTCAATATATCTTGACTAGGCCTATAGAAGCACATTTTATATTTATTGAGCAATGTTATTTTGTAGTCTGATACTTGATTTCTCCTCGGTATTGTTCTCTCTTGGTCTCCGTGTAAAGGATTGTACACCGGCGCATCAAAAAGAAGGCGATTCCCGATTACCCTATTTTGAGAACCAATCGCATGATGACATGACTACAAAACAACTTTTTATACGCTTTAATTAAAAACGTGTTCCGGCAGCCCAGTGGTGAATGAACTTCAGAGAAAAGCGTGACTGATCCTGTTGCTATAACGACACCAAATATTTCCAGTCTTTCCTTCCACTTTAACGCACTCCATCCATTCGTCCATCCATTTATTCGTTGTGGACCTTCTTTTCTACTAACAATGTATGAAACTAGAGGCTAATTGACAATAAAATGACAATGTTCATGAAGCACATATTTTATAAAGCCTTGGCCTATGTGAAAAGCATGCCATTTGGGGGGAAATGTGCCTATTGCGCAATGATGAAAAGCAGGCTTTAGTTCATTCTCCTGGCTATCTCGTTGTTTACAGTGTTGCATAATATGGTTAGTCGTTCTTTTGATATAGGTAGACTATGCGTGTTTTACATTTTTAACTATAGATTATTTGGGCGTTCCGTATTAGATTGTCAAATTGTTTAACATTTAGTTTATATAGCAAATACTGTTTGTTTATAGTGCCACATCTTATTTTATTTACCAGACTGGTAGCCTAATATTTAATATTTGGATAGCTGGAATACATTTGGAATAACTTCCATTTGTCTTCGTCCTCTGCAAAGCCTGGCGCATAGCACTATTCTGTATCCTCCTTTGTTTGTTAGAACTTTTTCCGTTACCCTGCAAAGAGAGCAACCAAAAATAATAATAATTGGGTTGTCCCCTTATTGTGGCCTCCAATGGATTAATGAAGACACAAAACACCATGGTCTCGTAGCAGGCAGGCAGGCCGAGGGACCACCAACCTGACATAGTCGATGTATATTAGGAGGACACAAAGCCCTAATAAACTTCTTCCGTATAATTTTTAATGGAAAACCAGCTGCTTCTAAAGCTGATTTCGGATAGAGATCTCTCCCTCTTCTCCCTCGGCCTTTGAAAGCTCCTTTCTTTCGTCTTTGAATTTGAAGGGGTATTGCTTTGCTCTTTTCGTTGGCCAAGCACAATTGTGTTATTGGAGATAATTAATTCAATCCCCATCAAAAGGTATTAGAAGCGCCTTGGCCCTGTAGTGGCTTTCTAAACTCAGAATGAAAAGACGGAGAAGAAAGGTCTACGGGTAGGCTCGCTGATGGTCTCTTTTGAAGTAAAGGGGTCTGCGCATTGTTGTCGAAATTTTTGTCCATAAGGCTGAAGAAAGCGTCAGGGCTTTTGATGGGGAAACGTGAAATGCCACATAAGTTGGAAAACAAGGCGCTGCTGAAATCTCCATGCTGGACACTGCCTGCTGATAACATATGTCACATATTACTAAAGGTTGGACAACTTGAATAATGTAGTTCAAATTTAAATGTGTAGAAAAACACGTATAGCCTATACGCCAAAGGCAATTGAAAACTAGGCCTATAAATAATAATAATAGCCTAATCATAATAATAATAATATGTTTATTATTCTAAGTATCGATGTGTATATAATAAACATTATCGGGGTAAGCATATGTCTATATAATTACTACTAAATTGACCTTCGTAAGCTATTAATTTATATTATCTTATATGACGGCATAAAGCAGTTGATGTGGTGGTTTAGACTATTAAATACTAAAGTGAACAGCTATTATGGGTTTCAATGTGATATGCTCTTACAGTAAATTATAAATGTTGTAGCCTATCCCCTAGAAAAAAACACTTAATTGCCTTTTTCACAGGTGAAATGTCGAACATAATGCATGATATTCTATATAAATTAATATTTATCTCTTATTTGCACATTGAGGTATGGCTTAAAAGCAAATATTTAAATCAGAATCAAGCAAAAGTCACTGACAGGTTTGCTCTCTGTTTTTATTTGCCGTTTCACGTTCGACACAAGGTGGTTTCCATACTAAATCGAACACTGCAAAGCTTTTTTTCAACAGCTGGGCAAGCTAATGAACAAGATCTGTCTAAAGTTCAAATATTTCTCATGGAAACGTGGAGTCCTTTTCTCCACAAATTGAGGTTTATATTATTGGAATGTGCAAGAGAGGTTTAACAAAGGAGAAGAAATAAACGAATTACTCGGTGCATTTTGGATTATCTGCTTGGGTTGATTTGACCATTTTAAATGTACCTACCTTTATTGCCAGGCATATACTGGCCAATACCATATTGTTTGCCTCCAAAACTGTACACCTTCAAATACAGTAGGCCTATGAAGTAGGTTATAATGGGCCCATCAAATAATGCCGGTGGGGACCTTGATCCAAACCGCTTCACAAATAATCTAGATCATATCTGGAGTAGGCGTGTTTCTCCGTTAAATGTGTCAATTTGAGGTTCATGCCCTCTTTGATATGCTTGTAGTTCATTCATGAACACTGTCATTATGGCAAAATGACTGTAATAGCATATATCACAATCATTTTATTGACAAAATCATGTATCCTCTTGAAGTGAAAAGAACAAAAATTCAATATTAACGTCAGCCTAAATTCTTCAGGGAAAACTATCCAATCGTTGTAGGACAATAGGCCTAGGTGTTATCCATATTTAAAGTGACCAACAATAAAACATTTATTAGTCACCATTTAGGATATTATGGTCCAAATTTGATTTGAATAAGATACAATTGAAAGCATACAAATGTAGGTTTTTAGATATTGTTCATATTAATGTTAGTTCATCAAGAGTAGGCTAAAGGTACGACTCGAGCATGTGCAACTCATGCACAGACAAGCTTCTCAGTTGTTCCAAACATATTTAGATGTATTATCTAAATAAACATAGCTTCTTAAAATGTTATTTTATTTATATAAAACAAGTAAGCTTAAATTTGTCTGTGGAAATATAATCTGAAGAAAAAAAAAGCACAGACCACAGGCCTATGGCCTAAGCCTATAAAGCCTCAATTCTCCTCGATATTTTCACCACACTCAATTCAATTCTCCATGTTATTTGCGCATCGGGGGGCAATTACATGATAATTAAACACATTTCACGGTTACTCAGCCAAAATGTGTGTCTACAAAATACCATGATCAAAGTCAAATCTGTTCAGGTTCACGAGCCGCATCATGTAGGGTTACGATTCACAAAAAGATGCTTTGGCCTTTCCATGATATTGTTAAAAATCCATTTACAACACGCCCGAATCCTTTATGAGGTAAAGCTCTGCGGCTGTATTTCTGTTAGATTTGGCTTTAGCCTTGCTCATTGATCAAAAACTTGCGGTGCGTCAACCCAAGCGAGCATCAATACAGTTAGCGTTTATAAACTTTACAGGGATATTAAAATGATATTGAAAATGATATTGAATACACTTTGGGTGTTTCTATCGATGGTTCAAAACCTAATTTCATATGGAGATATAATTCATGATATAATATTTTACGCAATAGCTTACAAGACAGAACAACAAAGCTGGCTATATGCCACTCTGACAGAAGCTTTAGACCATATAATGAATACATTCCCTTTACAATGGTAATGAAAATGTTTTGTAAGGCTTCATTTAAACTCAAAACGTTAAAATTCATATTGTTCCTGAATTATTTGGATATGCGTAAAAGTTGGAACAGTTGCGTAATTGAATGGTAATTCTTTACCCCTCATGCAAAGAATAGCTTCTTCAAATTAACATCAGAAATACCAACAATCAGTGAATAAATCGGATTTGTTTTATTTGAAAATTAACAAGAAATAAGTTAAGCACATGCAGAGACATCAAAACAAACAGAGAAAGACAAAACGCTGACATTAGGCTGCACATAAAATCCCAAATTTTCTGGTTTGAAAAATACCACAAAAGACATAGAATTTTTATGTATAAAGAAATACATATTTTATTTATAATGCATTTCCACGTGGAATTTAAGATTGTTATACAAGATTGGGTTGTAAATATGTTTGTCAGATATTTAGCAAATAAACCAAAGCAATGCATAAAATGACAACATCCATTTAAAAAAGTAGGCTATCTGGAACAGACGGGTGTTTTTCGCTTCACCTGTGTCACGCGTTCCACGAGACCTTACTGACCTTCATTCATGCACATTGTAACACATGGACATATTCATTGTGGGTACTACAAGTTTGCGGAATACAACATTATTTTACAAGCTCAAAATTGTTTTAAATACACTAGCAATGATTTACAACTGGATATACAATCATTCAATGGTAACACTTTACAGTATAGGCCTATTGTATTTTACTCATACACATTCTTATACATTAAAGTAACAGTCCTTATGCACCAGGTGCATGCAAAAAACAAGATACATGTTTTCTGTCATCCTTTTATCGAGCACTATAAAAATGAGAAGATACTAAGAAGTGTTGAGGACTGGTCTGGAATACACACCTTGATAGTATGACGCCTCTATTGCGGATGGGTCCATAGCTCTGCCAGCCATGGACGCACTGCCGAGGGGTAGACTGGAAGACATACCTGAGCCGTAGGAGGAGTATTGCAAAGCTTGCTCGTAGGCTTTCAAATCCAGTTTGTGCTGTTGCTCTGAGGATGACATTAAATTATTTATTGAAAACGGGTGGTTGAATGAGTAATGGGGATCCCCTTTTAGGTGCAGATGGGACTCGTGCGCCATCGAGTGCGGAGGTAAAGGGAGAGAGGACAGGGAAGTGGCCGAGCTGGCCACGGGGTGGAGAGGTGGCCCGCTGCTCTTTAGTTCAGAGGCGCTGCTACTGCTCCTGTGCTCCATGCTGTGAGGGCTGGAGGACTGGTTGGAGGTGGAGAGGGAATAGGAGTCCACATTCCCAGTCTTGCTGTTGGTATTATCGCTCGAAGGCGACCCAGAACCGCACTGGTCTTTCCTTCCGTCCCCTTTACTTGAAGATATCTTTCTATTTTCGCATTTAAAGCGCTTTTGTCTGCGGAGGTAACAACCGTTCTCGAACATATTTCCAGAATCTGGGTGCAGGGCCCAGTACGAGCCTTTGCCTGGCTTATCCGGTGACCTAGACACTTTGATGAAGCAATCATTAAAAGACAGGGAATGGCGAATAGAGTTCTGCCACCTCTGTTGGTTCTGTCTGTAGTATGGAAATAGGTCCATTATCCACTGGTAGATTTCGCTAAGCGTGAGCATCTTGCTTGGTGCTTGCTGAATGGCCATGGTTATGAGGGATATGTACGAATACGGAGGCTTTGCGTGCGGGTAGCTTCTCCTGAATGACTTGTTGTCCCTTGCTCGGTTCAGGTTGGGCTGAGTATAGGACATTGGGCTCATAGTAGGGCTCATGCTCGCGTATGGATTCATAGCGTTCATGGAAGCCTGCTGAGCCGACATCGCGCCCATGTTCGAGGGGCTAAGGGCAGTGCCCATTGACGGTACCCCTCCACCCATTCCGTTCATCGCACTGGACGCGCTCGGGGGCATCCCTGTCATTGTCCCGGGGCTTAGTCCGGCTCCCAGGCCGGGGTTGGCATAGGACATGTTGAAAGAACCTGAGGTCATATTTCCACTAGCAGACATACTCATGTAACTGTTCATACTGTTCATGGAACTCAACCCTGCATTCATGCCGCTGTTCACCATGGGCGAATATACCTGGAATAACATGAGAGAAATGTGATCACAACAATGCATTGGTCTTCCACACACTCAAAGTGCTTAAGTTTTGTAGTATTATTTTTTATTCTGCTGAAATCCACTGTGTAATAATGTATAATTCATCATGATTAATATTAGGCTGTTAAACACAAAATATTTCTAAACGAAACGATTTTAATTAATTCGATTTGACTAGAAAACATGAGATTAATTTTGAGAGCCTCTAAACAGCAGCATGAAAACAGTGCAGCCTGGTCCATTTATTATGTATCTCAAACTCAATCAATATTGTTTCATTGTGTTAGGGCATATAATGCCATTTAGTGCTGCTTTTCAAGCAATGCAATCATTTAGATAAGTATTTTATGTAGGCCTATTATGCACAAACAGAGGGTCAAGCAAAGTGTATTACTCTATCTTATTATTGGCATGGAACAAATGTATTACAATTGTTTTCAAACATTCCACTGACTGCAACTTTCTTTTCGAACAGCATGCATTGATAAACATATGACATGATCTCGCTGCATGATGGCTGGTAAATATTCAGTGCCAAATCCCATTTTTACGCGCATATATAATGGTATTTTATTTTTTGTTAAAGTGCCAGTATCTCAAGTCAGCATTCGGCCCGCCGTGACTGCAATGTGCACTGCTGCCACCCGGCGGGTTTGGCCATCTCTCGTTCTTTAGGATACATCATCAGGTTGCATATAGTGAAGTATATGCCCAAAACAGCCCAATATTCCATAAACTACAACAACACCGTGCTATGGAATTCTTTTTGAAGGACACTCAATGCAGTTTGCTAGAAAACATACATTGAAAAAACGAAGACGTGGAAATCAGTTAGCACTTCATTGTTATTCTAATACACAAATCGAATAAAACCAAAATACACATAGCCTACCTCTTGTGCGTCATTGTAATAGCTGCTCCAATCTGGCGTTTCGTGACCTTCCATTTTCACTGTACCCAACATTATGGTTGATATCCACAAATCGTAAACATGCAGTTCCTCAGACTTAAGTTTTTGAGAAACGTATCCTAGGAAACGGTGCGCTGTAACTGGTGGGATGTTGCAGGAGGGCTAGAGTAAAGAAGTGAGGAGATGTTGAATGCAGTGTGACCTGTGAGTTTAGATCTTCCCCTATTACGTAGGCGGTACAACCCACCCACTTTTTCAGTGTTCATTTGCCTGGCTCTTTTTCCCTCACTGAAGTCACCCCTCCCGTGCCCACAGTTATTCTGCGTCTTTACAGAGAAAAAAAGCCCAGTCAAAAATAATGTTTTTCTCTCCCTAATAAGGTGTGTAAACATTCCATCCGTCAGAAAGCAGGGTTTGAAAAACAGCCGAGCATGGCATTTGTTGTTGTACAATTACGCACTTGGAATTATATCCACAAATAAAGGTATTTCATATGCCATGGAGAACGCCAGGCATAAACCAAATAGACTAGCATTACAACCTAGCATTTTAGGCCTTTATTACGCTTAATCATGAAGGGGATTTTAATGCAATAAAATGTAACAAAAACGTCACTGTTTATGCTTATAATTTCAAAATATCCATTACCCACACAAGGGCGCGCGCGCCCTACAATGTCATGATAATATTTGCTCTGGCTCACAGAAAGTTGGCAATAGGGATCCAAATGTTAAATTCTGCGAGAATTGAGAAGGCGTTAGCACTGAGGATATTGGATATTCTTATTTTTTTAAAAAAACACTGATAAGCATGCATGGTTATTCTTCTGTCAGTTTTATTTAGGTGTTTTGCCATATAATGCAAGGTTAATTTATTTATATTACTTTCATTTATGTGCAGACTATGCCATATACATTATTTAATTGTAGCCTACGTAAGCCTGTGTTTCATGTTTAATGTTATGACCTCTGGACAATGGAGAAGACAAGTGTCAACATCTTTATATGAGTGAAAAGAGCTTCACATTATTCCCCTATTCTGTTAACTGTACGCTAGGCCTACAAGGAGTTGCAACCAGGTCCTTCGATTCTAAACCCGTTGATGAGCGAATAACAGCGATAATTATCCCCTTACATGGGATTATCTCAGGGTGATCTCTAACGCCATTAGGGAGAGAACATCGATTTGTTCAAGACGGATTAAAACGTCCCACAAAGCATGGGAAATTAGGTTTACTGCTGGATTTGAAATCTGACACGGTACATATAGCCAGCCCCACAACGGCCTACAGATGAACATGGTTGTTTTACAGATATTTACGCTAATAGATTGCTTTATTCTATGACATGAGTCCTTATGATCACATATTTATTATCGTATAGCAAAAAATGTAAAATGAAAAAAGAATCAGAAGATGAATTGCCCCAAAGAAAGGCCCATCATCTTCACCACATTAGAAGGAATTAATTATATTCCACATTAGAAAAATGTACTAGTCAATATTGGATTTTATGACAATAACATTTCCTGAAGGCCTACACATCCAGAATAAAAACTACGGAGCCAATAGAAAAAGGCATATGCCTATGCCAAATTGAAATTCTACTTCTTCTGTCGATTAGAAAAGCCTTTTTAGCTTTGAACACGTTTGCATTTTGTAACTTTTTATTTTGTTCAACTTCCAAAGCTCGTGCGGTTTTTGGCAGTCTTAGTTCTGCACCCACGTGGTGTCTGTTTTGTCCAGCCTAGTTGTCTGGTTTGGTTGCTAGGAGATCCTTCCAGCCACAACGAAGAAATGGTGGATGTTAAATCTTCCCAAAAGTTTGTAAACATTTTACCTGCCAACGTGTTTATTAGATAATATTCAAATATTTAAAGTAACGTCAATTTCAGCAAAGAGCAGTGTCTTGTCACTTCAATAGTTTTGGAAAAGGTAAGCGTTGGAATTTGCTAACGTTAGCTAATCTAACGTTATTCTAGCAGCATTGAAGTGGTTCACTGACACTGGCAACATTGTGGCTAGTTAAATGGGGCGTATGACATCTTTCAAACTTCATTAGCAACAAAATAGACACTATGAAACTGTTATACTGACAGTGCTGCTACTTTTTGTAACACAGTAACAACAATCTTAACATCAACAGTTTGATAATCATGAGTTATTGAGTAGGCCGCGTAATCCTACATAGAAGAAGCATCATTGTCATGTCAGATATCACGTTTTAATAATATTCTGAGCCACAGCGAGGAGCTAAAGCTGAAGAAGGAGTTAGGGGCTCTATGCAATGAGTCCCAGTGTGAATTCCTACAAATGAAGCAGCTGTTTTTCAACTCCCACACATCCACCAGCACACAGGCCCAGCCACCAGACTCTCTCCGCACACTGGAGTCATCAGGACTGATGGAAGAGGCTACAGAGGGACTCTGTGGCACATCGGACACACCCCAAAATAGGACCTCACAGATGTCTGCAGGGTCAGTCAGCCTGTTGGAGTTCCATGCAGATCTGCTACAATCCCCACCTGCCTCCTTACCACAAAGTGCATTCCTACCAGACATCCCTAAAACGAAGTCAGAGGTGAGCAAGAGTCAAGGAACCACACGTATGAAAGGAATCAGTGAAGAGAGAAATTCAGTTCATTTGGTCCTGTCTCCTCCAGGGCAGAAACCTTCCCCGAAGCCGGCCATAGCTCAGCTAGCAGGGACTACCAAAGTGGTGTCCATGTCCATGAGGCCACAGCCTCCCTCCAAGCCCAGGTCAGAGAGGCCAGCAACAGGGACCAGGACATTTATATACAAGAGCAAGAAGGAGTCAGAGCAGGTGTCGGAGAAGGAAGCGGCTGAGAGGCGCATCCAGAAATCAAACTTCTTCAGCAGATGTCAGGCTCTGAGCTCGGATAACACCGATGACAGCAGGAACAGTGAGGACTCGGGCTCCGAACAATCCCACGGGAACTCCCCACAGAAGGTCAAGAAAAAGAAAAGGAGGGAACAGAAAGATAGGTCTACACATACACCAAGGACGTCCACTGACGACAGGACCTCAAAGAGCCAGAGGAGTACCAAGGCCCCCAACAGTATCCACAGTGTCAAGTCCACCACAGAGCTGCTCGATGAGGCCCGGGGCATTGTAGGGGCCAAGGGGGCAGAGAGCCAGGAGGACACGGACCCCCAGCAGAGAGACCCAGAGGAGTCAGTGGCCAAGGCTATGGGGCTTGTCAGAGGCAGAGGGAGGACGGTGGATGAGATCATTGCCTCCCTACAGAGAGGGGACAGTGATATGCCATCCGCCTCAGACCAGATGATCAAGGAGCTGATGGAGAGAGTGCTGGGGGACAGCTACAATGCTGACAACGAGGTGACAACATGATTACAATAGGATAACAACTGATAATATGCTGAATGGTCACAAACATGTTGACCTTCATACTTTTGGTTGAGATTTTAAATAAGCCCAGTGATAGTTAATTTATATTAGTTATTTAAACAGGTATTCAATGCTCATAACAATTGCACTTCTATTGATTAATGACAATCTTTGTTTTTGTATAACAATCAATCATTTTTAAAGGAAGAGAAAACAGCGGAATCAGAGGAGCGAGAAGAGAATATTGTCCATGTACAAACAGAGGTAATGCAGAGACTACAGTGTTTAGATTTATCACATTTCACTTGCCTTGACTTGTGACATTGAAAAATAGGTTTTCAGAGCATTTGAGAACTTTTTTAAGTGGAGTGGTTTCTGTTATTAAGGTTGTATAAAGTTGAAACTAAATTCTACCTTGATAAGGAATTCTGTTTGTATGATAGTTAACATTAACAAACATATCCTGATTTTTCCAGGGAACTCAGATGTCCCCGGTTCCACAGAGGATGTTGTGGGTTAAGAGGGAGACACCTACCCCTCCAAGACTTGTTGAGTCCCCTAAAGTCAGATCAGGGGTCTACAAGATGGCTCACTCACTGTCTGAACGAGAGACAGACTGCGATGACTCTATGGCCTCTGCTCCTCCACAGAAGGTAATACTTAGATTTAGTTGGTTGTCATTGTGTGAAGTTCAGTAGTTGTTTTACAACTGTACTATCAGTTTATCTTGTTCCCGCCTAATTTATGTAAGTCTTTTCTTATTTTAGCTCCCACAATTAGAAGACAAACATTTGTCTTTTATTTGTATTAATTTTTTTAAAGGTGACTTATACAGATGTAATGACAGCTCGAGGAGATACCATAGCTCCTTCTCAGAGACCAGCGAGGGTGTCTTTACAAAACAAAACCATTCAAAGCCTCTCTCTTCTAGCAACATGGGCCCCCAAAGCACAGTAAGCATCTTGTATTCCCTCTCAGTCTGGTTGATCATGAGAGTTGTGAGTTGTTGTTACAAACAGATTTTGAGTTGTGATCATTATTGGAGGTTAAACTACTACTTCTATTACAAGCTTGGGTAATAAATTGATAAAACATGCAACACTGCACTGTAAAATAAATGGTGTTTTTCCCCAAAAACATGAAAACATGTTGCTTAAACCCTCTATAATCATGGTCATCACTGTGATCTCCCTGCTTGTTCTGAAAGAAGTCGTTTTCCAACAACCTCTTCAATTCGCTATCGTAGTAACTATCTCCAACCTTGACGTTAATGGATGGGGCGGGGGTGGCATTGGACGGAGGTGAGCTCAGTTCCAGGGAGTCTGTCTGTAAGTAAAGTGACTACTAGGCTATCATCAAAACTCCCCACCTGATTCTCAGAGACCCATTGACACAGAGAGTAATTATGCTCCCAGCCTAACACACTCTTTAGACTGCTCTCTCTCTGTCTGGAGCCTGATGCAACCACACACTTCCTTATAACTGACTCCTTACTCACCTAAAGAGACCAGATTTACTGCCTCCTCCTGCTGCAAATGCTGAGTTGGAGTTGTGCCACTCCCTCCCACTCCTTCCACTCCCCTCCAACCCCATTCAAGAAAAAATGGAACCAAAACAAGGGCCATTTAATTAGGGGTGTTTTTCAGAACTTTGGTTCAGTGAAAGGTTTCTGCTGGGTATGGATAAGAGGCTTTATAAGGGGGCCAGGCTGCCAGCCTGTCTGCTGATGGGAGATGGATTAGATAAGGAGCAAGGCTGAAGGCAGTGCTCAGGTCGGCTCCACTCCACAGTTATGGAATGCTCATTTAATTGAAAACAAGGCAAATGACTCCAGGGTGACCTTACAGGTTTGCCGCTCCGCTAGCTGAACTGAGGCATACCTACCTAACCCAGAGTGCCAGAGAGATGATCAATCTCGGGAGTGGCAGGCCATAGTGAACATGTTAGGCTCCAATAAATTGTCCAGTATCTGTCAGGACAGGAGGTGGGTGGTGGGTGGCGAAGGGAGGCCGGGCCTTTCCCTCCTAGCACAGAGAGGCCACACACAGAGTCTCCAGTTCAAAGAGTGGTGAGAAGTTATGGCAGGGATGATCTGAGCAAATAAACCTCCACCTCATCTGCTTACGCCACAGAGAATGGTTCATCTGTTAGGACAAGCCTCAAGACCACTGTATTGCTTGTAGACTTTTCAAATATGTGGATTGTTGTTGAATCGTTGACATTCTTCAATATAACAAACCAGTGGGGTTTTGGTTCAAAACAAAATGTCAGCTTACTTCCCCCTTTACCATACATGATAATACTGTATGTTGTGTTTTTATATACCCTGTGTTATTACAGACTAGCTACAGAAGTCAGAAAGTATGTTACATTTAGATACAATTGCAAGTAAGCATGAGCTTGGTCCTAGATCTGTTTGTGTTCTTGCCAACTCCATTGCTGTCATTGTCAAGCCAGTGACAAGGAGTTGGCATGATGGCGCAAACAGACTGGTGAAGTAAGAATATCACAACATTGTAGTCATTACGGTTGTAATTCTCTCCCACAGTACAGATGGGTACAAGACCATTCACCACCTCTGTACAAACCCAGTCAGCCAGGCCCTTCCTCCGGAGCTGCAGCTGGCTTCCCGGGTCTGTCACACCTCCAGCCAACTCCCTGCACCACCACAGTTTCACCAACAGAGGGCAGCACTACGACACATCGCTGCCCAGCCTGAAAGACACAGGTAAAACCAAATCTCTCCCAGGCTCTGCTTCATAAGTTGTTTTCTGACCAAAACCTAGACTTTATAGCAACATTTGGAATTGAAGTGCTGTGATACAGGGTATGATACCCTGTTTGTTGCATAAAATTATTTAGTAAATATGATTTGGTCATCCTCTACTTTTTCTCTCACTACCTTCTGCACTCCACGTAGGAAAACGTTGCATGTCAGGAGTATCATTACAACAACCTCATATCATGTAAAACTATTTAATCTCTTTGCAGGATAGTAAATGAAGGCGTGCCCTGCATGGAGGTGACTGAGTCTGATGGAAAGGACTGTGTGACCCACCTGCCTCCCCAGACTTCAGACAGCCTGGCTGACTGGCAGAGGATCGCTGAGTATTACGTAGAGAAGCCCAGGATGATGCTTCATGGACAGGCGGTGAGGAGGATCAGCACTATGTTAATTCAACTTTTTCCCCCAAACATTTTGTCTAGAAAGTGTTTTACCATCCAACAAGATGATCCACTAGGTGGCACCAAACATATTTGTAACTCATAAGATACAGCAGGTTGCTTTAAAGGTACTGCTTATAACATGGTAATAGCACTGTAGCTATCTGGGATTGTTTAGGAATGTAAAATGTTTAAGTTCCAATGAAGCTAACACCGCATTATCTTTTTAATTCCATGTATGAGTTTGTTTTATTCAAGGGAACTTTTCATTGGTCTAGATGAGTCACCTGTCCTCCCAGTTAATTTTGTAAAATTTAGTTTTTTTTTTTTTAGTCATTTAGCAGACGCTCTTATCCAGAGTGACTTACAGGAGCAATTAGGGTTAAGTGCCTTGCTCAAGGGCACATCGACAGATTTTTCACCTAGTCGGCTCGGGGATTAGAACCAGCGACCTTTCGGTTACTGGCACAACGCTCTTAACCACTAAGCTACCTGCCGCCCCAGTTCTCTGTGTCTCTCATACAGTATTTCTCTCCTTCCTCCCAGACTTCTCTGTGTTCCAACGAGTTGAAGATGTTCTGGCACCCAGCTCCTCCCAAGTTCAGCTGCTCTCCTGCCTTCGTCAAACACAAACTCTTTCCCAAGTACCAGGTAGTGTAGTACCAGACAGACAGTCAGACCACATGGACAGTTAACGGAAGACTTAACTCTACTCCATATGTTCCTGGCTGTGTTTTAGTTGAGACGTGATGGGGTAACATTGGAGATGCTCTTTGATCATTACATTACAAGATGTGTTACTACTCTGAAAGTTAGATAACATTAACATTGATCGTGCCTTTTTAACCAAAGATGTCCTGGTGAATTAGAATATCTTTGAATATCAAATATCTTTAATATGTCTGGAAAATATCAAATTGCAAGTTAACCAGTTAACCATACCTTGCCAATGTGATCTCACCCTATATACCCTACTGCTGTGTTTCTATGGTGTTTGTTACTCAGGCAACACGGAACGATCTCTCCAGAGAGGAGCTCTATGGTGATCTGCAGGACCTGGTGGAATCAGCCTGTGACCTGACAGAGATGGAGCCAACCACCTCAGTGGTCAGTGTGTGCTTTAGTTACACCCCCCCCAACTAAATTAAACAAGCCTTTCCCCCTTCTATCTCTAGCATGCCCTTACGTACGTGTTGGATCTTCCTACAGGAAAATGTGCTGTCCAGAAAGTTCAAGTCTATGATAGACCTCAGAGTAAATGAGCAGTCACCTCAACCCTCCATTGATGAAGAACAGGTGAGTGTATATGATATGTCATGTCATTCAATAACATGATGAACCACTATATCAGTACATCTCACTGCCTAAGCAGAGGTTCTGACCATGGTCTCACTATTCACCATCTTGACACAGTTGAAGAGGCCCCTCTCTGCCCCATACCTCAATCCTGTGCCAGAAGCCTTCCTCAAGGTATCATGTGACTTCGCCACCATCACCAGAGAGCTGGAGGTGGTTCGGCAGCAGCTGTCCTCCACCGTGCTGGCTGAGGAGACCCCTCCCCAGGCCACCCCCATCGTCCAGCAGGAGGCCGACCACCAAGCCCCCGCAGCAGGCCCCACTACAGAGGAGCTCACCCCAGCCCTCAGCCAGAGCCAATTCCAGTACAGGAAGGACCGAGGCAGGGTGATGCTGGGGGAACCCCTCATGAGAGGCAGCATATCCCACTCCAAGAAGAAGGTCACCAAGGGTGGGAAGAAGCTGTGCCCTGCCAAGCTGGCCTACATCCATGAAAAACTGCAGGAGCCTCCACGTACTCTCATCAGGTAGGCAGGCTTACAGTACTGTGATTCATTTGAGATAACAAAGCAGTTATATAATTTGCAGACGAATGTGCTTTCATTTGGATATACAGTAGACCCATGTTATTGCTGTATTTACAGAATGTATACATTTCTTCTTTACATCTAATCCCCCTGTCTATCTGTGTTGTCTGCCTCTTGTTTTCCCAGGAGTGAGTCTGTGTGCCAGCTATTACCCATCAAACCCACCACGTGCCCTTCAGAGGAGCCTCCCCTCCCACTCCCCTTGCCCCGCTACTCGAGCCTACCCCTGGTGCTGGACTTTGAGAGCTTCGCCGCGGACCAGGGGGGCATCCCCGACGTGCTCCCTCCCCGGGAGTGGGTGAGGGATATCTGGGACGCCTGGTTCGACGAGCTCTTCCCCCCACTGGAGGAGAGCAGCAGCACCTCCAAGAAAGAGTCAGACTCCTCCAAGATTGCCCCCAGCAGCAGCCTCCAGAGCGGGACCCTGAAGAAGCCTGGGGAGAAGGTCCTGACGCTGGATGAGATCCAGGCTCTAGACTGGGTGGACCTGTCTCTGACCCTGGACCAGGGCCTGACCACAGGGGACCTGGAGGGAGAGGTGGCCAAGCTGACCCAGGCTATTGCCCAGCAGGACAGAGCCAGCGCCTTTGACCTGTGTCGCAGGGGGGCGCTGCAGAAGAAACTGGGCCGGCTCAACCAGGCTCTGGAGGATCTCAATGCCGTAAATTTAGTTCACATTTTCAGTAGGATAGCAGAGGTTTGGTTCTGAAATAGGACAGCCATGGAGGAGTGTGTTAGGTTGGAATACTGTAATTGCAGTTGGAAGCTAGTCAAAGTAACTTGAATTAGACATGTATTTATAAGTATATAAGCTAGCTAATAGGTTTGACCTGATTTCCCTGCTAGCTTCATTTTCCTCCTCTAGGCCTAGCTTCAGATGATAAATGGTTAATGTGTTGTTATTTCCACACTAGGCCATTTCCCTGGAGCCCTACCTGCTGGATGCTTACTGGCACAGGCACAGCATTTATCTGCTCAGAAACAACCAGAATAGCGCTTTGGATGACCTGAACTTTATCATCAAGCACACCAAGAAACATGCAGGTAAGCCCACCACAGCCCAAAGCCCTGTGTATTTTATTAGTTACTGTAGATACAAGTGATTCACAGTACATACAGTGAGGGAAAAAAGTATTTGATCCCCTGCTGATTTTGTACGTTTGCCCACTGACAAAGACATGATCAGTCTATAATTTTAATGATAGGTTTATTTGAACAGTGAGAGACAGAATAACAACAAAAAAATCCAGAAAAACGCATGTCAAAAATGTTATAAATTGATTTGCATTTTAATGAGGGAAATAAGTATTTGACCCCTCTGCAAAACATTACTTAGTACTTGGTGGCAAAACCCTTGTTGGCAATCACAGAGGTCAGACGTTTCTTGTAGTTGGCCACCAGGTTTGCACACATCTCAGGAGGGATTTTGTCCCACTCCTCTTTGCAGATCTTCTCCAAGTCATTAAGGTTTCGAGCCTGACGTTTGGCAACTCGAACCTTCAGCTCCCACCACAGATTTTCTATGGGATTAAGGTCTGGAGACTGGCTAGGCCACTCCAGGACCTTAATGTGCTTCTTCTTGAGCCATTCCTTTGTTGCCTTGGCCGTGTATTTTGGGTCATTGTCATGCTAGAATATCCATCCACAACCCATTTTCAATGCCCTGGCTGAGGGAAGGAGGTTCTCACCCAAGATTTGACGGTACGTGGCGCCGTCCATCGACCCTTTGATGCGGTGAAGTTGTCCTGTCCTCTTAGCAGAAAAACACCCCCAAAGCATAATGTTTCCACCTCCATGTTTGACGGTGGGGATGGTGTTCTTGGGGGGTCATAGGCAGCATTCCTCCTCCTCCAAACACGGCGAGTTGAGTTGATGCCAAAGAGCTCGATTTTGGTCTCATCTGACCACAACACTTTCACCCAGTTCTCCTCTGAATCATTCATATGTTCATTGGCAAACTTCAGACGGGCCTGTATATGTGCTTTCTTGAGCAGGGGGACCTTGCGGGCGCTGCAGGATTTCAGTCCTTCACGGCGTAGTGTGTTACCAATTGTTTTCTTGTTGACTATGGTCCCAGCTGCCTTGAGATCATTGACAAGATCCTCCCGTGTAGTTCTGGGCTGATTCCTCACCGTTCTCATGATCATTTCAACTCCACGAGGTGAGTTCTTGCATGGAGCCCCAGGCCGAGGGAGATTGACAGTTCTTTTGTGTTTCTTCCATTTGCGAATAATCGCACCAACTGTTGCCACCTTCTCACCAAGCTGCTTGCCGATGGTCTTGTAGCCCATTCCAGCCTTGTGTAGGTCTACAATCTTGTCCCTGACATCCTTGGGGAGCTCTTTGGTCTTGGCCATGGTGGAGAGTTTGGAATCTGATTGATTGATTGCTTCTGTGGACAGGTGTCTTTTATACAGGTAACAAGCTGAGATTAGGAGCACTCCCTTTAAGAGTGTGCTCCCAATCTCAGCTCGTTACCTGTATAAAAGACACCTGGGAGCCAGAAATCTTTCTGATTGAGAGGGGGTCAAATACTTATTTCCCTCATTAAAATGCAAATCAATTTATAACATTTTTGACATGCGTTTTTCTGGATTTTTTTGTTGTTATTCTGTCTCTCACTGTTCAAATAAACCTACCATTAAAATTATAGACTGATCATGACTTTGTCAGTGGGCAAATGTACAAAATCAGCAGGGGATCAAATACTTTTTTCCATCACTGTACAGCATGATAATGCACTGACTGACTCTGCCAAGGTGACAGTGATTGCACTTCTGCTGAATCTCTCACTTTAATGAATTTAAATTCCTCATTTTATGAGCGTTTTAGTTTTTTCGCTCTCTGTCATGTTCCATCTGTATTTTCAAGTTAGTGAGGGCTCCACTGATTTAAATGTTAGTTCCTTTTTGCCAACAGGAACATATTTTTGTTGACTATAATTATTGCACATTCTGTGCCATTACGCTGCTAGTTGATTTATTAAGGCAATTCTGGTGAAGTACCCACGGTTAAAGATGCAACTGGACTTACAGTGCATTCGGAAAGTATTCAGACTCCTTCCCTTTTTCCACATTTTATTACATTACAGCCTTATTCTAAAATTGATTAAATATATTTTTTCCCTGATCAATCTACACACAATACCCCATAATGACAAAGCAAAAACAGGCTTTTAGAAATGTTGGCAAATTTATTCAAAATAAAAAACGGAAATATTGCATTTACATAAGTATTCAGACCCTTTACTCAGTACTTTGTTGAAGCACCTTTGGCAGCGATTACAGCCTCGAGTCTTCTTGGCTATGACGCTACAAGCTTGGCACACCTGTATTTGGGGAGTTTCTCCCATTCTTCTCAGCAGATCCTCTCAAGCTCTGTCAGGTTGGATGGAGAGCGTCGCTGCACAGCTATTTTCAGGTCTCTCCAGAGATGTTAGATCGGGTTCAAGTCCGGGCTCTGGTTGGGCCACTCAAGGACATTCAGAGACTTGTCCCGAAGCCACTCCTGCGTTGTCTTGGGTGTGTGCTTAGGGTTGTTGTCCTGTTGGAAGGGGAACCTTCACCCCAGTCTGAGGTCCTGAGCGCTCTGGAGCAGGTTTTCATCAAGGATCTCTCTGTACTTTGCTCCGTTCATCTTTCCCTTGATCCTGACTAGTCTCCCAGTCCCTGCCGCTGAAAAACATCCCCACAGCATGATGCTGCCACCACCATGCTTCACCGTAGGGATGGTGCCAGGTTTCCTCCAGACGTGACGCTTGGCATTCAGGCCAAAGAGTTCAATCTTGGTTTCATCAGATCAGAGAATCTTGTTTTCCATGGTCTGAGAGTCCTTTAGGTACCTTTTGGCAAACTCCAAGTGGAGTTTGCCTTTTACTGAGGAGTGGCTTCCGTCTGGCTACTCTACCATAAAGGCCTGATTGGTGGAGTGCTGCAGGGATGGTTGTCCTTCTGGAAGGTTCTCCCATCTCCACAGAGGAACTCTGGAGCTCTGTCAGAGTGACCATCGGGTTATTGGTCACCTCCCTGACCAAGGCCCTTCTCCCCCGATTGCTCAATTTGGCCGGGTGCCCAGCTCTAGGAAGCATCTTGGTGGTTCCAAACTTCTTCCATTTAAGAATGATGGAGGCCACTGTGTTCTTGGGGACCTTCAATGCTGTAGACATTTTTTGGTACCCTTCCCCAGATCTGTGCCTCGACACAATCCTGTCTCGGAGCTCTATGGACAATTCCTTTGACCTCATGGCTTGGTTTTTGCTCTGACATGCACTGTCAACTGTGGGACCTTATATAGACAGGGGTGTGCCTTTCCAAATCATGTCCAATCAATTGAATTTACCACAGGTGGACTCCAATCAAGTTGTAGAAACATCTCAAGGATGATCAATGGAAACAGGATGCACCTGAGCTCAATATCGAGTCTCATAGCAAAGGGAATACTTATGTAAATGAGATATTTCTGTTTTTTATTTTTTATAAATTAGCAAACATTTCTAAAAACCTTTTTTTGCTTTGTCATTTTGGGGTATTGTGTGTAGAAAAATTAATGTAATCCATTTTAGAATAAGGCTGTAACGTAACAACAAGTGGAAAAAGTCAAGGGGTCTGAATACTTTCCGAATGCACTGTATATGTGATTTGATTATCATTCAGTAAGTGCTGCGTTAGACTAAATGTACAGCTATAGCTCTTCCTCCTCTCTAGGCTACTGTACAGTACAATACATTAACAACATTTTATACCTGTTTTCCAGACGCCTTTAAGTCCAAAGCAGAAATCTACAGAGTGAGAGGAGAGACCACCCTAGCTATTATAAACTACACTCAGGCCATCAAATGCAGACCTGAAGACGATGACAACTATTTCAAGAGGGCTGAGATGTATGAGAAGAGGAATGAGATTCTACTGGCCATGGAGGACTATGCCAAAGTAAGCCACGTTGCCACTGACATTACTGGGTCTCAAAACACTCTTAGGATGTAGTCTGGGTTCAATACAATAATCTAAGGTGGAAAACCAACAACAGTGTGATATTGTGTATTGATTGAGAGATTCCACCTCACTCCAGTGCTGACCCCTCGGGGGATTTTTTGCCAGCATAAGCCACAGAACAAGGGCTTAACAGGAGACTGCTGTGACTGGTGTGTATGTCTGTAATCTTTATCTTCCAGACGTTCACCATCAACCCAGGGAGAACGGACGCTCTGATGACCCACGGCCTGCAGTACTTCCACAGCTGTAACTGGATGGTGGCTCTGTCTGACTTTACTCTGCTGCTCCAACATGATCCCAGCCATGCCATCGCCAGGTAATCAATGGTTGCGTCCCAAATGGCACCCTATTCCCTATATAGTGCACAACTATTGACCAGGGCCCATAGGTAGTTGTACACTATATAGGACAGGGATGGGAAACTTTGATGGGGGTGGGGGCCACCAAAAAACTGAGAACATCATGAGGGGCCGCAGTGGCTCATGGGTCTGCGTACCCACATCCATACACCCCCCCCCCACCCCCACCCTCTCGTGACAGCGCCCACCCTCTCGTGACAGCGAAGATACATTGTTTTTGTTTTAAAGTTAATTTCCTGCAATTCTGCACATTTTGTAGGTGGCTGCTAGATTAATTTACCAATCTAAAAATGTTTTGCTAATTGACTGACCGCTGATGCACAACCAAATTTGCAGCTTGTGTATTCTATTATTCAAAATTGTATTTATTTTTTGGTGTGAAATTGGTCCGCGGGCCTACAAAAGGGCGAGTTGCCCATCCCTGATATAGGGAATAGGGTGCCACTTGGGACGCAGACAATGCCAGTGTTAGGATTGAGGTTAGCTCACAGTCACACACAGGTTCCCTCTCTTTCCCTTCCCCTCCCTTCCCCTCTCTCTCTCTTAAAACACATGCAAACGCACACGCACACACACACACACACACACACACACACTGAAATGTCGATTGACAGTCTGTTGTGTTACCCTCCATAATGTCAGTGGCGTTACCCTCCATAATGTCAGTGGTGTTACCCTCCACTCGTTTTAACCTGTTATAACCCATAATGTCTTGTTATAATCTGGTTAATACCACAGGACGTACAGGGGCAGGATCTATGCTAAGGTGGGTCAGTACCAGGAGGCCATCGAGGACTTCTCCCTGGCAGTTCACCTGGACCCCAATGACTGGCTGGCCTTCTACCACCGAGGCTGTCTGCTGAGGAAGAGGATGCCTGATATTGCCCTCCAAGACCTCAGCACCTCAGGTATTAGACAATAGATAAATAGATACGTTATTGTCCGGATGTCCTCAGAGAGGATCATCATTTCAACAGTCCATTAGTTACAAACAACAACATCAACAAAACCTCACCTAACCCCCATTTCATGCTATTAATATCTTCAATCCAATGTGTTGTGACTTGAAGAGTGGTAGCTATCAGTTTACAGTAACCCCCAATCTGAGCTTTTTGGGTCATTCATATCTTTCCTTTGTGTGCTGAATTGAGGAGGTGTTGTGTTATACAGTCCTGTGAGTACCACAGAGATACAACTTATTGTTCTATTTATTTCTGTGCCACCAGTACTCATTAATGATAGCCAAGAGAACCTGAGTGCCTTCCTGCACAGGGGCCTGCTCTACACGGAGCGACGGCAGTGGCAACAAGCCGTGTTCGACTTTGAAGCTGTGATCAAACTTGACAGGTAATACCACTGGGCCTCTGGCTTTGACAGAGTGGATCCTTTCTTCTGAAAAGAGCAACAGGGCTTTGAGTGAGAAAGAGGAGCAGGAGATACAGAGGGAGAGAGAAATGGAGAGAAGGAGAGAGGGGGAGAGAGATAGAGAGGGAGGATGTTTCGAAGCTAAATATTAAATAAGACTGTCAAGATGTATGAACATTTGGAATGATAAGAACTAGATTCTTTCTTTAAGTCTAATAATTGTTGTGAAATTAAGAGCTAAGTTATATTTCCTTTAATGTTTTTCCCTACTTTCTGATGATTTCTTGTTCCGTTAGGTCTGTAGCACTGGCCCATGTGAACCTGGGCTTGATATTCATGTTGAATATGGGCCAGAACTATGAAGCCATCAGAATGTTCAGCAACGCTTTGAGGGTGGACCCCACCTACATCAGAGGATACATCTGCCGGGCCCAAGCCTATCGCAATGTAAGCATTTAAAATGTCATGATGCATTCACCAGGATTTTCAGGTTTTTACTTTATGATGTATAAATCATGAACTTTATTCTTCACCAAAAAGGTAAATGATCTGAAGAGAGCGCTGAAAGATCTGACACGAGCCACACATATGAAACCAGATGCTCAACAATTGTATATCATGAGGTAAAGGTGCTTACCAGAACTTTTCTGTCACAAACAAGCTATTGTCTTTGATTTAGAGTGGTCCTTTCCCTGTATAAATGTTCTATATCAGGGGAAAGATACCAGGCTTGAGTTTTAAGTCTGTAAAAGGGACCTAAACTATTCTTTAGTTAAGAATACAAAAGTAGTACAGGGTTCTCCCTAAAGAATGTAAGAGGGGCGCTGTGCCACCTTGTGGACTGGCTGCGCCACTAGGTATCTATAAAAAAAAAAAAAACGTTATTTGTTGTCATTAAAGGCTCTAGATTGCCGAAAAGCTAACATAATGGTGTCGGGCAGCTTATCAATACAACTGGTCTACTTTTCTCAGCATGATATTTTTATACCAATAACCATGGCCTAACATGCCCTGTCATCAGGGGAGAGTGAGTGTCTGGGGGAGTTGGTGAAGTGTGTATCACAGGCGTCCAGTGACACCTTATTTGGGGAGCGCAGGCTCATAGTAATGGCTGGAACAGAGTTCATGGAATGGTATCGAACACATCAAATACATGGTTTCCATGGTTTCCATGTGTTTGATACCATTCCATTTACTCCATTCCAGACATTATTTTGAGCCGTCCTCTCCTCAGTGGCCTTCTGTGGTGTGTGTGTGGTGACTGTGCTGTAGGAGGCAGTAGCGAGCTTCAGGAAAGCCTTGATTCTTTAGTTAAGAATACAAAAGTAGTACACGGTTCTCCCCAAAGAATGCAAGAGGGGCGCTGTGCCACCTTGTGGACTGGCTGCGCCACTATGTATCTATATATATTTTTTAAATCCTTTATTTGTTGTCATTAAAGGCTCTAGATTGCCGAAAATGGCAGTTACAGTTGTTCTTGATGCCCCTCCGGACCTCCCCCCGCCTTACTCATCAGCACCACCATGTTAAGAAATCCTGGGGAGAACCCTGTAGTATACACTGAGTATACCAAACACTAAGAACACCTTCCTAATATTGAGTTGCACCCCCCCCTTTTGCCCTCAGAACAGCCTCAATTTGTCGGGGCATGGATTCTACAAGGTGTCGAAAGCGTGTTGACTCCAATGCTTCCCACAGTTGTGTCCAGTTGGCTGGATGTCCTTTGGGTGGTGGACCATTCTTTGATACACATGGGAAACTGTTGAGCGTGAAAAACCCAGCAGCGTTGCAGTTCTTGACACAAACCGGTGCGCCCTGGCACCTACTACCATACCCCGTTCAAAGGCACCAATATTTTGTCTTGCCCATTCACACTCTGAATGGCGCACATACACAGTCCATGTCTCAATTGTCTCAAGGCTTAAAATCCTTATTTAACCTGTCTCCTTCCCTTCATCTACACTGACTGAAGTGGATTTAACAAGTGACATCAATAAGGGATCATAGCTTTCACCTGGATTCACCTAGTCAGTCTATGTCATGGAACGTTTTGTATACTCAGTGTATATTGCCATATCCACAATGCTCTCTCTGTGTTTCAGGGGCCAGTATTTGTGTGACATGGAACAGTTTGACCTGGCCACGTTCTGTATCCAGTACGCTGCAGAGATGAACAAAGGTACAGCGATTCTAATCAGGATCCAGGAAGCATCATATGAGTTCCTTGACCCTGACTGACAGGCCCTTGTTATCTCACAGACTGACACTATATGGCAGGAACTTACTGATACGGAGTAAGATTCATGGCTTGACAATGAGCAATGCTGTTGGCAAGAGCACAAACAGATCTGCGACCAGGCTAATACTGAACTGACCCTTCCCCACCACCAGCACTAGGGTCATCTCCCATCCAGCAGGCTGCTGTCCAGTCTTTCCTGGGGAATGATGCCAAAGCCATTGCCTGTCTGGAGGCAGCCACCAACAACCGACCCTCACCTCCCATCCTCATTCTCCTGGGCAAGACACAGATGAAGGCACGCAAGTTCATGGTGGGTTGTTACGTTCTGCCCTGTCATGTATAGGCTAAAGCTGAATTATCAATGTTGCCCCGTTTCCTCCATTTATTTTGGTGTTTAAATGAGACCAATGTGATTTTGCTTGCCTGTCTTCCTCATTCCAATCCTTAGGCCTGTAGCATGATGTACAGCAGTACCCATAATGCTCTGTGTAACATCCGGTTGTGTCTTAGAAAATATGTTCTGAAGCTAACATAAAGGTGTTGGGCAGCTTATCAATACAACTGGTCTACTTTTCTCAGCATGATATTTTTATACCAATAACCATGGCCTAACATGCCCTGTCATCAGGAGAGAGTGAGTGTCTGGGGGAGTTGGTGACATGTGTATCACAGGCGTCCAGTGACACCTTATTTGGGGAGCGCAGGCTCATAGTAATGGCTGGAACAGAATTCATGGAATGGTATCGAACACATCAAATACATGGTTTCCATGGTTTCCATGTGTTTGATAACATTCCATTTACTCCATTCCGGACATTAATTTGAGCTGTCCTCCCCTCAGCAGCCTTCTGTGGTGTGTTTGTTTGTGTGTGTGTGTGTGTGTGTGTGTGTGTGTGTGTGTGTGTGTGTGTGTGTGTGTGTGTGTGTGTGGTGACTGTGCTGTAGGAGGCAGTAGAGAGCTTCAGGAAAGCCCTGATTCTGCTGAGCTCAAATGAGACCAACCTGTACAACATCCCTGAAGCTGCAGAGGTCTTCTATCTGACTGGACTCTGCTACATGGCACTGGCTCTCCTGTTGCAGGTGCAGTAACGAGGCATCTGTTCAGATATCCATGTTATTTGGCTGCATGGCCCTCCAACACTAGCCTGGTCCCAGTGTTTGGCATGACAATGAGTGTCAAGGAGTTGGCATGACAGCACAAACAGACTGGCACTCAGGCTACTCCAACACAACATTTTTGAATCCACTAAGTCTTCTAACCGTCAAACCTCAAGCTCTTTCTCTTTTGCAAGTCTTTTTTTTCTCTCTTTTTTCATGCAGTGAAACACCTGTTGTTCAGTTCATGTTACATAACACATTAACTAGGTACATGCCGCTATTTTGATATAGTCTATGGTACAGTACATACTGACATGGCAAGGCCTCTTTCACTGAACTCACATCCCATGTGAAGTTTCTGTAATGTTTTCTGACAGGCTTTTGATGCGTTCAGCAACGCAGTGAAGATCAACCCTGACTTTGCAGATGCATACCACCAGCGTGGGCTCTGTCGTATGCGCCTGCAGCAGTCCAAGAGTGTTCAGGACTTCAACAGAGCCCTCTTCATCAACCCCGACCTGTTCCAGGTAGAGGCTCCGTAACCACTGGTTCTCTTGATAGAAGAACTATCTGAAACCACATTATACAGAAGCAGTGCAATGGAACACATTGTGTGGAATTGTTGTGATTGGAGTACATTGTGTCTGAATTTCAAGGTGTATCTGAGCCGCGCAGCCTTCTATGGCGCCAAAGGGCGCTATTCAAAGGCCATCCTGAACTGCAATGAAGCCATTAAGATCCAGCCCAAGAGTGTCAGAGTCTACCTGTACAGAGGAGCACTCAAATTCTACCTGAAGGTGAGATGAATGGGATGCCTTCCTTTGTTGTCTATTGTTGCATCTTAGATGCTGGGTTCTTTACTGATGACTCCAAGACGTCGCTAATTTGTAAAACAACGGAATACGTTTATTTCACACTCACACAGGTAACACAGCTAGCCATCACTCTTTGCTTCTTCAGCCTTGCATCTCATTAGCCAATCACGCTCTTTGGAGGGCAGTAACCCAATTACTATTTGTTAATTCAAACCATAACCCTCTTTGGAATTAATATGATTGGTTATTCTGAATAATAACGTTTCCAATACACCACATCTATGAATGTAATGTTGTCTATGAATGCAATGCAGAGTAGTATGATTCACCTCACCACTTGAAAGTGGCTGAGAGATTATATCTCTTCTATGGTTTTTTACTCACCATTTACTGTTGTGAAAGAGTGGTCATAGAGTCCAATGAGTGCAGATAGGGTTCTGTAATGAAAGCTCTTATTCTTCATGGCTAGATTAAGAATAATGAGTTATCAATATTGCCATTGCCAGTCATTTGATTATTTTCATTTTGTGAGGTATAAATACATGTCCTTAACTGTTTTATCAGTATTTTAAAATTAATTTCTAGGGCAGTTATTACCTTTGAGAGGGGCATTGTCTTCTTTCATCCAATTATTGAGACAGGATATGAAGAGTTGTGTGGGAGAGAGAAGGTTGATACTAATAATATATAATAATAATATAATTATGGCATTTAGCAGATGCTTTTATCCAAAGCGACTTACAGTCATGCGTGCATACATTTTACGCATGGGTGGTCCTGGGAATCGAGCCCACTATCCTGGCATTGCAAGCACCATGCCCTACCAACTGAGATAATGTGTCGTATTGGCCTCAGTGAGAAAACTCAACCAACTGTATTGTCCCAAGGTTCTGTGATAATCAACATATAATTTTTTCATTATGTGTTTGGGCTTTCTGTCTTTCCACCACACTTTTTTTTTTAAAACTCTTGTCAGCTCAGTCGAGAGTTACTTCTCTCTATGCCTCTGGCGCTCAGCCATAGAGAGTGAGCAGAGCTGCATGACTGTGCACACTGTTTAGTAGGGTTCTTTGTGTTTAAATTTAGCCTGGTTTTGTTTCAGGTGTACAAAGGAGCCGTAGAGGACCTGACCATGGCCCTGAGGATAGACAAAACCTGCTCATTTGCACACTACAACCGTGGAGTGTGTTATCAGCAGCTGAAGGAATATGAATTGGTCGGTTTGAGTTTCTCTTTTTCTTTTCACGTTTGTTGTTTCTAAAGAGCCCTTACGGAAAAACCACATGATTTCACATGTGGAAAATCACATGATTTCACATGTGACATTTCCACATGTTTTGTACATGTGAAATGATGTGAAACCATGTGTTTTTGGAACAATTCACATGTGATGATGTGGATTTTCACATGTGAAATCATGTGAAACCGTGTTTTTGGAACACTTCACATGTGACATAGTGTTTTGCTTTATATTTACTGTCAATCGCGATGCACTTTGGTAGGCTACTTTTTGGCCTGCAAATTAACTCGGCATGCCTCAGTTGCAATTGCATTTAAACTTATAGGATACTTTAGATGCGCTTATTATAATGAACAAAAATATAAACGCAACATGCAACAATTTCAAAAATTTTACTGAGTTACAGTTCATATAAGGAAATCAGTCAATTTAAATAAATAAATTAGGCCCTAATATATGGATTTCACATGACTGGAATACAGATACAGTGCTATGAAAAAGTATTTGCCCCCTTTCAAATTTTCTCTACTTTTGCATATTTGTGATACTGAATGTTATCAGATCTTCAACCAAAACCTAATATTAGATAAAGGGAACATAAGTGAACAAATAACACAACAATTACATATTTATTACATTTATTTCATAAACAAAGTTATGCAACACCCAATTCCGCTGTGTGAAAAAGTAATTGCCCCCTTACACTCAATAACTGGTTGTGCCACCTTTAGCTGCATTGACTCCAACCAAATGCTTCCTGTAGTTGTTGATCAGTCTCTCACGTCGCTGTGGAGGAATTTTGGCCCACTCTTCCATGCAGAACTGCTTTAACTCAGTGACGTGTGGGTTTTCAAGCATGACCTGCTCGTTTCAAGTCCTGCCGCATCATCTCAATTTGGATTAGGTCTGGACTTTGACTAGGCCATTCCAAAACTTCCAATTTGTTGCTTTTTAGCAATTTTCATGTAGACTTGATTGTGTGTTTTGGATCATTGTCTTGCTGCATGACCCAGCTGCGCTTCAGCTTCAGCTCACAGACAGATGATCTGACATTCTCCTGTAGAATTCTCTGATACAGAGCAGAATTCATGGTTCCTTCTATTAAGGAAAGTCGTCCAGGTCCTGAGGCAGCAAAGCATCCCCAAACCATCACACCACCACCACCATGCTTGACCTTTGGTATGATGTTCTTACTGTGGAATGCAGAGTTTGGTTTTCGCCAGGCATTACTGGAACCATGTCGTCCAAAAAGTTATACTTTTGAATCATCTGTCCATAGAACGTTCTTCCAAGAGTCTTGATGATCATCCAGGTGCTTTTTGGCAAACTTGAGTCCATTTTTTGGACGAGATGGGTCCCATTATGCCTGGCGAAAACCCAACACTGCATTCCACAGTAAGAACATCATACCAAAGGTTAAGCATGGTGGTGGTGGTGTGTAAGGGGGCAATTACTTTTTCACACAGGGGAATTGGGTGTTGCATAACTTTGTTTATGAAATAAATATGTAATTGTTGTGTTATTTGTTCACTTATGTTCCCTTTATCTAATATTAGGTTTTGGTTGAAGATCTGATAACATTCAGTATCACAAATATGCAAAAGTAGAGAAAATTAGAAAGGGGGCAAATACTTTTTCATAGCACTGTATGCATCTGTTGGTCACGGATAACTTTTAAAAAAGGTAGGGTCGTGGATCAGAAAACCAGTCAGTATCTGGTGTGACCACCGTTTGCCTCATGCAGCGTGACACATCTCCTTTGCATAGAGTTGATCAGGCTTTTTATTGTGGCCTTTGGAATGTTGTCCCACTCCTCTTCAATGGCTGTGTGAAGTTGCTGGATATTGGCGGGAACTGGAACACGCTGTCGTACACGTCGATCCAGAGCATCACAAACATGCTCAATGGGTGACATGTCTGGTGAGTATGCAGGCCATGGAAGAACTGGGACATTTTCAGCTTCCAGGAATTATATACAGATCCTTGCGACATGGGGCCGTGCATTATCATGCTGAAACATGAGGTGATGGCGGCTAATGAATGGCACAACAGCGGGCCTCAGGATCTCGTCACGGTATCTCTGTGCATTCAAATTGCCATTGATAAAATGCAATTGTGTTTGTTGTCCGTAGCTTATGTGTTCCATACCATTACCCCACCGCCACCATGGGGCACTCTGTTCACAACGTTGACATCAGCAAATCGCTCGCCTACATGACGCCATACACGTGGTCTGCGGTTGTGAGGCCGGTTGGACATACTGCCAAATTCTCTAAAACAACGTTGGAGTCGGCTTATGGTAGAGAAATGAACATTCAGTTCTCTGGCAACAGCTCTGGTGGACATTCCTGCAATCAGCATACCAATTGCACGCTCCCTCAAAACTTGAGACATCTGTGGCATTGTGTTGTGTGACAAAACTGCACATTTTAGAGTGGGATTTTATTGTCCCTAGCACAAGGTGCACCTGTGTAATGATCATGCTGTTTAATCAGCTTCTTGATATTCCACACCTGTCAGGTGGATGGATTGTCTTGGTAAAGGAGAAATGTTCACTAACAGGGATGTAAACAAATTTGAGAGAAATAAGCTTTTTGTGCGTATATAACATTTCTGGGATCTTTTTATTTCAGCTCATGAAACATGGGACCAACACTTTACATGTTGCATTTATATTTTTGTTCAGTGTATTTTATAGTATGTTACCGGCTACTGAGTTGCGGTGAAAAAAAATGAAAAAACCTTTAATGTATTTCTACAGCTGAACTGTATTTTGTTAGTCAATATACAACAACGAACTGTATTCAGGAAGTACACAGGAATTTCAATTCTAATTCCAATTATTTTCAATAGTGGAAAATTTGGTTTACTTTCTGAATTGACTGGAACTTAAATGGAATTGACCTCAACATTGTTTAGCACACTTGGGACGCAACCACACCTGGGATTTTAAGTCACAATCTCTTGGATGCCAGCAATCTGAATTTCCTGCTTTGCCACCAAGTCTGTGGCCATGACAGAGATCAACCACAGATTTATTGGCAAGAATACATTTCTGCACTTTGAAATATAGGTGGGGGCAATGTACTGGTGGGGAACATTATCATATTTGGGGGCATGGCCAAATATATGTGCATTTGTGCCAACCGTCAGCGGAAGTGTTGTAGCAGTTTAAGTGTTTGATGGTTATGCCGATGCAAGTTAAGCAACTCCTTTCACACTGTCTGTTCTGCAAACTTTGTAAGAGAATGTATTAGTAATGAGCTGCACTGTAAAAAGGTTATTGTGTAATTTCCATTAAGTTCATGGCAACTTGTTGCCAGAAGTTGCTGTGAATTTGTAATTTCTTACCTGGAATCTTCTAGTTAGTAAGTTATTGTAAAATTCACAGTAACTTATTAGCAAACCTACTGTGCCTTCGCTGACTCTTCTGTTGACAACATGCGCATCACTTGCTGATTGGCAGCATACTGTAGCATTGGCAGCCTACCAGAAGATTGCAGGAGTAGCTTATTGGAGGCGTGGCTTTCAGCGAACTCTTTTTGGTCTCCCATGAGATCCCAGTTAATGTGCTCTGTTGAATTCTGTTAATAAACACAAAGCTGTTAGTTCTGCAGCCTTGTTAAATGCTGACATAAGTGCATGTACTACAAAAGAGCCATATGATGTTTCATTTATAGCTAGTCAACATGTCATTGTAATATTCACTTACCTACCAAACATCAGGTCAGTGAATGTGATGTATTAGCTACAGGAAGTTACTGTGAATTTTACAATAACCCACTTGCAACTAGTTGACAGTAAGTTATTGAAAACATTAACTTCCTGTGAACAAGCTGCAATTAAGCTACTGGAAAATGCACAGTAACCTCTTCACAGTGCAGCTCTTGAATATCACATGCTTTTACAACTGACCGAGCTAAAGAGCTGTTCAACCTTGATCAACACAATGATAGAACCACTTAAACTGGTACAACATTCCAACTGACAGTTGGCACAAAAACAACATATTTTATATCATAACCCAAAATATGCTAATGAGCCCCCACCAGCACATTGCGTCCACCTGCTGTGCATTCGGAAAGTATTCAGACCTCTTCCCTTTTTCCACATTTTGTTACGTTACAGCCTTATTCTAAAATTGATTAAATTATTTTCCCCCTCATCAATCTACACACAATACCCCATAATGACAAAGCGAAAAAAGGTTTTTAGAAATGTTTGCAAATGTATAACAAATAAAAAACAGAAATACCTTATTTACATAAGTATTCAGCCCCTTTGCTATGAGACTCGAAATTGAGCTCAGGTGCATCCTGTTTCCATTGATCATCCTTGAGATGTTTCTACAACTTGACTGGAGTCCACCTGTGGTAAATTCAATTGATTGGACATGATTTGGAAAGGCACATACCTGTCTAAATAATGTCCCACAGTTGACAGTGCATGTCAGAGCAAAAACCAAGCCATGAGGTCGAAGGAATTGTCCGTAGAGCTCCGAGACAGGATTGTGTCGAGGCACAGATCAGGGGAAGGGTACCAAAACATTTCTGCAGCATTGAAGGTCCCCAAGAACACAGTGGCCTCCATCATTCTTCAATTGAAGAAGTTTGGAACCACCAAGACTCTTCCTAGAGCTGGCCGCCCGGGCCAAACTGAGCAATCGTGGGAGAAGGGCCTTGGTCAGGGAGGTGACCAAGAACCCGATGGTCACTCTGACAGAGCTCCAGAGTTCCTCTGTGGAGATGGGAGAACCTTCCAGAAGGACAACCATCTCTGCAGCACTCCACCAATCAGGCCTTTATGGTAGAGTTGCCAGACGGAAGCCACTCCTCAGTAAAAGGCACGTGACAGCACGCTTGGAGTTTGCCAAAAGGCACCTAAAGGACTCTCAGACCATGAGAAACAAGGATTCTCTGGTCTGATTAAACCAAGATTGAACTCTTTGGCCTGAATGCCAATCGTCATGTCTGGAGAAAACCTGGCACCATTCCTAAGGTGAAGCATCGTGGTGGCAGCATCATGCTGTGGGGATGTTTTTCAGCGGCAGGGACTGGGAGACTAGTCAGGATCAAGGGAAAGATGAACGGACCAAAGTACAGAGAGATCCTTGATGAAAACCTGCTCCAGAGCGCTCAGGACCTCAGACTGGGGCGAAGGTTCACCTTCCAACAGGACAACGACCCTAAGCACACAGCCAAGACAACACAGGAGTGGCTTCGGGACAAGTCTCTGAATGTCCTTGAGGGGCCCAGCCAGAGCCCAGACTTGAACCCGATCGAACATGTCTGGAGAGACCTGAAAATAGCTGTGCAGCGACGCTCCCCATCCAATCTGACAGAGAAGAATGGGTGAAACTCCTCAAATACAGGTGTGCCAAGCTTGTAGCGTCATACCCAAGAAGACTCGAGACTGTAATCGCTGCCAAAGGTGCTTCAACAAAGTACTGGGGAAAGGGTCTGAATACTTATGTAAATGTGATATTTCAGTTTTTTATTTTTAATAAATGTGCACAAATTTCAAAAAACCTGTTTTTGCTTTGTCATTATGGGTTATTGTGTGTAGATTGATGAGGGGGGGAAAAAACAATGTAATCAATTTTAGAATAAGGCTGCAACGTAACAAAATGTGGAAAAGTGAAGGGGTCTGAATACTTTCCGAATGCACTGTACATTTCAAAGTGCAGTATAGCCGCGTTCACATGCTAGTCGGAACAAGGAAACTCTGACATTTCCGACATGCTAATTCGCAATCTATTAATAAAGCAATCTATTAATATGGTTTTTGATCACTATAATTTGTTTACAAGTATGATAGCTGTACTTTTAGTTTATGGTTTACGCAACTTGTTGTTCATTAGCCAATCAGCGTTAGTCAATGACGTCAAACCACGTGAATGCATCCAATTGGTATTTACGACTTCACAACTGATAATTTCCCACCTCCCACATGTTTACGAACGCAGCATTAAATTGAATATATTGGGTAGAAAAATGTACCATTTTACTAGATTATCCGCACATGTACCCTAAAAGGTACCGACCAGTACCATAAGTTCCTATGTGTACATCTGAAGGTACCTTATGTTTACTTTTGACCTTTCTTTACAACAGGGAACAACACTTTACCTTAATGCAGTTACACCTCCGACACCAAAACACCAGCTAACCTACAAAATATTAGCAACAGAAATGTCCCATTATACCTACAAGGTACCGAACTGTACCATGTGAGTTCATATGTGTACCTGTGAAGTGTACCTTTGACCTTTTTGTACCCCAGGGAACAACACTGTAGTGTACATTAACCATACCATTATATTTTTAGTGTGTTAATACTGAGTATACAAAACATTAAGAACACCTGCTCTTTCCATGACATAGACTAACCAGGTGAATCCAGGTAAAAGAGATGATCCCTTATTGATGTCATTTGCTAAATCCACTTCAATCAGTGTAGATGAAGGGGAGGAGACAGGTTAAAGAAGGATTTTTAAGCCCTGAGACAATTGAGACATGGATTGTGTATGTGTGCCATTCAGAGGTTGAATGGGCAAGACAAAATATTTAAGTGCCTTTGAACGGGGTATGGTAGTAGGTGCCAGGCGCACCGGTTTGAGTGTGTCAAGAACTGCAACGCTGCTGGGTTTTTCATGCTCAACAGTTTCCCGTGTGTATCAAGAATGGTCCACCACCCAAAGGACATCCAGCCAACTTGACATAACTGTGTGAAGCATTGGAGTCAACATGGGCCAGCATCCCCGTGGAACGCTTTCGACACCTTGTAGAGTCCATGCCCCGACAAATTGAGGCTGTTCTGATGGCAAAACGGCATGGTGCAACTCAATATTATGAAGGTGTTCCTAATGTTTGGTTAACTCAGTGTATGTTCAAAGCTATGAGTATGAAGCTGGCGGTACTGCAGAAACATCGCTGCACTCCAACCAAGAGGTTGCAAGTTCAAATCCCCAAAGAATTCATGTATACTCTACAATGTCAAGTGTCCTTGAGCACTGCTAGTTTTACATTGGTGGTGATAATTGGACAATTATTTACTTGATTCTGGGTAGCTTTTAGGAAAGGGCAGAAATGCATTCTTGACAATAAGTCTGTGGACCGTATCTGGTGGTGTAGCAAGAACTTCAGGTAACTAGCGGCTAAGAGGTTGTGAGTTCAAATCCCAAGTGAGGTTGAGTCATACAGCATCTTACTGTCTTTTCTCATTAACACCTTCATTTAGCAGTAAAAATACAGTATCGTATTCATGGTATCAAATGTAGAAATTTTGCCTCCCCATGTTGTCACATTTATTTCACATGAGATCGTGTTTTCACATGTGCTCGCTCACACGTTGTTACGTGTAATTTCATATTATCACGTTGAGATTTTGCCTCCCCATGTTGTCTCATTTATTTCACATGAGATTGTGTTTTCACATGCTCACATGTTATCACATTTATTTCACGTATATTTCACATGAGATCATGTTCTCATATGTGTAGTTTTATGTTTTCACATGTTGTCACGTTATCAAATTAACTTCACATTAAGTCACATTAATGTTTTTTTCTGTAAGGGAGGTGTTTGTGTTAGGAAAGAAAGAAGTGCTCCAACCATCTATAATTAATATGTTTTGATTCGTAATCTGTGTGTCAGCCAACATCTTGTTTATGCTCCTGTCTATGCTCCTATATGTTACATACAGTGGGGGAAAAAAGTATTTAGTCAGCCACCAATTGTGCAAGTTCTCCCGCTTAAAAAGATGAGAGAGGCCTGTAATTTTCATCATAGGTACACGTCAACTATGAGAAAAGAAAATCCAGAAAATCACATTGTAGGATTTTTTATGAATTTATTTGCAAATTATGGTGGAAAATAAGTATTTGGTCAATAACAAAAGTTTCTCAATACTTTGTTGTATACCCTTTGTTGGAAATGACACAGGTCAAACGTTTTCTGTAAGTCTTCACAAGGTTTTCACACACTGTTGCTGGTATTTTGGCCCATTCCTCCATGCAGATCTCCTCTAGAGCAGTGATGTTTTGGGGCTGTCGATGGGCAACACGGACTTTAAACTCCCTCCAAAGATTTTCTATGGGGTTGAGATCTGGAGACTGGCTAGGCCACTCCAGGACCTTGAAATGCTTCTTACGAAGCCACTCCTTCGTTGCCCGGGCGGTGTGTTTGGGATCATTGTCATGCTGAAAGACCCAGCCACGTTTCATCTTCAATGCCCTTGCTGATGGAAGGAGGTTTTCACTCAAAATCTCACAATACATGGCCCCATTCATTCTTTCCTTTACACGGATCAGTCGTCCTGGTCCCTTTGCAGAAAAACAGCCCCAAAGCATGATGTTTCTACCCCCATGCTTCACAGTAGGTATGGTGTTCTTTGGATGCAACTCAGCATTCTTTGTCCTCCAAACAAGACGAGTTGAGTTTTTACCAAAAAGTTATATTTTGGTTTCATCTGACCATATGACATTCTCCCAATCCTCTTCTGGATCATCCAAATGCACTCTAGCAAACTTCAGACGGGCCTGGACATGTACTGGCTTAAGCAGGGGGACATGTCTGGCACTGCAGGATTTGAGTCCCTGGCAGCGTAGTGTGTTACTGATGGTAGGCTTTGTTACTTTGGTCCCAGCTCTCTGCAGGTCATTCACTAGGTCCCCCCCGTGTGGTTCTGGGATTTTTGCTCACCGTTCTTGTGATCATTTTGACCCCACGGGGGTGAGATATTGCGTGGAGCCCCAGATCGAGGGAGATTATCAGTGGTCTTGTATGTCTTCCATTTCCTAATAATTGCTCCCACAGTTGATTTCTTCAAACCAAGCTGCTTACCTATTGCAGATTCAGTCTTCCCAGCCTGGTGCAGGTCTACAATTTTGTTTCTGGTGTCCTTTGACAGCTCTTTGGTCTTGGCCATAGTGGAGTTTGGAGTGTGACTGTTTGAGGTTGTGGACAGGTGTCTTTTATACTGATAACAAGTTCAAACAGGTGTCATTAATACAGGTAACGAGTGGAGGACAGAGGAGCCTCTTAAAGAAGAAGTTACAGGTCTGTGAGAGCCAGAAATCTTGCTTGTTTGTAGGTGACCAAATACTTATTTTCCACCATAATTTGCAAATAAATTCATTAAAAATCCTACAATGTGATTTTCTGGAAAAAAAATTCTCAATTTGTCTGTCATAGTTGACGTGTACCTATGATGAAAATTACAGGCCGCTCTCGTCTTTTTAAGTGGGAGAACTTGCACAATTGGTGGCTGACTAAATACTTTTTTTCCCCACTGTGTTTATGTCCCTTGCTGCTAGTACATCAGTTCTTTATTGTCATAACTGTTGTTTCCTATTGATCCCCCAGGCTCTTAGAGACTATGGGATTGTCCTCCTCCTTCCCAGCAAGAAGGAGATTGACCTGAAGGTCTTAATCAATCGTGCCCTTCTCTACGTGGAGCTGAGTGACCATCACAATGCCTTACAGGTAGTGTCCTGTAGCTAGTATTGTCAACAGGCATTGTTCACTGTGCAAATTCTCAAGCCACTGAGCCCAGGCTGGACAGATATATTAGACAGAGAGACTTTGGGACATTGTACAGATGTAGGATCTTAATTTGATCATCCTTTTGCAGGAGAACTTTCCTGCAATGCACTTTCAGATTTGATTTTCCCTTACGAAAAATGTATCAACCCCTACAAAAATGTACATTAATTATAAACCACAACATAATTCAAATTTCCTGTTGCTGCAGGATTATTTTCCTGATGGAGCGAACTGTCTCAAATTTAAGATCCTGCATCTGTAGAATGGTTGTATGTATTAGACAAAGAGACTATGGGACATGGTACATACTATAGGTTGTAAGTATTACTATTGACATGTTAGATATGGTGTATGTGTTAGGACATGGTCGATAGATAGATAGATAGATAGATAGATAGATAGATAGATAGATAGATAGATAGATAGATAGATAGATAGATAGATAGATAGATAGATAGATAGATAGATAGATAGATAGATAGATAGATAGATAGATAGATAGATAGATAGATAGATATATAGATAGATATAGGTTGTATGCATTCGCCATAGGCGATTAGTTATCTCACATTGTTCAATCATTCATCACAAGCAGGGTTGGCGTTGATTGCATATTTCTGTTTCTTCATTCCTATTCATGTCATGATACCATTGGAGTGTACATAGCAATATCACATAGTAATGTGTTCGGTAGCACCACAATCATCATCTACCTGTTAATCTGTTCATCCATGGTGTCTTCAGTGAAGTTGTTGTTGTGGTGTACTATCTTTCTCCTGCAGGATTTCAAAGCTGCCTCCTTGAGAAGTCCAGAGGATGCCACCATCTACCATGCCCTAGGAGTCTACCATCACAGGTCTCTCCCCTCACACACTCAGTATAGACACCCTAACACCGTATCACCACCCAATAACATGTTATTCTTCCCAAGCATCTCTACTTTCAGAGTGTGATAGTATATTCCATGCAGTATCTCAAGTTGTTATCCAAACCATGCTATTCATTTAATTTTTTTAGTGGTATTCATAATTTCCAGTTGAGCCTCCAGTGGGAAATCCAACTTATGCTGCCGTTAATAGTGAATTAATATTTGCGTGTTGCCTGAAGGCAAGACCATAAACACTGCATGACCTTTTATGAAGAATGATTGATGATTTCAATTAATAACTTTAATGGTTATTGTTCTAATGTGGTCATGAGCTGACTCACAGGCCAAATCCCTGTATCACACTGAGTTTGTAAGACACTCTCTCATCTTACTGTTAGACACGTTGTAATCAGGCTACCAGTGTTGGGAACAGCAGAAATCATCCAGACTGTCTCTTTACTCTCCCTGTGTACAGAACATAGAAGAATAAAACAGAATATCTATATAGAGAGCTTCTCACAGAGAAATCCCATGAGGCCTTTTAACATCTTTCAAATGTTCAAAGCCGTATTGAAAGCAGGTTGTTCACGCCGAGCTAAAACATGGCTCTCAGAGAGTTGGGGGAAAGAAAATGAAACAGAAAGCATTTCGGAGAAAAAGAGACACTCAGAGGAACAGCACTCAGCAAGGTCATTCAGACATGCTCTATTGAAAGATGTGATCCTTCATGTCGTTCCCCCTTCTTATGAAACACATTTTAGAATGGGGGATATTATAGGTAATGGTATTGACCCAGAACACATATACTGGGAGGCACCAATTCCTTTGGAAACTGTGGTCATTTGGAGAGTGTTAATAGATGTGGAGTAGAGTAGTGGTTGTTGCACGGTCATCAGCTAGCCTGAACAATGACTGTTTTTCACAGGATCTTTAAATGTGCCCAGTTAGATGGGTGGTGATGTTTATTTTCTATGGGAATGGATTTTAAGAGCATACTGCTTTAACAACATCTTATAATTAACTCTATGACGTGTGTGTGTGTGTTTGTGCGTGCCTGTGTGCTTGGGTGTGTCCTTTAGGCTGGGTCAGCTCCAGGAGTCAGTTGAAGCCTACAGCCAGGCCATGCAGATCAGCCCGTTCTTCCTAGATGCCTACGTGGGGCGGGGCAACGCCTGCATGGACTACGGCCACACCCAGGCTACCAAACAGGCTCAGAGGGACTTCCTTTCCGCCCTGCACCTTAACCCCCTCTGCTCCAACGCACGCATCTGCTTGGCTTACAACTTCCAGGTAACCCTAACCATAACATTCAATCCTAACCCCAAACCCTTACCATAACTCTAGCTTCATGTCCATTGTGCACATCCTGGTTCAACCCTAACGCTAACCATAGCTTCATGTCCACATCCTGGTTCAACCCTAACCTTAGCCTCAACCACAACCCTAACCCTGAACCTGAACTTGTCACATGGCTCTGTTGACATATTATTCAAAGTAGAATCTACTTGGAGAGCAGTAGGTTGTTGAAATTATTTTTATCAATGTGAATAGTGCTTCAAAGTCAAGTGTATTGTGTAATGTGTGTATCCTCACGTATTATACATTTACTGTACATTGTGAATGAATTCATGTTAATTACTATATTGCTGAGTGTTGAAGAGCAGACCACTTCTGGCTCTTGTTGCGCTGTTCATGATAGGATGAAGAGGGGGTGGATTTAAATCAATTAAACCTGGTCAGACATACTTATGTGCATAAAATAGCCTTCTTGTGTCTCCATTTGTGACCAATATCTATTCATATATTCACTCACTGTATTCACTCCAATCATGTTGCTAAGATTTGCATTTGCCGCATTTAAAAGAAAACAGGCAACTTTCTATAAGAAAATAAATAAGAAGACAGCTGTCAACATGTTTAACTGCCATTGTTTAAGAATAGCAAACCAATTCTAGCATTTTTTTTCTAAATGTAAATTCATGCATTAGCAGTTGGCATTTTCAAACTTCTGTCCATCTGCTTCTCCAGGTTTTCGGTTGCTTCCAGAGAGCCTGGAACCAGTTCACGGTGGCAGCAGAGATTGACTCCAAGTGCTGGAAGGCGTTTGAGGGGCGAGCTGTCATCAACCTGCAGATGGGCAACACTTATGCTGCTTTCCAAGACATTAACATGGCTCTGAAGGTACCCCATTGGATACATACAGCATCAAACCCATTGATGTTAGTTCTAAGCAGGCTGGTTAGTAATGAGATAAAAGTCCACTTTTTCTGTGAATGTTTAGACCTGGTAAGTAATGTGGATCCCGTCTGGAATTGCAGTTTCCTGCTTCAGTAATGGATGGCTGCTGTGAAGAGAGATAATTGGCTGAATATCCTCCACTCAGTCAGGAGAGCGTGTTTAGACCATGTTTATAAAATGCAAGCTGTTGAGTACACTGGGGGAAGACCCTGCCGGTGTGTACTGCCATATTCAGCGTTTCAGCAAATAACTTGGACATGATGTATTATAGCTATGTGGTTGGTGTTTTGTTTCCGGTCAATCAGGAGATAGAATGCAGGTTGTTGGAGTAAGACTACCAGTGTTGCCGTATTCAGTGTTTCATCCCTTATAGCAGGGTTTCCCAAACTCGGTACTGGGGCCCCCACTGGGTGCATGTTTTGTTTTTTTGCACTAGCACTACACAGCTGATTCAAATAATGAAAGCTTGATGATGCATTGGTTATTTGAATCAGCCAAGATTGGGAAGCCCTGCCTTATAATAATAACTTGGAGATGTTGTATCGTAGCTATATATTCAGTGTTATTAACTGTGATCCTTGCCTGGCCTTTCTGTAGCACCATCCTGTGTCAGATCAGCTGCTGACTAACCGAGGGGTGATCAACCAGTTCATGGGGGACAAAGCCAACGCCATGAAAGACTACCAGGGAGCCATCTCTCTCAACCCCAAGTACGCCCTGGCCTTCTTCAACGCTGCTAACCTCTACTTCTACAACAGGCAGTTTGAACAAGTAAAAGGCCTATTTCAATCTAATGGATTTTATTCTGATGTACTGTCAGTGTCATGTGTAAAACCTAGTTCACATCCTCTGAGCTGTGAACTGTTTTACACTTAAGGGTCATTCACATCCTGTAGGATGGGTCTCACTGTATCCATACACTCTCTTTGCTCTTCTCCTCCCTGTGTGCTCCTGCATGACGGTGGTTCTGTGTGCTCCTGGCTGGTGATCCTCCAGGCCTGTGAGCACTACAGCCGGGCGTTTGAGCTGGACCCAGCGGATGAGTCGGCGGTGCTGAACAGGGCCATCACCAGGGCTCTGCTGAGGAAGGTTCCAGAGGCCCTCCAGGACTTCTCTGAGGCCCTGAGACTCAACCCTTATTCCTCACACGTGTTCTTCAACCGAGCCAATCTCTACAGCTCCCTGCGCCAGTACAGGCATGCAGAGAAGGACCTCAGTCAAGGTGAGCACTGAGCAGCAATCAACAGCCTTTTACTGCTCACTCCTTTGTTCCTCGATGGCTGCCCTTGTGTGTGTCTCAATGTGTTTCCTGTTGAATAGAGATTCTCAGTCCGCTGCGTGCCAGGTATTGTACAGAGACTTGTAACAAGTTACAAGGTCAGATGTTGTATTGTACTGTAGTGTATTTTGGGGGGGTATTAAGCACTTATTGTGTTTAAGCCTGTTAAATCAGTCTGTCTCAAGGATATTTGGTTCAGTGCATTGTGTTGTTGTATTGTGTTGTGTTGTATGCTATGTGGTAATGAATCAAACCTACAACCATTGCAGGCACCATGCTCCAGACAACTGAGCCAATGAGTTTTATTTCCCTAATGACTTGTGATTCCCAGATAAGATTCAGTAATTGTGGCCAATGATAGGGTTTTAATTAACCCTGGGTGATGAATGTGTGACCTGGCAGGGGGCTATGACAGCATCTCTGTTGTTGTTCTGTCAGCAGTAGTCGGTTATTTTTCGTTTTTTATACAAGTAATTGACTGGCGTCGGTTCAGTTATTTGAATTACATTTAGTTCATTTTTTTCTTATTCTGTGAGCTTGATGTGCAATTTCTGTAGAGATAAATCAGATCAAGCCTGAACTGTGTGATGTTGTAGTTTCCAACAGGCCAATATTCTACATAGTTTAGCACAGAAAACATGGTAATTAACTACAATTACCATAATCCATTACGCGGCCACTTAAACTTGTCTGGTCTGTGTTGAGCAAGACACGGAGACTGAGAGAAGAGAGAACTCGCGATCGAGAGGGTAGAGAAAGCAGTTGCTTCGCGAGCCTGAAAATACATGATCTAAGTGATTGATATTTGATATTCGGCAGTCATAAAAGTATCCCTTATTTACTTTGAAGAACTACTAAAATAGTGGTTCTGTCAGACAACAGCTCTATATGAGATGATGACTTGGAATTAAATAAAGTCCTCAAATAAAACAAATATTTTATTAAAGTAATGGTGTGTGTAATAAAGAGCAGCCTGGTGACCTAGAGGCCAGAGGGGGAGTATACGTGACACAACCCACATAATGCATAGTGCATTTAATGTCAAAATAATGTTATGTCAAATGTTTTTACATTTTATAATCGAACCAAAACTGAACTGACCTCAAAAAGCACTAATCACTCAGCACTAGTCAGCAGGGCTGTTATGTTTCACATACTGCTGTTGGGACAATTTCTGATACTATTATTTCACACTTGTATTGTATTGAGGACAACATTGTGTTACAAACAGGCACAGGCTAGCCTACCATCTTACCTCTGTACAGACAAGGCATATTCCCTCTCTCTCTCTCTCTCTCTCTCTCTCTCTCTCTAGTTCCTCGCTTATCTCGCTCTCTCTCTCTCTCTCTCTCTCTCTCTCTCTCTCTCTCTCTCTCTCTCTCACACACACATAATGCAACACTGTTAGAGTCTACAGATTACGTCCCCCTGCTGCCGTTACTCTGAGAGACAGGCAAAGACTTGGTCTGAAAACCTTCTCTCTTTTTGTTTTGGATGTATAATAACCGGCCAATAGTTGGAAATAAAAACACCCAATTAAACATATTGAACAAAGCAAAGGACAGCAGCACAGTGCAGTGACACCTCTCTCTGGCAGACAGACAACACCAAGACCAAGAAGAAGGCCACTTATTTTTCATGAGAAAAGAGGCAGCTTGAGTTTCCATGGTGATGATACAAAACCTATAATAATGCATGGTCAGCAGGACAGAATTAGTCCAACACTTTTTTTCATGAGGATTCATCCAACAAATGGATTCATTGTGGGTGTTGATGGAACCAACTCTGTGGTGCTTATGATTTAGAGAAAATCCACTGATTCAATGAATTAATGTGTTTTAGGTGTTGTAGAAGACTTGTTCACTTGATTGTATTGTTAAAAAGGGAATTGCATGGAACTGAATCAAATCTTAATTTGATTAGTTGTTTTAGCAGAGACCAAGACCATTCGATTCATCAGGTGTATGTCGAGAAGTGGAGAATTCAAGTGTTATGACTTTAAATACTATAGCTAGCTATGAATAGACAGCCTCAAACTGTCTGGTCTTGGTCTTAATGTATATGTATTCCCTAGCTCTTCTCCTCCAGCCCAACGATGCCCTGGTCTACAAGCTCCGTGCTGATGTCAGAGGCCACCTGGGCTTGACTGACCAAGCGGTGCATGACTACAGAACAGCAGTGGAACTCCAAGAGGCACTGGAGGGCTGAGATGAGCCATCCCCATAGTAGCGGTATTGTACTCTACATGACAGGTTCAGACCTACTGGTCATGGTTATGGTTGACAGAGTAAATATATGCTGTTAATCAAAATGTATACTTTGTGATATATTGTGCGTCAGAATCTTCAATATTTGATAAATCTGTTGTTAAAATACAGTTGAAGTCAGAAGTTTACATACACCTTAGCCAAATACATTTAAACTCAGTTTTCACAATTCCTGACATTTAATTCTAGTAAAAATTCATGTCTTAGGTCAGTTAGGATCACCACTTTATTTTAAGAATGTGAAATATCAGAATAATAGTAGAGAGAATGATTTATTTCAGCTTTTATTTCTTTCATCATATTTCCAGTGGGTCAGAAGTTTACATACACTCAATTAGTATTTGGTAGCATTGCCTTTAAATTGTTTAACTTGGGTCAAATGTTTTGGGTAGCCTTCCACAAGCTTCCCACAATAAGTTGGGTGAATTTTGGCCTATTCCTCCTGACAGAGCTGGTGTAACTGAGACAGGTTTGTAGGCCTCCTTGCTCGCTCACGCTTTATTAGTTTTGCCCACTAATTTTCTATAGGATTGAGATCAGGGCTTTGTGATGGCCACTCCAATACCTTGACTTTGTTGTCCTTAAGCCATTTTGCCACAACTTTGGAAGAATGCTTGGGGTCATTGTCCATTTGGAAGACCCATTTGCGACCAAGCTTTAACTTTGTGACTGGTCTTGAGATGTTGCTTCAATATATCCACATAATTTTCCTTCCTCATGATGCCATCTATTTTGTGAAGTGCACCAGTCCCTCCTGCAGCAAAGCACCCCCACAGCATGATGCTGCCACCCCCGTGCTTCACGGTTGGGATGGTGTTCTTCGGCTTGCAAGCAACCCCCTTTTTCCTCCAAACATAACGATGGTCATTATGGCCAAACAGTTATATTTTTGTTTCACCAGACCAGAGGACATTTCTCCAAAAAGTATGATCTTTGTCCCCATGTGCAGTTGCAAACCGTAGTCTGGCTTTTTTTATGGCGGTTTTGGAGCAGTGGCTTCTTCCTTGCTGAGCGGCCTTTCAGGTTATGTCAATATAGGACTCATTTTACTTTGGATATAGATACTTTTGTACCTGTTTCCTCTAGCATCTTCACAAGGTCCTTTGCTGTTGTTCTGGGATTGATTTGCACTTTTCGCACCAAAGTACGTTAATCTCTAGGAGACAGAATGCGTCTCCTTCCTGAGCGGTATAATGGCTGCGTGGTCCCATGGTGTTTATACTTGCGTACTATTGTTTGTACAGATGATCGTGGTACCTTCAGGCATTTGGAAATTGCTCCCAAGGATGAACCAGACTTGTGGAGGTCTACAATTGTTTTTCTGAGGTCTTGGCTGATTTCTTTTGATTTTCCCATGATGTCAAGCAAAGAGGCACTGAGTTTGAAAGTAGGCCTTGAAATACATCCACAGCTACACCTCCAATTGACTCAAATGATGTCAATTAGCCTATCAGAAGCTTCTAAAGCCATGGAATTTTCCAAGCTGTTTAAAGGCACAGTCAACTTAGTGTATGTGAACTTCTGACCCACTGGAATTGTGATACAGTGAATTATAAGTGAAATAATCTGTCTGTAAACAATTGTTGGAAAAATCACTTGTGTCATGCACAAAGTAGATGTCCTAACCGACTTGCCAAAACTATAGTTTGTTAACAAGACATTTGTGGAGTGGTTGAAAAACGAGTTTTGTATGTAAACTTCCGACTTCAACTGTAACTTCCATGACATTGCATGTGAATGTTTTATGAGTATTGTTTTATGTGCAATCCTGTCTTAAAGGACCAATGCAGACGTTTTTATCTCAATATCAAATAATTTCTAGGTAACAATTAAGGAGATTGAACGGGATCTTAAGCACTTTGAAATTTGTAACATATTGTACGAATTGGAATTTGACTTATAAAAATAATAATTCAGGACGTAACATATCATATGCAATTGATGACGTTCTACACAATTGTGCACAATTTTCGGGGACCCGTTTTGGCTCGTGAGCACTACTGTTTGGCTCGTCTCCTGACTGAAATTATGCAAAACCTTTATAAGCATCTTTAAGTACCTTACTGTGATTGTTGTCACAAAACCTTTATAAAGCATCTTTAAGTACCTTACTATGATTGTTGTCAAATCAAAATCGAATCAAATTGTATTTGTCACATGCGCCGAATACAACAGGTGTAGACCTTACAGTGAAATGCTTACTTACAAGCCCTTAACCAACAATGCAGTTTTAAGAAAGAATACCCTAAAAAAAAGAAAGAAAGAAAAGTAACAAATAATTAAAGAGCAGCAGTAAAATAACAATAGCGAGGCTATATACAGGGGGTACCGGCACAGAGTCAATGTGCGGGGGCACCAGTTAGTCGAGGTACACCCGTGTAGCTCAGTTGGTAGAGCAAGGCGTTTGCAACGCCAGGGTTGTGGGTTCGATTCCCACGGGGGGCCAGTATGAAAAATTTATGCACTCACTAACTGTAAGTCGCTCTGGATAAGAGCGTCTGCTAAATGACTAAAATGTAAAAATGTAATTGAGGTAATATGTACATGCAGGTAGAGTTATTAAAGTGACTATGCATAGATAATAAACAGAGAGTAAAACCTTTATAAGCATCTTCAAGTACCTTACTGTTATTGTTTTGTTACAAAACCTTTATAATGCATCTTTAAGTACCTTACTGGGATTGTTGTCCCCCACAATGAAATGGAAGGAGGGGGGGGGGGGACTATGGATCTGTCTCCACCTGTTCGTACTGTATGTTAGTCACACACAATCCGGTTTACGGCACCAGTGAAACCGACATCAGTTTGCTGCTCACGGTATATCTTCCTCCACTGTCCCTGTCCCCATACTGGGCTCCAACCAGTGATCCTCTTCTCGCAAACACAAGTGACAGTCCTCCTTGACAACGTACCAACTGTTTGAGCTATACAAAAAGTACCAATTGGATGGCTCCATCTGCGACATTTCAAGCAGGCTGTGAAGTGAGTTTACAGCACGTTCTTAACTCTGTTACACATATTTAAATTTACATTACATTTTAGTCATTTAGCAGATGCTCTTATCCAGAGCGAGTTACAGTTAGTCAATACATATTTTTTTTAAACTGGCCCCCCGTGGGAATCGAACCCACAACCCTGGCGTTGCAAACGCCATGCTCTATCAACTGAGCTACATCCCTGCCGGCCATTCCCTCCCCTACCCTGGACGACGCTGGGCCAATTGTGCGCCGCCCATGAGTCTCCCGGTCGCGGCCGGCTGTGACAGAGCCTGGATTCGAACCAGGATCTCTAGTGGCACAGTTAGCACTGCGATGCAGTGCCTTAGACCACTGCGCCACTCAGGAGAAAAACTAGCTGTTATTGGCAGAGAGGTTTGAAACTCTCTTTGTTATTGCCTGGTGATGTCGCCAGGCATGCCAAAACTCCACCCATGCAAAAAAAAAATGAAATTTCAGGCGGTCTTTTCAAACAGCTTTTACACTAAAAGGACATTATCATAATTTTCACAATTTCACAGTGGAAATACAGTATATTATATAAAACACAGCAAAATCACATTTTTGTAGGTTGTTTGGAAAAAACACTTACAGTTGATATACTGCTTAAAAAAAGAGATTACTTTGTGCCAAGTTCAATATCTCACTTCATGAATTCCCCCTGAGAGTCAGAGAGAGCCCATTTTGTCTCAGAATACAAAGTATCCCAACAAACAAACATACAGGTTGTATTTCCTTGGCTTTGGAGCTCTTTCCCAGTTAAGGACCTGGGTTATTTCTTGCCCATCCAAATCAGCTGAGTCAGTCTCCATAAAACAGGAGCTATATAGAGAGAGGAGAGAGAAGGAGGCCTGTGGAGTATAAAAAACACCTGCCAAATGAACTGGCGTGGCCCTCCAGTAAGATAGAGAGAGAGAGAGAGAGAGAGGAGCGAGAAGAGGAGAGAGAGAAGAGGAGAGAGAGAGAGAGAGAAGAGAGAGAGAGATGAGAGAGATGGAGATAGACAGAGTCGCAGAGAGAAAGAGGAGAAGGAGAGAGATATAGAGAGAGATGAGGCGGGGAAGGAGGAGAGAAGGGGGAAGAGCGAGAGAAGAGGGGGGGAGAAGAGATCGAGTGAGAGAGAGAGAGGAGGAGTAATAAAGGAGAGAGGAGTGTGAACACAACCATCTGTTCCACTCACACACTGAGACAGGGTGTGTGTATACTGCTCGTTGCATTTCAAGGGCAATCATGCAGTCATTCTCTGAAAACAATGCTAGCAAAAATGATATGCCTGACCCAACTGAATGCATTGTGTTTCTTATAGAGGAGATTCTTCTGTTTTCCAATCCAACATTGTTTGTTGCATTCTAATGGAACATGGTTCTTTTACTTCCATATTGGGCTCTTACAATTACACAATTAAGTCAAATACTGTCTTGAGCTGAGGAAATCTAAACCTTGTTAGTTATTGCTCATAAAAAAACGCTGCATGTTTTGTACAATTTACTCTGTTTACTGCCCACATGGCACAGACGTCAGTTCAACTTCTAGTTTTGATTTACACTGAACAAAAATATAAACGCAACATGTAAAGTGTTGGTCCCATGTTTCATGAGCTGTAATAAAAGATTGAAGAAATTTTCCATACGCAAAAAGCGTACTTCTCTCAAATTCTGTGCACAAATTTGTTTACATCCCTGTTAATTAGCATTTTTCCTTTGCCAAGATAATCCATCCACCTGACAGGTGTGGCATATCAACAAGCTGATTAAAAAGCATGATCATTACACATGTGCACCTTGTGCTGGGGACAATAAAAGGCCACTCTAAAATATGCAGTTTTGTCACACAACACAATGCCACAGATGTCTCAAGTTTTGAGGGAGCGTGCAATTTGCAGGCTGACTCCAGGAATGTCCACCAGAGCTGTTGCCATGTTCATTTCTCTACTATAAGCCACCTC